TTTCCCCCCCCCCCCCCCCCGCACACACAAACACGTTCAACGCTGGAGATTTTTCACTGTGTCTGTGATTTCAGATGGGAAAATAATTTGAGAAAGAAAAAATTCCCTTAAAAGCTAAATATTCTTAAGCAGCAAGGCGGGTTTTTATCATAAATATCGTAGACAAACCTGTGCATATTTCCCCCACAGTAAGATACTTGAGGTTACACGTCGGCAAACTGCAGCCATTAGCTAAATCGTACTTATCATGCTTATCATAAACATTGCCTATTTTAATCGATTGGCAGGTCTTGGTCACATGACTGGCACGTGATACATGTGTAGAACGTACAGCACGGTTGGTAAACCGCAAAATGGCTCTAAGGTACAAAGACAAAGTTACGATAGTAACCGGCGGATCAAAAGGCATCGGAAAAGGCTGCGTAGAAGTTTTTGGTGAGTTGTAAATGTTTGTTCTAAGTGATTTTTGTTTATCACAATTCAGGCCCGTAGCCAGCAATTTGAAAGGGGGTTTTTTTTTCTGAAAAAGTGGACCTTTTACCATATAATCCCCATGTACCTAGGTCAAATTTTACCCAGAATGGACCTTTTTCCAGCAAAAAGGGGGGTTCTTTCGAACCCCCCGAACCCCCCTGGCTACGGGCCTGCAATTTTACCAGAAGTCTACGCGATGTAGTGAGCGAGCACATCGCTGCAGGTGCCCTTATCTGCTACTTACAAGTTGTATTGCGCCTGCCGTTATAAACGGAGGCAACTTAACAATCTTGAGTAGGTTTTACTGGCGGACCTGTGCCAAGCCGCACTGATTAAATTATAAGCTTTTTCATTATATTTTTGATATATCGGTGATACTTTGTAGTTTATCCGTAGGCAGTACTCGTACTGGCACATGCACTAGTTTCCTAGGCTGTGTTTATTTTATTTTTCATTTAGCAATTTTGCCTGGTTTGGTTAAAGAAACGGTTGAAATAAATCTGAAGTATACAGTATTTCATAGCCTGTTTATTTATGTTTCAAAGGGATGTTACATTCTTTAGTTTTAAGTTATAAAAGCGATATTGATCTTCAAAATGATTATCATGGGAGTTGGACTAGCAGGGTATTTCATGCGTTGGCACTCCAGTTGACGATTTTCAGGTGTACGCTGCGTGCATGTACATATCAAAAATTGTTAACAGGTGTTCTAACACATGGATATCATGCTAGAGAAGGACATAAAGGAGGAAGGAGAGGAATCAAAAGGACTAAAATATACCGAGGAATTACATAACCTTCCATCCTTGAATCAACTAACCTTCCAGTGTTATCAGTATTTGAGTCAATAAAACGTGTTCTGTGAGTAACTTTCTTCCTTCGGACAGCTGTTTTGAGTTCCTGAACCTCCAACAGTTGTTGTTTATAGTACTACTTCGAAATTTGTAACCTAATCTCTAGACGGATGCAGACTGTCATGTCAGCCAGTACCAGACTCCTGACTTCCAGCAGAGAATCGATCACTCTAGACTTCATAAATTTAACTAAAATGCCATTTTTAAAACTGAGCTGCATATACTGTATGATCAAGACAACTCAAAAACATTCAAAAGAACCTGTAGTACAAAACCAAATACAGGTAAACATGCACCAGTATTCCAGTAATGTGGGACAGAAAAAAATTGTATTACAGTGATATATTACATGCATGCAATAAATTAAGTTATTTTATCTTGGACTTATTTTTTCAGTGAGGCATGGAGCAAAGGTTGTTTTCTGTGCAAGAGGAGGTAATAGTTTTTAATTTTATACAACTAATGATTGTCTTTAATTTAAACCAGAATAAAGTTTTAATGCATGGTCTTATTTCATTATTATCACACATTTACATGTACATACCTGTAAAGGTCAGTTTCACCCATATGGTTAAACACATACTCAGAATCTGAATTATTAAACTGTCCCATATATACAATATGGGGCCGTAGCAATAGCCTGAAGGTTCAATAGTCTGAACGTTCATTGGTCCAAATGTTCACTATGGAACCTTCGGACCAATGAACCCTTGATTAAAAAAACGATCAAAATGTTACCATTTTTCGGACCAATCAAGATTATCAAGACGCCCCTACAATACTGGTATAATATAATGAGTTTCACATTATGTCAATGCAAATACACACAGGTAACTTTCCCATTAATGATTCATAGAAAAAGAAGCTTTACTGCATGTAGACAAATATACATTAGAGTGTACCTCTGAATAAACTACATTATAAATAGCTATCTAAGTTATAGCAAGGAGTTACAAAAGTTGTGACTCCTTGGTTACAGGGAAATATACTTTCGCATAATCTGTTAAGTACCAACTATACAGTATACAAAGTTTTAAATATGCATGTACCAGTCTAAAAATACTGGGGTTGGTCTGAGTTGATGTACTTTGTGCAATCTGCACTCTTTTGTGCAGTTATGAATTCAGTTTTGAATAATGCAACCTGTACGGACAGTTCTGTTGCATAATGAATTGAGTCCCCTTCCAGATTAGTATTCTAAAGATTTTCTCATTCTGAGCTTACCCTTCAAACAATTTGTTTGCTTTAGCCCTGATCAACATACATGTTGAGCACAAAACTAGACAGGTGCACAGCAAGCACACAATAATCTTTTCAATTAAACAGGTCTGCTAAGGATTATAATTAAGCTATTTTGTTCTGTTATGCAACTGCCCAGGCATTGTGTTCAGTAAGACTGGGTTCCCATACCTAGATCAATCTAACAGGATCGATCCATCTGTAAGGGGTTTCTCACTAAATTGCTTTCAGCTTAAGTGGCTAAGATGTCTGGCACACCTACTTAAGCTGCTAAACAATAATAATTACCCTTAGCAGCTTCAGTAGGCATGACAGACATCTAAGCCGCTTAAGTTGATTGCAATTTAGCAAGAATCTCACAAAAAGAAGCTCCCTTCCACCAAAAAAAAAAAAAAAAAAGGAAAAAAAGTGGAGTGGGGGTCCTTTGGTTATCTTATCTTACTACCTCACAACTTTTAAGTAATAAAACTTCAGACTGATTATGGAGATGAAAACTGAAGGATTTATTACATTTAAAAGATTAACAATCATACCAGTGCACTGTTTATTGGTGTTTTATTTAGCATATGAAAGGAAAACTTTGAAGATTATCTCAAACTAAATTAATTTTTTAATATAATAAATGCCCAAAAATTGCCATAGCATAGCTTTCAAATCTCAAAAGTTTAAACAATAGAATTGATGACACATCTCTTCATAAATTTTGGGTTGTTTCTTTTAGAAAAAGATGGAAAAGCAGTTGAGGCTGAAGTGAATGCCAAGGGACCTGGAGAGGCAACATTTATTCCTTGTGATGTCACAAAAGAAGACCAAATCATGGTTAGGAATATTATACATGGCCTGTATATCTGTGTGCCAGTTTTATGCACATCACTTTGACCAATTTGCTTTACATGTTTTCATGGATTAAAAAATCACTTCTTTTCTTTGTACAGATAAATGTTAACAATAGTTACTAGTTGGAGACTGAAGATGCTCTCCAGCAGAGGCATGGAAATCCTTTAATTTTGTTTCAGTGCTGTTATTTAATTTTCTCTGAAAATCAGCTTATTTTTACTTGGACAATTTCCCAACTAGCTATTTTCCATAAAATTTTATTAACATTAACATTATATTCATATTAACCATTTTAGAATGTGATTGACCAGACTGTTAAAAAATATGGAAGGATAGATTGTCTGATCAACAATGCTGGCAGACGTAAGTTTTTATAATGTATGGCCCCATATATTCAATCAGAAGTTCAATTTTGTCTAGGGATGGGGAGAAAGAGTTGGTCTGAAGGGCTCCATTCAGAATGAGAAGATCCGAGTGCTAACTGGTCCACGGCTTAAATATGGTGGACCTACTTGAAAGGTAGACCACTTCATCCAGTAATAGTCTCTCAGCCTCTTACACGCCTCCCCACACGTCGTCCCGGCAGGGGCACAGTAATTAAATCTTGCCTCCATTCGACCAGATTCGTGGGGAGGCATGTGAGAGGCAGAGAGATGATCACAGGACTAAGCGGTCTTACTTTCATGTAGGGTCTGCCATATTTAAGCATTGGACCAGTTGATACTCAGGTCTTCTATTCTGGCCCCAAGGTTCATTAGTTGGAAGGTCCATTTTGTGTTCTAAATTTTTTATAATGGCAATTGTTCTAAAAAAAATCCAGAGTACTGCACTCACATTTCTTTACCAACTTAAACCAGTTTTGTACTACAGAACTTATCAGAAGGGTTCCAATAAAGGTACCTAGGAAAAAAGGCTGTAATTACTCTTGTGTAAAAGTTAATGTATTGAAAGAAAGGTCTTTCTTTTAAGAAGTAGCCTGCCCTTCCAATCTGTCACTGTCTTAAACTTATGAGCATCCATATTTCAGATCCACCATTTCATCCAATTGATGATTTTAGTGCAGAAGATTTCAGACAACTTTTGAATATGAATCTGGTTAACTACTTTTTGTTTGCTAAGGTGTGTATCTTTCTGTCAACTCAGCACGAAATTGCTTAGAGATTGAAAATAAGAAATGAAGAATACAAAATAAGAGTTGTGTTCTGATATGGGTTACAAATGGTTCATTTTTAAATAAATCAATTAAATAAGTCTAATTTAATAAATAAATCAAATTAAACAAGTTTCCCAAAATTTCCTATAGTTTTGTTTTCTTTACTATAGTACTCTTTACCTCATCTGCGAAAAACTCAAGGCAATATTATTAATGACTCAAGCCTTGTAGGACAGATTGGGCAGCTGGAGGCAGTGACTTATGTTTCCACCAAGGTACAGGACTTCTACAGTTTATACTTCCTCACTACGTGCCTTTTACATCATCATGACTTGGGGACATAACTTCACAAATTACTTGGTCACAACAACAAACTTGTATTTTACGATGTTAATGTAATCCATATGCTCCACACTGAAGCCTTATTTACCTGATAGAAGAGGGTTGGATGAAAAACAAAACATTTTGATTTTGGTGCAAAATATTACGTTAAAACAAAAAAAAATTAATGGTCACCTCCAGTTTATTCTACGCCTGATCAACCACCAATGAAAAACCTGTAAATATACATTTCAAGGCTTTTATCTCCACTTGACCTTAGCCGAGTGATACCTGTTGCATGCATTAATTATTTGCTTTTTTACTTTTCAATAGAAAATGCAAAATAAGACCAGAGGTATAAATTGCATTATTTATATTATAAATGGACAGCAAGGTACACATGTGCAATCAGTGAAAATATTAAACAAAGGGAGCATAAGTTTGATAAATGGTTAACAAAAATTATTTTCCTTTAAATTTTCAATAATTTCCAATTATTACACATTGTTACATATATATATTATAGATTGATTTCTTGACCTATACTTGAAATTTCAGGGTGCAATAACTGCAATGACCAAAGCCTTAGCAATTGATGAAGCCAAGTATAATGTCAGAGTAAACAGGTAATTATATAAACTATGATTCTAGTCAAAAATTGCACCAATATGCACAACATACTTAAAATTACAATGTTAATATATTGAATGAACTGAACTTACCCAAATTAAAAAATTTAAAGACAAATGCATTGTGAGCTATACACTTGATTATCTTTATAATCCCCAGCATTGCTCCAGGCAATATCTGGACTCCCATGTGGGCTGAGGGGGCTGAATCTACTGAGAATGCCGAGGCCACAGTTAAAGCTGGAGAGAACTGTCAGGTATAATATTTAAAAAATATTTATCATGATAGTAACATTTTCGGATATCATAGCAAAATTTTTATGTAACCTATAAATGTTTTTACAGAAAAAATTCTAGCTACTAGTACTGTTTGTATTGAACTGAAGTTTTAATTTTTATTGATTTTTCAATACAAGTTAAACTCCAAAAAAGTTTTGATGATCATGTTCTTTTGCGAGAGAAGGTTGAGCAAATTTGGTTTAAATTCAATATTACAGTTGCTGGGGCGTATGGGCACCATAGAAGAGAGTGGACTTGCCTGCCTGTACTTGGCAGCAGATGCAACCTTCTGTACTGGCATAGAACTCAACCTTTCAGGAGGGGCTGAGCTCAGCTATGGAAACAAGTCCAGGATGTCTGGAAAAGGGGTCTATGACTAAAACAGGGAGTCTTGATTTGGCTATTAGAATAATATCGGTGCCAAAAAATTACAACATGCAGTCTGAAAATCAGTCTTGAATGGTTCTGCCTTTTTTTCAACTGGAATGAACACGTTCATTGTTTTCTTCATTTTATTTTAATTAATAGGACTATATAGTCCTTTCTGTACACTGCCAGTGCCATGAATCTATACTCATATTATACAAAATATATTCAGAAAATGGCGTACATTGGTCAATTTTAGAGAACTGTATTACTTTATATGAATTTAAGGACAATATTTACAATTGCAGTTTTAGTAGAGTCTTATCATTAAGTTGTGATAAATACCTTTATGTATAAACATGCTTCTTATGTGATTATATAAATGCATTATATATCATCATCATGACAATCTGAATAAATTGTTCAGTTTAGAAGAAAACTTTGGGACAAGATTTGTGATTTGTGTCCTGTGATCATCTTCAACTTCAAAAGAACAGGCTGTAATGTTTGTTCAGTTTAACATAAAAAACTGCAGTGACACATTACATTTTGTGCAATTGTAAAAAGTATACAAAAACAATAAAATTAAAAATGCTCTAGTATACTTCAAAACTGTCTAAATATCTAAATTATTACCATACCATATCAAAAGTAAATCTTGACTCTACAATGTATGTGCATAAATTATTCTCATTAATGATATCTCTCTTGCCCTTTTTAACACACTCTTTCTTTTCTTTCTAATGTTTATTTGTAGAACGTGTACTGCATCTGAAATCATACTCACATGGAGATCTTATTGCACATCAGTCTAAGAAAGCAGAAAATTTCCAGGATACTCCATGTGCAAATCTTTCTTATCAAATGGTATACACAAACTAATTGTTATCTTGGATATCTTCCATTGAAGTTTTTTCTAATTCAGTTTAATGTACTTTGCAATCCATCCATTCATGTTCTGAAATCTCTGGCATTTGTGTGATATCATAAAAGTCATCACATCATTTTTCTTATTGTTTCTTATTTTCAAGAGACATTATGAAATCCCATTCCTCTGAAAATACAATTTAACACCAAAGGTTATATGAACAGTACAAAAAATAACATAATTTCAGTAATTAAGCTGTAGTCCTAAAAAAATATATAGAATCAAGACTTAACAATAATTACCATCATGAAACTAAGATTTTGAAGAACAAAGTTTTGGACACTATATTTTTTTTCACTAAAAAATTGGGTGTTCATAAAAATTTCTTCAAATTGAGTTTGAATATCATGTCTCATTCACACTCATGTACGCACACGCACACACACACCTTTTGTGATGGGCTGCACAGAAAGTCTGGCCCTAGTGAAAAGAGCCAATGATTTCAGAGGACCACCGGAGTCCTTGTGTTTGTGATGGATTTCTTTCAGTTCAGAGAGAGGGATGTATCTCTTGAGCATGCGAACAAACTGCACATCTACCATATGCCAACGTGGGTCATCCTTCTTTGACTTCCTGGGAGACAAAAAAAAAAAAAAAGATAGAAAGAAAAATATAATTAAAAAGAAAATTAAAACAAAATACAATTATTAATAAGTTTCAACTTCAAGAAAACATCCATTTTTTAATGATGAATCTTTGAATGATTACTTTGAAGAATATCACTGTGGTTTTGTGAAATTTTTTTTATTTTCAACAACTTTAAATCATTGAACATCTCTAAACATGATTAACATTGTGCCATTACCCTCTTTGAAAGAATCTTTCCTGTCTTAAAACACATTTCTACTTACGGATCATAATGGATGTCCTTTTTATCAAATTGAGTGTGATCTGGGTAGCTCTCTTTCACTATCTTTAAAATATATGTTCAAAGTTTTGTGTCAGTTGCTTTTAATTATTTTATCACTGCATAAATAGTTAAATATTAATTTAAATTAAACTCTCTTTAATAAATAAAAATTAGCACTTCATATGAAAATACATTATTTTATGATATATCTTATGAAAATACATTATATTGTTTTATTTTAAAATGAAATTCCATGCAACACTCACTTTTATAATCCCTACAATACCAGGTACCTTACAATTACTGTGGTAGAAGAAGGCAAGCTGTCCAATTTTCATCTGCTTCATGAAATTTCTTGCCTAAAAAGAAAATTTGCATTTGTACTGCATCGTCCATAGTTTGCTGATTAATAGTCTGAACAATCAGGACTTATATTTGCTAATGCTTAAAAGTCTCTTTTACCTGATAATTTCTTACTCCATCCCAGCATGATATTTGGTTTTCCTCTTTCTTTAAGTCTTCAATTCCAAACTAAAAAAAAAAGCAAATGAAACAAAGTAGTTGTGGTCCCTGATGTGTTCATGTTGCTTTGGGGGGGGGGGGGGCAGACAATGAAGCTGATTACATTGACTACTCCTTAGCAAGAATCCTAGCTGAGATAGGTCGATCCTGCTAGTATGAAAACTTCTATTCTGAACACAGCCTTACTTTACCTTTTGAATGAACTTGGGGATGCGATAAGTTTTATTTCTTTAGCTTCATAAAAAATATAGACAATGAAAAAACTTTTTCTATGGACCTTCTGCGTAATTCTGCACTTCGTAATTTGTCCATGATCTGGACCATGAAGAATCATGAAGAATCTGATTTTCAGATCTATTGTACATGTGTGTAGATTCATCTATAGTACACTCCAGCTTCTAATTAACTAACCTTAACATCCACCCCTCCTTCTATCCTACTCTCGGGTTCTGACTTCATAAGCCAGTGTGTGTATACAGGCTGATCTTCTGTTCCTGTACTTTTTGAAGTTTTTGTCCTTTTTGGGGCAGGCTCTGCTGATCCCTTCTCTAAAATACATTTGATAAATACCAACAGTCTAGCTGTTTGCTTGAATAAGATGAATGTACTACATGTAGTATACTGATGGTTAAGTAACATAAAAACATAGTGATTAATACTGATAGATTCTGAATTGATGCTTCGTAAATGATATAAGATACATCCGTTGGATGTCCGAGTACATAGCGTTGTAACTAATCAATGAACTAAATTGCCTGATCCAAGGAGGTACAAGAGTCCTCTACAGTACTGGTACAGGTGTACTTCCTTGCGCGATCTTTACACATTCACCCTGATGGTGCCATTTATCTTATATAGCATCTTGAGGCAGTGCTATCGACAAATAAATTGACCCCAAAAAGCTGGAGATACACTTCACCTTTCCGTTGTCGCTTTTTAGGAGGCATACTGGTTTCAATTTGTAAACATAAACAAACACACGTGCAAATCTCCCGCAAATTTTACGACACTCGTAAATGGGATCGCGCATGTGTACTGTAAGGAAATAGCCAATATGGCGGCTGATGCGTCCGTTGCTACCTAAACGTTGAGGATATTGCATTAAGGTTTTCACTGAGTTGGAATATGCCATAAAGACAATGCAGGAAAATTAAAGTAACTAATGAATTGGACTTTCACAGGGATATGATATTTAGGTGAATATTTTCTACATACGTTGGATATAGTTTGCATTAACCTTGCTTACTAATGCCACTTTGGATGTTGTGAACTGTGACTTTGATTTGTCATTTATTGCAGACTCACCGTTGGAAGTTTGATGTTGATTTAGCCTATATAAGTGCATACCATATGGGCTGTACAGACTAATTTTTTACGTTCACATCAGTTATAATGTTTTGGATCATATTATATTGCTAATTTATTAAACTTGCTGTTGGAAATTCGAAAAGAATTGTTTTATTTTTTAATATTTTTTATATGACTTTACTAAACATTCTAGATCCCATCAGGTACACATAATAATTTATAATGTTATTGTTAATATTATGCTGTTTTTAAGTGCACTGTACAACACAGGTACTCTTCTGTCCATTACCCATGTGCTGCTTTCCTCAGTTTTCGGCCTTACTAGTGCATGTTACAGTAGGTACCCAGTATTTACTGTACTGTGGGCAAGGCCTCATAACACCCTGTGTTTCAATCTGTTGAGACTATAAATATTCAGGTACTGGAAAATGTGTGTCCTCTGGTGAATCTTGAAGTATATTATAGTTCACAATTTAAAGTTCTTTTGTATCAGTTCATGCACCTGCTTGATCAAATTTTAGTACTAGTTACAACACGAGTCGTCCACTGTATGCGACATGCAAGAGCGTAATTATATCGAAATGCAGCAGAGATATAATTTGCTCTTGTATGCTGCATACAGTGGACGATGAGTAGTTGTAACTTACTTATACCACAGCTGGCACTTCGAACAATAGGATGAACGCAGAGAAGTGTATGAAAATACAGGCAAAGCCTGTATGCGAAATACAAGTCCAATTATCCTGTTGTTCGAAGTGCCAGCCATGGTATAGATCTTTTCAATCCAGCTATATGGCAACTACTACTATTACACACTGCATCTGGCCCCGAGAATTTCTAATAAAGGGTGAAGTGATGCCTTACCTGCATAGCATGTAGGGCCGGAAACTGAAGCAAATAAAGAAGGGATGTATATCAGATAGTTCACATATATGATTCTGATTATTATCATTTTTTGCACTGCACCAGTATCAAAACATTTTTATCATTATTAGTAAAAAATACTGGTTAACATAGACATCTTTAATTTTTTTCCCGAAAGTGAAAAGAAGTAACATTTCTGTTTGTTTTCTTGTAGGTGACATGAGATGGCTGTAGCACAAGAAGCACCACAGCATTACAGGTAGTGTATATATTGTCACTTATTAAATGCTCTACATGCTTCTTTTCATTTAATGATACTGTAATCTGTTGTAGTCACATACACTGTAATTAGTTATCAACATGAAAATTTCTTGTTCCCCAGCCTAATCATGGACCCTGGATTACAACGTCCACAGAGTGCCCTGGGTCAGAGAGGGGTGATGATCACAGAATACAAGGAGGCCAGAGTCAACCCAGAGCCCATTGTGTTAGAGGAGACAGACCTGTTGCTAGAGGAATATCTTTCTCCAAGAAAATTGGTAAATACGATTTCATTGATTAAATATGATAACCTTTATTTTTATCAGACCAATGGTAACTTTTTCAATCAAATTATTATGACAGTTGCACATTTAAAAAAAGTTATTTGTTTGAACTATTATTGCTCACTTTTTTGTACAATAAACGCATGGTTTTTCATTTCTTTTCATTGCAGAGGTTGCTGACAGGCCTGGATAATCTAGAGGAAGTGAAATACCTGGAGATGAAAGTTGATACTTCAGAAACCAGTCTGGGAAACTTTGGCCAGTACCTTCCAAGTCTGACGCAGTTGAAGCTTGCTAACAGTATTATAGCTTCTGTGAGGTATTGACACGAATGAATACTTTTCACTAGGAAAAATTGTCTTTTTAATTTTTTTTTACCCACAAACCTGTAGATTTTACTGTTAAACCATTTGCTTTAAGTTACTGAATGTAATTTATGTTTAGAACTGAAACTGGTTGTTTTCTTAGTTTTTTAAAAATTAATTATTTTTGCATGGGTGGGCAGGTTTGTGGGGGCAGAATTACCATGTAAACACATATGAAAAAAAAGGGAAAAACGATGAAGCAATATTAAATTTTCTGCTACATTTACTTTTTCTTACCTTAATTTTTTCTGATTTCAGAGATCTTGGTTCCTGTTTCTCAAAGTTACGAGTTCTTTGGATGCAGAGGTGTGGTTTACATGATCTGGACGGCATATCTTCTATGTGTAACCTGAAAGAACTTTACTTAGCCTACAATGAAATCTCTGACATCAGTCCATGTGGGATGTTGGACCAATTGAAGATTCTAGATTTAGAAGGGTAAGGGTTAACAGTGCACAGTTACTATTCTTTTTTTTACTATATTTTTACATGACTTTATAGGTTATAAAAATTAATTAACTTACAAGCGCTTTTTCAGTTATGTTTTATTACATAATGCTAGAAAATTAAAGCTCATTTTAAATACTGTTATTACATATTATAAAGTATATGTGTCTTTCACATATCTAATATTATTATTTCTAGGAACAACATAGATGATGTTGCTCAGATTGAATTTCTCTCTCTGTGCTCAAGTCTGACACATTTGACTTTGGATGGAAACCCTGTGTGTATTACGCCTTCACCTGAGAAAGCAGTGGTGAGTACATACACCATCCTGTGACCATTAGTTTGTATATTTACAGCTCTAGTCTTCTATCCATGTCAGATGAAACTAATTATATGCACGTTTTACAAAAAGATATAATTTTGAAATGATTGGAAAGTAAAACTGTTCACTTCTCAAACTGTTTGAAATTGTTTAATGCGAATTTTATTACACTATTAATGGGGGAGGTGTTTACTTTCAGCCTGACTATGACTTCAGACAGGCTGTAAAGAAGTGCATTCCCAATCTAATGTATCTGGATGATGAGCCTCTTGTTATTACCTCTGGAAAGTCAGACCTTGGCAAGAAGACATCTTCAGTATTTTTAGATGATTGGAAGTTAATAAATGAAATGATGGAAGATGTCACTGTTGGGTCTAGTGAAAGCTTAGATGGTTCCGGGAAAAGTGAGTACACCCTTGTACTATTTATCTCAGCAATAAAGTGAAAAAAAAGAGGGAGAGGTTCTTGAATATTTACTACAAGCATGAAATTCGGTACAGTTATCGCAAATACTATATTAAATTTTTTGGATGTAGGGAGGAGCCTGAAATTCCCAACATGGCCACCAAATGAAAATGGCCAATACGAAACATTAATCACATAATACATGTAGATACATATGTCGAATGAGATGAAGCTTGTTTTAAAGCAATAATAACTCTTCCTTTGAGATTCAAAAATCCGCATGAAATACATTGTAAACAACGAATGGAAATATATTCTATTGTATTTTACCACTAAAATGGCCGTTATTGTAGGAAAACTAAAATCTGTGCTTGTCAATAGGGCTTTCGATGCCTTTTTTCCGGTCGACAAGTGCATTCGTTGCTAATGACGTAATGGTGTCACGCGGATTCTCGCGTTCATTCGAGTCCAAAATAACATGGCGCCAAACGCATTAGTGCAGACGCAGACGTAAGTTGCGAGTTTTTGTACAGTGCATCGGATAACGAAAAGCCCAGAATGGCACACATTGTGGATATAAATGCATTTTTAACAAAAAGACAAATATATCTCATGAATCTTGTATAGTGTTGTTGTTGTCTGCTTTTCCCGCGGTTTTAAGTAGGTCACCAGTGACTTTGCAATGTCAGAGAGAGCTCCGTCAGTTAAAATCTCTTAAGAGATTTTAACAAAAAAACGTACGCTTAGGAAAAAAACCCTGGATTAACTTTGAATGCAGGAATGGGGATGTTGGCCATTGGTAATTACGGGAAAATTGCTGTTTTTTCCAGGAAAATCCAATTTTTGGCCACAACGAAGAGTTATTATGACTTTAAAAGAAAAGTTCGAGATTATAACAAAGTCTTAGTTACGGTAAAAGTTTTGGGATTGTTGCCATATCTATATTGTATTCTTGCCTTCAGGTCGACCAGGGACAGCCTTTCGACCTACCACTGGTTATAGACCAGGGTCTGCCCTGAAAAGGCCGACTACTGCCAGACCTTTGACTACAGCCAGTGGAAAGAGGCCAGGCTCAGGGGGAAGACCTGGTACATCTGTCAAAGGACCAGAGGGTATGGTATAAGCTTCTGTCATTAGACAAAGCATACATTGAATAAAAGGCTTTGATGTGGTTTGTTGGAGTAATCAAACACATTTAAATTTTGGTGTATGAATAACAGAGACATTGCTCAAAATTTGGAATGAATCATTAATTGCCACAATGCCTTTATTTTTTGTAGATCTGCATTGTATTTGCTGATCCTGACAGAAATATGAGATATGAATACACCTCCATAGTTTTCATTATAAAGATGTTTTTTTTTAAAAAGAAAGGAAGCAGTAGTAAAAATGAGCCATGTCACAGCATCAGGGCATTAAAACTATGCTGTTTTTTATGTAGAAGTTGTAGAAGAGCCAGATGATGGCAGTGACCTGACACTAGGTGGAGTAGTGTGTGGAAATCCTTCCAAGGCACTTAGAGCCAAGAGAAAAGAATCACTAAGGATGCAAATGGCTGACAACCCTCCTCCATTATTTGCTCAAGTAGGTGCCAGTCCCATTTATTTGTAAACACTTACATGATGCAGTTGCCTGGATTGCTCTTTTGTTGTCAAGTTATCAAGCGCTTGTGAATTTGTTGTAATCAGCAAATTTATGATACAGATAAAGTAGTCCTGAATAATTGTGTTTGTCAGTGTTTGACAAAAAGTATTTGTCAGTGTGAGCAGAATTGACAAACTAGAAAACAAAGATAGAACCCAACAATAAATTTTAAGCTTAAATACCAGTACCTATAACATTGCTATTAATTTGATTTCGTATATATGTATATTAATCAGATGTTTTTTGTGTCTACTTCAGCATAAGTTTAAACCAGAGCACTCCTATGATACAATTATGGAGGAGAACTCTGATATGAAAGAAATAATAGAAGAACTGAAAGAATGGAGATCAGAACATGACAGGTAGGTGCAGGCTATGGGGCCTCTGTGGAAATTAGATGATAGAGGCTTGTTTGAAACTGTTATAGAAACCATTTAAAGTAGGTTGGGCTCTATTTTACAGAAAAGTAAATGCAGTGAAATTTTACAGATCTTATTTTGATCATAATAAAAGGGTAAAATTAAAAGATGAAAAGTCATTCAATAGCAAGTATTATTATTATTGATATGAAAGGTTTTTTTATGATGTGGACTGCAGCCTTGTTATATCTCTACATTGTATATCAATAATTTCAGACGGGTACACCAAATAGAAGAATCTCGAGCTCCACAGGTATTAAAGTTATCTGATCTAATATCGAGTGGAGAAGATGAGCCTGTTTCAGATACAGAAGACCTAGATCCACTGAGTGATAGTCTTGATGTGACCAGTAGTATAGAAGTTAGTAGCAGAGGCAGAGAAAACTCTTTAAAGGAGGACTATGGGAGGAAAGAGAGCCCTACTCCCAGGCCTCCTGCTGACCAAGGTAACTTCGTGTTGGATTAATACTGTTTTATTATGTATTATTATGTATATTGGCAATCAGGTTATGTCATTGTGATAATAAGTGTGTTCTATTTTTCTTTCACATTATTTTGAATGTGTAGTGTTAAAGGGTATAAATGATCAAAGAGGTTTGGTTTGTTTAAACCTTCACTTTTCATCAACAATTTACCAAATGAAAGACTCAGCTAACCTTCATGCTAACTGACAGCATACTGACTTAAATCTTTCAGGTGCCAAACCTAAGTTTAGAAGAAAGGTACGTGGCAAATCCCAGGAGGGTATACAGCTAGGGGGAGCTGATCACGACGAGTCCTTTAAAGTGGAGAACAGTGATGATTTCGTGAGAGGCAGTAGTGACAGTATCAATAGTGACTTATCGAAAAGTACAGAGACTCCATTACAATCTGCACAGACTAATGAGAGGCCAGTGCCTAATTCTGTGCCACAGAGTGAAAATGGTGTACAGGAAAGGTTGTCATCACCTAAGAGACTTCATAGTCCAAAAGCCAAAAGCAGAAGTACAGGGCATGTTCAAGCACCAACTGTGCCAATAGTTTCTACTGCTGATGAAGATAGGCCTCATTCAGGACCAGTGCCAGCCAGCAAGGGGATATTTAGGTGATTGTTATGTATATTTATTTACATACTTTCTCTCTCAGGACATAGAACTTAATGCTACAATTATAATGAATCTTTGATATCTTTGATTTTTTTTTCAGTGCACTGGAACATTTTTCAAACAACTAATTATTTATTATAATCAAAATATTTGCCTTAAAAGGTTTATATAAAAAAATTTATAGCTTTTGAAGGCTAACTTTGAAATAGAGTGGTTAGAATAAACTTCATAGACTTTTTTATTTTTGCTTGTAGGTTAGAACCCAGACCTGACAAAAAGGCACCAAAAACCATAGACAGAGCTCATCCTATAATAAGAGCAGAGGTTCAGAGTCCCAAGGCCAAGGTCCCTGTGGGACCACGTGCCCTGACTGCTAAAGCTGCTCTTGGTTCTTCCCCACAAGTTGGGGCACCCAGGATACGGAGACAGTTACCTCAGGTGCCCAGCCTTCCGTCCAAACCAGCCATGCCTAAGTGAATGGAGTGTTATTACTCTTTATGCCGTCCAAAACACCAACCACTTGTTATCCACTGGTTGTCAGCAGTACCCTGGTAATAGTGATATGTATGTACATTATTGTGCCATGTCTGTGTTACTCACCACGGGTTTCATAGTGAATTGAAAACTTACCTCTGTTACGACCAATTCAGCACCATTTTCATGATATGGAGAGTTGGTGGTGGGTAGATGATGGTCACTGTCAGTGCTTTGTAACTCAGGTGGGGTGGTACTTGGCTATCAACAAAGGATACACTATATCCCTCCAAAAGCTGACCATCCTTGTCCAAAAACCATCCAGGCAAGCTGCACTACTACTGTAGGTATTTGACATTCTTTCATAGAAGACAAAATTAACTGCAACATGCCAGCTCATTTGAATTGTGCTGCTCTTTCTTATAGATTACTTGATGCTGCTGTACTGAATTTACTGTATGAAATTTTTATGTAGTGAAAAATTATGATGTTGGAGAGCTTCACAAGAAGAACATGAAGCACAAAAACTAATTTTATACATTTGGGCAGTTATGTGAAAACAAAAGTGGGGCCACCTTTTTTCTCCAGATAATTTCTTATTCAATATTGCCAATTTATAATTTTTTTGCGTGAACTTATTTATTAAATGAGGTGCATATTGTATTCGCATTTTGTTTTTGTTTCCTAAATTGACAGTGAATTAATTATTAATTATCAATATTAGTTGTTTTGTACAATGTTAAATTATTTATGGTGAATATCCAATAGTTAATGTAAAGTTTTAACTGTCCAGGATTTGTTAAAGCTGTGGTGAACATGGATCAATAGAAGCTTGCTTGCCAAACAGTTTTTAAGGGTGACACTTGAATGGAAAAAAGAAACAGAAAAGCTAATTGATGAATAATAGAAGTTCAAAATATAATTGTGATTTTGCAGTAAAAGACTCCCAGTTCTGGGGATGGTTTGTATTCAAACTTTAAAACAGTTCCAAGAAAAACCAGAGTTAAATGTCAATATATTAACATTTTTAAGGAATTGTACATCAATTATTAACCACAAGCCAACTTCCTGTATATTTTTTATGCTTTATAATGCTGCATAATTACATATGATTTAAACAGATAATTTCTAGAACACATCCAAATAGTGACAGGTAGAAAAGGAGGGTATTTTACTGCAGTGTTCACATTTAGGGCATTGGATGTCCAGTTTTGTGTTACTTGGGTGTTAAAACCTTGTCATTGGGTCAAGTTTAAGTGCTCTTAGTCCTACCATTAATCTGATTATGAAACCAATTATCTCTGATAGAAGTCTTTTGTGAAATGAAAAAATCAATCCTAGGAGTTTTTTTAAATTCAACTCTCACTATTAGACTTTCTATCCACTCATTAGGTACTTAGGAAATTATGATAGATTCAAGTTATCATTAGAGAAATTAATTTTTTTTCTTTGTCTTCTGCTGCAATGTCAAGTTTTGTAACGTAGGCTTATATCAATGAAATGATTAAATTTTGATTGCCTTCTGTGAAAAAAAGGATTGCTACAAGTTGATCATAAATTGCAGTGAAATGGAAGTTTTTGTTGTGAAATACACAGTTTTTCACATTTGTATTAATAACTGCCAAGTTTCTGTCTGGCCAGTTCTATTTGTACATATATTTTCAAATTATTTGCCAAAGTATACATCTGTGAAATAAAATCATGGTGAAATATGTGTTGATGCTTACTTTGTGTTGTCATTTTCTACTTCTTCCACCTAATTTTCACATTTTTCAATACAAGGTAGGTTTTTAAGTAAGCAAGATACACATAAGAAACTCAATATCACTCCAGTTGTAACGAGATAGGTTTGTATAAGAACATCATTTAGTTTTCCATTTCTACTCTTTACATACATTACCAACATTTTAGCATTTGTATAAAAACAGTCAAATACATCTGACATTCTTGACAATTTTATAGAAGTTGACAAAAAGAATTTTGTTAAACTATTTAGTGTATAAATGTGATGTGTAATAGTCAATGTGATCTTTAATAGTAAAGCTATTAAACAAGCAAAATTTTTACAGGGAAATTCAAGGTACATTCAATACTCAAGAAAAAAATTTTACAGGACTTAAAATAATTTTATACTGTGAAAACACAGTTTAAATGAGAGGTTGTTTTGAAAATGACATTCAAACAACATTTTTAAGTATCAGATATGTAAATATTAACTCATATAATAAGCAAAAACAAATTGAACATATTGTAACTCTCTTCAAGTTCCTCTCACTGTACTATAGCAGACAGGGGATTAGTTTTTAGCAAATATTTTATACAATTGACTCTCTGCCATCTACAATAACAGAACTTATACAAAATAAGAAGCTAACTGTGACATTTTGTCCTTGGGTTTTCCCCTCCCTCTTCCCCTACCACGCCCCCCTCTCCCCCTGCCTCTCCCTCCTGGCCGCCCCCTTGGTGCTCCTCCTCTTCTCTTCATTGAGGCGTACTTGATGCCAAGGAGAGGTCTTAAGATGGGGTCGCAGAACACACAACCCGAGTGTTCTATAGCGCCATCTTCTAGTGGAGATTTCTCCTGGAAAGATCAAGAGGCATCCATCACTTAAATATGCCGCTGAAGTTAACTTTCAGAATAAATATCCATTCTATAATTTTTGACAATTTTAAACAATATTTGATTGTTATGGTGATGTTTCTGCCCTTAATGAGATTTCCCTGTAATCTTTTTGTGCAAAAAGATATTTTAAAAAGTATACTGTATATTTTCAGTATTTTTTTCGTCATTACACACCTTATTGAAGTCAAAATCCAAGATGGTGGCATCACAGTCCTCACAAGTATCATCAGACAAGGCAATCTTGTGGATGTTTTCTCCCATGTTAATCACTATATTACACCTAAAAACAAACAAATCCACATGTACATGTAAATGAACTAAAATAAATATACTGTATATTCTTTATCTTATTGAAATAACTTAAATTCCAGCAAAATCAGAAATATACTGCCAAGAAAGAAAATATTTGATATTTCTATAACCAAACACAAATTTGACTTCAGACTAAAAATATATCATGCTAGCCCGAGTCCTGCTAAAACAGAAAGTCAAGCAATACTGACTTGTTACAGGCCATCCTCCATTTGGGCGCAGAAGACTGGTCCAGGACTAGTACTCCATTCTCACATTCCACGCAAGATGCCACACCATTCTGACCAAGAGCATGTGGACACGTGGGGTGCGTGCACTCATTGCATCCCATACCCTTGCGCATATCACGGAATGGAGGGTGGTTATAGCAGTATGGGCATAATGGATATGACTGCAACAGAAAAACAGAGTGCTACATTTCTATGATTGCTTCCTCAAATGCAAGTTGATTGACTAAATTTAAATACAGTTTACAGCTCAATGCATCATGTTCTCTTTAAATTATATCATGGATATGTAAGTTTTCTCTTAAAAAACTCCTTTGCTCAATTCCATGTAAATATTTCATCAACGTATCTAAACACAAGCCCAGGCTCTTCCATATGAACTACATATGCACGGCTAATCATCCAGTGTTGATCTACTTGTTGCTTTGATAATTAACTTACCTTTCCTTTTGACCCTGTGGTCCATAAAACCATCTCAAAGTCATCCAGTGGACATTTTATCTCCTTGTACAACTTAATGCTGCCATTTTGTGGAAGACTGAATGTCTCATCACACTGGGAGCAATGCAGACGACTAGGTTTAGCTTGGACAAACTTCATGTACCTTCTACACTTGCCACATCTAAAATAATTCATTCCGTGAGTGTGAAAAATACAAACATGACAAAATGTAAGAGAAAACTTTAGTCATGACATTTTGCCACTTATTCAAAAATTTTGTATCCATCCTCTTGTTTTTATGGTAATAATTACACTTTTTGATAAAGTAATCACTCACTCACTCATTCATTTTTTGAAATTCTTTTTTGACAAACGTAAAAGGCATTTTTATGACAGCTCTTGCTATTCTAAGAAAGCAGTAGTATTTCTGTATTTCTCTGGAATACAGTACAAACTAAGGAACAGTACCTTGACAGGGGCTTGCCACTTGCAGCAAGAGGGGAGAAAGTGACCTCAAACAGCTCATCCATCCCCAGAATATTTTGCACAAAGTATTTGAACTTCATCTCAAAGATTTTCAGCGCATGCTGCAACACGGCATCGAAGTTGGCCCGTCCGTGTGCAATGAGAGTGAGTTGCTGCTCCACAGCTGACCTCATGGTGGGAAGCACAAGGTCAGGGTCAATCTGGAAAATATACGTAAAATGCCAACTCATCATGGTGGTGTTTTTGAGGAGAAATTACTTTTATTACAAATTAAAGATTTTAACAATATATTATTCAATAAAATGGTTGCATGATCTCTCCTACTCTTGGGACCTTTAATTAACTTCCCTGCCAACAGTCTCTTTTTAAACACATTTATCATAAAATAACATTTTGCTTAAAATTTTTAAGTGATTCAAGGTAGTAAATAGCCTACCTTCTGATAGCCATGAACTAACACAATCCCCAGAGGGGTTGGTCTGAGCTTCCTGCCCCCTATGACACTGACATAGTTCCTCTCACTAATGTTATTGATATGGACAGGTATGCTGGCATCAGTGCCTATGCCGTGTTTCTCCATCAGTGTGATCAGTTCTGACTCAGTCAGATAATCTGGAGGGCTGGTCTGCTTCTCTACTAGACGGACCTGAAACCACACACTAGTAGATAGATGTTCAAATATACTGAACAATTATTTATCTAAATAATTATTTATGTGAACAAAATGTGAAACATTCAAACTTTCATCAATCAATACCTTAATTGAAATGCTCTATATAATCATTTTGATTTACTTCTGTATTGTGACACGAAAAGTCTGTCTACCTACTAGTACCTACCTACCAACCTAGCAACCCACCTACCCACCCACCACTACTACTGTTCATGATCACCTACTCTTCCGCAGTTACAGTGATAAAAAATCTGTCTAAACCACAGCAGACTTACTTCCTCTATGCTGCAGGTCTGGTCCACCTGAAAGTTGGGCATGTTTTCATCCCCAGTGATGGCCTGCCAAGTCATAACTGCAGTAAAACCAGCACTGAGCAGAGTTTTGCCAGTACAGGTGAACTTCTCTGCTCCAACTTCAAAATATGCTGTAGTCTGCAGGTAGCGGCAGTCGGGACTCACCTGAAGAGGGCAGTGGATGTTGTCTTTAGGCTCTTTCAGAACAGAGGATTTACAGGTCCGTGGGTCAAATATGTTGACCCACTAAAAAGCTTGCCATCTTATCCGCTAATAGACACTGAATAGATTCCCCGTGGGGAAGTATTCAAGTGGGCTAGCCATATTTTACCCTCATCCACTGTTTTGAATGGGGCCTTTGATTTTGATAGGATACATACAACACAAATTTCACCATGTCTTCATTGTTTTTGCATTTATAATTGTTTATTGATACTGCTATAAAAATATTGAGCTTTGCACATACACAAGCAATACCAAAAACCAGCAAGTTTCAATATTTACTTGTAAAACCTTCAGAAAAAAAAGCCATTTTCAGCAAAGCTGCCCCTTACTATTTCATTGTAATAATAGTGTTCAATACACTTGGCAGGTGTTATTTCTCAGGTGTTATTTCTGCACTTACTGTAGCAATGAAATGCCTTGTAATGTAGTCATACAGTCTCCAGGCCTCATGGCCCAATTCAGACTCTGTGGCAGGTCTCATGGGTGTGATAGGAGGATGATCACCAGCATCTGTTCCTTTCCTAAAACACAAAGAGGTCCCAGAGATAACAGTAAGTATCATAAATTAAAACTGAGAGAGAAGGAATGTATAAAGTTTCTCCCGTACAGTTTTTTTAATTAACAAGTTCCATTCATCAGGCATTTGATGTCCATCAAGACAAAAACCCCAAAGACTGCAAAAGCAATGAGTCACTCCATGGGATGATTTAACTGCTTTTTCAAGTAAAATTGTCATGGAAAGCATTAACTTGATTGCAGCCTCCCAACATAATCACTCTGATGCTGCCTACCTCTTTCTGTATGTTCACTTTTTAATTAGAGAAAAAGTTGAGAAACTGCACCAACAGTATTGGTATAAAAGTTAGGAAATTTGCGGCTTATCAAAGTACTCAATGAAAAATTAAAGAAAAAAAAACTCACTTGGGTTTATTAATGCCCTGTTCCAGCAGTTCCCTCACTTCTTTTCCCCAGTCTGAGCTGTTCATCTGCTGCCTCAGTGTCCCTCTGATATAAATTGAAATAAAATAAAATAACTTCTAATTATAAAAATAGGAAACTATAGAAATAGCATTAAACTTTCTATTTAGCTACAAATATAAATCATACACACTGAATGACCTTAATGAGCTGAAAATGTCCAGTTTACTGCTGGTGTATGAAGATCTCATTGTATACTTTCAAAGTTATTATTACTAATTAGTCATAAGATGGGTAAACAGGTTTCCACCCTAGGCCATGTTCACATTATAAACAAATTGTAAATAATGTCAATAAACTATTTCATCAATCAAAATAATAATTATGCCCTGAAATAAACAAAGCAAGACTACGATTTGGCAAGTGATAACCTAATTTCAAACAACTAATATAAGGCTCACATAAGCATTTCTGTTATCATACTCCCTCTGCATAGAGGGCATCCAGCTAAATAAGAATTGAAAAGGAGAACATTTTTTAGACATTGTGCAAACATGTCCCACTGATAAACCAACTCCCTTAGCAATTTTTAATGGTCACTAAGTACAAAAAGAACTTTCAAAATTACAAACTGTACAAGTTGTCTTAATTCCTCATAGTTTCCCATAGGTTAACGAAACAAACTATGCATGACTAGGACAATAACCTGTAAAACACATGAAATAATAAGTACTGGGCTGCCCCCTGCAGGCTACCAATAACACACATTGCTCTCTCTCAAACCAAATTAAACCCCTGACCACCTGGGAGAGGCCGACCAGTATGTTTGTTTTCTACACCCAGTCTTCCCCATTACACGTCCCATGGTCAGTCGGAACTTTACAGCCATGGCAAGGAGAATGCTCTTTTCTTTAGTTTTGTTAATATTTTTTCCTACTGTTACCAAGGCAGCACCGTCACCTCAACCACAGGTGATGGAGTCATCAAGCACTTCTGCTGAAGGTTCTGATATGACAATAGCAGTAAATGACACTACTCCAGGACAAGGCAGTGTGAGTGAAGACAGTACTAATGTGAGTAAGTCTGAGGAAGATGCTAAAAAGACAAATGTCCCTGTCGGCAGTGACCAACAAAGAATTAAAAATGGAACTGGGAGCAAACCCGCTGAAAATATTAGAAATCACACTGACAATGTTGGCCTCATTGGAGGTAACAGATATCAAAACAGTCTTCCTGAAGCAGAAAAGCCGCATGCTGTGGAGTTCACTACTGTGCCATATACAACTCATGACACTGGTAAAGGAACCATGCCTGCTGACAGTGTGACACAACCTGTACACATAAGCAGTACTGACAGTATGGACAGCAAAGCAGCAGTTACTGTCTCCTTAGAAAATGTAACAAAGCACAGTCTACCAGTTGGAAATCCTCCAGACAACAAACTTCAATTGAAATCAAACCCTTTGAATGTCAAGGAAAACTCTACCAATCCAAGCCAGACATCACTTTCAGCTTATCTCCAAAAGGTACACAGCACAAAAAGAGATGATATCAAAAATGGAACGCAAAACGAAAAAGAAAAGCCAAAAATGAGAATAACTGTTCGAGTTGATGGCTGGAACTTCATGGAAATGTTGTCTAAAGAGTATAGGGTTAAACCAACTCCAGCAAAGTCACCTAAACACAGTGTACTTTTTGATGTGCTTAATCCCAAATATGATGACAAGGGGGTAAAGAGTAAAATGAAAATTGGGCTGAAAGTTACCCCTTTAGATAAACCACTGGAGTTAGATGCTGAGGAATCCGACAATTCAATTAAAGAAATGTCACCTCTTCAGGAAGTATCAAATGTTCATAATCAAGATAAAACCATGCCTAAAGCTGCCAGTATCACAACTGTTATTACAGAAAAACCTAACACAGCTGGACCAGCAGGTGGTCCAGTCCACTTAATTGCCTCTCTTCCGAAATCCAGAAATAGAAACCAGACAGTAAATAATACCACTACGGTAAGACCAGATCAAAGCAACCAAATCCTTTTGCTGCCTGGAGCATTGCTGTCCACTCAAGTGACGCAACCACCTGCTATTACCACCAGACAAAGTATACTGAAACTTACTGAGCAGAACAGTGAGCAGCAGCCCACCAAAGCTGACCTGAAAACCAACATCAATACCGCTGCGAATTCGGCACCAACAACAGCAAAAACAACTACAACAAGTTCCATCTCTGAAACCATGAGCAGTCAAGTCCAGATGACTTTACTGCCAGGATATGAGATAGCCAATGATACTGAAGACGTCAATAAAAATACTAGTGTGGTCAATGAAACTGTGTTTACAAATCCTCAGGATGAGAAAAATGTCACTATTTCCACTATTTCTATTGTCAACAGCAATGTCACATCTCACTACACCAATCTAAGCAGTGCTATGACTGTAAATCATACTGCACAGAATTCAGCTAATAAATCTTCGAGAAAACCTCAACTTTTGTCCAGTTTGATACATCCTGATGATTATTACAAGAACAAAAAACTTACTGGCAAGAGAGTTTCAGACAAAGAACTGACCTACACCCTGGATACATTACTTCGTCAGATGACCAAACAACAGCAGTATATTCTGGCTTTGCAATACAAGATGGACAAATATATATCAAGTCAAACTGACCCTGTGAATTATTATGCCCCAGGTAAGCACAAAAAATATATCATCTAAATAAAAAACAGTTAGTTATTGTAGGTTTTATGCTGTTACAGTTTAAGAAATTTGCTTTGTAAACCTCTAGTCAAAATTTAACTAGCTGCAAATGACTTTTACTAGACTGTCTAATAATTCTTATATATAATTAGTCTTCATATGATAAATATTAGGTCCATATTTAAAGCACTTATATTCCAAAAGGTAGATTTGTCAGACTACCATAGATGGATGTTCAAAGTACTGCCAATGAAAATTACTGTTAACATAAGTATCAGGGAATTATTTTATCAGTGGGCTGGGCTAGTGATTTGTTATATATTATTAGTCAGGTCTAGTTGTGTATTGGTTAAATTCATTTGCAGACTGTGATGTACTACACAAGGAACAAGGCATCAATGTGAGTGGGGTTTACAAAATTCAACCCAGGGGCATGCAGCAGCCAATCAGTGTTTACTGTGACATCTATGGAGGATCTGGTTGGACAGTCATACAACGGAGGACATTTGGAGGTGAAACCAGTTTTGATAAAGGTACAGTGGGTATTCACGCAGCAATTGTTTAACTAAAAAATTCTGATGAAAACCCTTTGAATTTAGAAATACATTTCACTACCTAAAACCATGGCAACGGACATATTGCATTAACAATTATATTAATTTTTCTTTCATATATTTTCTAATGTTCCAAAATCATTTATCATAAGGTTTTGTGTGGTTAGGTATTGACAACTTCTTTTAAAATACTGAATCACAAAATGGGTATAAAAATTAACATGATTCTTTATGAAACAACTATCTACTTTCAGACTGGAAGAGCTATAGGACAGGGTTTGGGAACATCCTGGGTGATTACTGGCTGGGGAATGAAAATATCCACAAAATGACAAGCTCAAAACTGTACAGTCTCAGGATAGACATGCAACTCAGGCAAGTGTCCACTACCTATTTTACATTTAAAAGATTAAATCTTTATCACACACTAGTGGGCTTGATTTGGTCTTAAAGTGCAATTTAAGAACACAAATAGTCTTGCATGATCTTAAAACGTGTAAGACCATTTCCAGTCTGACAGCCAATTAAGTTGTCTCCCCTTACACATTCTCCTATTGTGAGCAGAGGTGTCCTCTATTGTGAGGGGAGGTGTCCCCCATTGTGAGGGGAGGAAACTGCTTGACCAATTAAGTAGATGTTAGATCATTTTTGATCTTAAAAGCAGATTCAGTCCATTTTAAGACTACTGTTGTAATGATTAAGATCGTGTAAGATCACTTGTGAACTTAAATTGCACTTTAAGACCATATCTAGCCCACTAGTGACACCATTTAACATAGTTCTCTTAGATAATAGCAATTATCTGTTATCAGAGGAATATAAGAAAAACTAATTGAAGTAATTTCTGACAATGTTTTTTTTCAGGAATGTGGACATGTGGAAATTTGCAGAATATCAAGAATTCAGCATAGCAGCAGAGGACATCAATTATCGCCTGACCATCGGAAACTACTCAGGTGATGCTGGGAATGCACTACACTATCACGATGGGATGATGTTTTCCACTGAGGACAAGGACAATGACCTGGCTCCCACAGATAACTGTGCTGTGTTTGGGGGCTGGTGGTACGAGGACTGCCATTATGGGGACCTCAATGGTTATATGAGATGGAGTGGGGCTTACAACTCATACTACAGTCTTGGGAGGAGTCTTATGAAAATTAAGCCATTGCAGTGATTTTCGACAAAAGCAGATTTGTCCACATTTTTCTTGCACATGATTACTCAACAATGAACAAAATATTCTGGCATTTTATTTATGTGATATACAGAGGCACATATTTATTTAGCAAAGTTTTTTCTATATATTCCCTATTACTGACCAATTCTTTGAAGATAATTAGGATAATAATCTTAATTTTTGTGTAGTATAAATTGTACTGATCAATAATATCATAGATATAAATGTACTCACTTCAAGTCAAAGTTTTCTGGATAAGCTGTTGTCTCAGTTCTGGGGTAGCTGATGTATCCTTGAGTGTACAGTTTCTCAGCTATCTGCATGGTGTGCTGGGGACCCATTCCTTATGACAAATAAATGAGTATTGTATGATCACATAATTCTGTTTTATTCATGGCATTCATATTTAGTAAACGCAGAGAATAAAGCATGTATGCTATAAAAATCACAACCTACCACTTTTCAAGAAAATTTATATAACCTAACAGGTACCCTGGATTGAACAATACTAGTTAACTGATTTTAGAAGCCTACAAATACTTTGAGTCAGGAGTATCTTACCAAGACCTGAGCTACCAACTCTCAGTAGCTCTACTGTGTTCAGTGCCTGTGGACGGGCTTTGGTCTTTTCCTTGTTAACAATATTTACAACTCTGTAATGAAATTAAAATGCAGATAAATTTTCATAACCATCTGGTGTTTGAGTCCTCTATGCATGGTTGCAGCTATACAGCTTAAAATCTTATTCTGTTCTTTAAGAATACTTGAGCTTTTGTTAAACAAGTCCTTAGTGTTGTTTGAATACATTCTTTTGACTTAAATCACTGTAAATAATGTATCTAAAGGAAAGAAACTAATCATGGTCCCCAACAAGCTGCTGGAAAAATAGAATTGTAGTAGTACCCATATACTGTGCAAACTCACCTGGCCTTGTCAGCTCCTTTCACAATGTTAAGGAACATTTGTGCTACTTCCTTGTCAAATATCCTTACTCTGTCCCAGTCCAGGTGGAGGGTTCTACCACTAGGGTGGGTCACCTGAAGGACACAACACACCTTTAATACTACAGACAATTCCACGGGCAAAATTCTATATCTAATACTGTAGTTTTTTAACTTGATGTGAAAATTATGTTATATGTATAAAATAAACCTTGTCAAACAACAAAGAATATTCCTCTTTCTCTTACTGCCATATTACCTTGTTCAAATTAATTTCTTAAATGGTCAAACCAAAAGCACTCATGTAAAATTTAAAAAAATTATATATACTTTTATTAAGAAAAACATTACATGACTGCAATGCTCTTCAACCTCTAATATGAATTCTAGATTACAGAGCAAAGCATAAGAAACTATGTTATACACTGACTGTACTTACAGGGAGTTGTATGACCCAGAATGGCTCTGGTTTAAAAGATTGAATCTTATCATGCCTTTCCACACAAAACCCTAAGGTAGGTGTTTGACATGGTCCATAGGATATCAAAGTGCTGTCCAGATCTCCATACTTCCCCTAAAAACAATAATTGATTTCACAGTAAAAGACAAACATTATACTTAAAAGATAGGTGAAATTAGTTCGATGAAAGCTATGCAGCATATATATATATATAATTATTTTCTCATCCGTTTTCATCACCGTCTCATTTTAGCTTCAAATCAATAACTGGGGTAGCACTAACACTCACCAATTTAGCCAAATGCTAAAACTGACTTAAATTGGCTAAAGAAGAAGGGCTTGATTTGACATGTTTTAGCCAAATTATAACCATTTTGATAACAAATTGACAAAAATGTGGTGATTTGGCTAAGTGAAAAAAATTGCTAGCGCTACCCCAGAATAATATAACTGAATGTCTTTCATGAAGTTTATTACCCCCGCCAAGGAGGTTATGTTTTCATCCCTGTTTGTTTGTTTGTTTGTTTGTCTGTCATCAACATAACTCAAAAAGTTATGGACCCATTTTGATGAAATTTTCAGGAACTGTCAGAAGTGGGCCAAGGAACAGATGGTTAGTTTTTGGTGGTGATCTGGATCAATAATTAATCAATAATCAATAATAATCAAAAACTGCTGCTTTGGCAGAGGTCTGCGCTCTCGGAGTGCTTTTCTAGTTTGCATTTACAAATCTAAAAACTTACTTGGAAAAACTTGGTTTGATATCTTGTAAAAGCACATCCAATTCTCAGATCTAGTTCTTGTCTGGCATCCACAGACATTGCTTCATTCTTGTTCGGGCTGCCTAAGTTAGCCATGGCCCTCTTGATGTCTGCCTCAGTTATAGCACTGAAGTGGGCTCTGTATATGGTCTTAGGTAATAAATAGAAACAGAATATAAGTATGACAAAAAGATGCTTATAAAAAACCTGGAAAATTTCATCAAATATTTACATCTGTAAAGAAGAATAAATACATATATATGGTTAGTCTAAAGAGGTTTTTAGTGCCAATTACTTTTAGCAATTCACTTAGCAATACCAACCTGATCACCTCTTGACCTGTTCATGACATGCTGAACAGAGTCAATCACTTCAAAGCAAATGTTTTCACCTTCTTTATCACAATCCAACCATAGCACCAGGTAGTCACATCCTCTAGCCTATAAAATACAGCATTAAACACTAGCATATTAAGAGGAGCTTCATGTTAAAATGTCATAGCAAACATTTGGGAAATCTGCAAATTTGTAACCATTACTTTCCACTCTTGACTTCCTATACCCACTGTTAAGGCAATAGACCAAAGCTGAGAAACTCAGTTTTTTTCTTAATAATGTAATAATAATATATTTGATTGTTAATGATTTTTTCTGATTTACCAGCAAGTCAACAAATGTTAAGGAGAGACAACTACCTCTTTTTCCAGGAACTTGGGCATGTGGAGATTAACTGAAGCCTCTTTCTTCTGCGTTGGAGCATGAAACAATTCTGCCTGTTAAATATATAAAAAATAAATTTATTTTCCCCCACACAAAACATTTTGGATGACATGTTGATCAACTTGATATTTCCTTTATAAAACAATGTTGGGATAATATAGTGCACTTTATCATTAACAGTAAACAAACAAAACGTGGGAGTGTTGAAGGTAAACGGTTGTCAAATGATTTCATCGGATTCATCCCCACCCCTCCCTTCTCCCTTAGACTTTCTGATGTAAATTTTGCACAATGAAGCTTTTTATTTTAAAAACGACATAAACACTAACCGGGTCAACTTTGTCCCAGTTGTTGTACTTCCCAATGAAGTCTAGACTCATAACATGGCCGCACACGGATGTCATCTTGAAGCGTACAGTCTCGCCGAGAAACTTGCCGTTGTATTCGTGAATGGAGCAAGCACCATTTGAGCCTTTTCTGCTATTCATGTTTCCGTTTGAGAGAATTTTCGCCAAGGCCTGGGCCAAGGATGGCTTCTCTGCTACCATAAGTACAGTCTTCATTTTCAAACTCTTGTAGATTACCTAGAATTAGCAAAAAATTGAAGTAAATTCAGACGTCCACCTCATTCAGATGGGGGCGGCCATTGCAAATCTCGCGTGAGAATTAGCACGAACGAGAATTAGGACATAGTGCGCCAAGTTTGACTCTTAACTCAGTTTCGATGGTGATGCCGGTTAATCAGCACCCAGGCTTGGCGAAGAAGACTTGAAATGGACATATAGTCGATATTTCGCACGTGCCTATGTATGGAAAAAATTGATCTAGGGTAAGTGCGTTTTGTGAGTGGACGTCTTATTCCTCCCCCCCCCCCTTTCAGTGCTTCACATTTTTGCTCTTGCCGCTACAGTCACATAGAAACACTTGCAACTGCTTAGTGACAGTTGCAGAATCATGTAATTAGGCACAGCTTTAAATGAAAATATATATTAAGAGATTGCTTACAATTGTTATGCAATGTTTACTTATTTAAAATAAAAAAGGTTTGGGTTATATGATATTTTAATTGAATCCACATAAAGAATCACAAAGTGCATCATTAAGTATAATGACTAATGTGAATTTGATTGTTTTGAAATTTCATTGTTTTATGTTTCAGAATTTAAACCTCTCTGTTCAGTTTTCTGATACATGGTTTAAGAATCATGGGAGATAAAGAGTTGAAACCAGAAGAGATTGAAGAATACTCGAGTGAGTTTACTGTACTACTACATGTACAGTAATTACAATGTATACCTCTGTACAATCATAAACAACACTAGGAAAATATTTGCAACAATTGTGTAAATAAGTAATGATCAGTAAATATATATATATTGATGTGTTACTTATGGTATGAGAATATACCTAACATTGCGTAGTGCTTACAGGTACATATATATATATAGAATGACTGTATATATTTGATATTGGTTTAAGTTTAACTTGGGTGCTTTATTCCAGAAATCTTTCAAACCTATGCATTGTCTCACCACGAAGAAGAACTAGTTGATGTACTGTCAGACGAGGACAATGGGGACCATTATGGTATCAGTGTAAAGTAAGGCTAATTTTCACCTTGGTACCATGGTTAACAGTACTAACATGTTTCAGCCCACCTGTTACCCATCCTAGTAGACCATGTAATTCAAAAAGTCTAGTCTGAATATGAAGTGTGTAGAAAATAGAAAATTAATAAATCAGATCAAATTAAACACTTAAAAATCTAAGTTTTCTTTATTATTCTGACACCAGTCAATTGCCTCTGACTATACTTTTTTAAAAGACTGTTAAATAGAAGCGACATTTATGAAGTGAAAGTCAGTATGCATAAGAATCATGTCTCATTAAGATGGTTTTGAATTGAAGCTGTGTCATTATGACATGTTTCCAGTGCCCTGACACTGTTTGAGACCAACATGGCTATCTCAGAAGTCCTGATCAGTTGTCCACTGAAGATCTTACCAGTGTTTGACTCTGCACTGAAGTTGGCACAAGAGGACATATACAGAGAACATCCACAGAGGCACCACATGGTAAGACAGGGCTACTAAAACTGACATGGATCTTGCTCTAGTGGAGTATTACTGAGGTTATAATGGCATATCTTAATAATACATGTGAGAACATTAATAAATATTTTTTATCACTGCAACTTTCCAGGTGAGATGCCTGACTGAATAGAGTGAAGCTGTGCAAAGGTGGTCTGTTGCTGATCTAGCACCTTAATACTATCATAATGAAGTGTTATAGGTGTGTTATAGGCGTCGTTGTCTTTTAGTCTGTATGTTGCACTGTCAGTGCACATTTATCTTCCACTCTTAAGTCTTTTTCAAAGATAATGCTTTAACAGGGTGAGACAATTAGACATATGGTATAATTTCAGAAAGTGAAGTGTAACATCCATGCTAGGATCATGGGGCTCCCTGTATGTCCAGAGCTTACCAGGGAAGTGTTACCTAAAACTTCAGATGTGGGCAGCTTCCTCTCTGTCTCAGGTAAATTATAAGGATTATAAAATTATTATTATAAGAGGTACGTTTAAAAGGCAACATCATTTAAGTTTTCATCTGGTTAATGGATGACTATTTTTTATGACAAACCAAATGAACATGAAAATTTGAAATCCCAAGAGGATATCTATTTAGAATCATGCACAGAAAAAAGTCCCACCTCCATTTTATGATGCACTTTTGAGACATTTTTATATTATTTTCTATACATGAAGAGGTTATTTAAGGTGTATAAAATTACATTTATTAAAATGTTTGTCTTGAATATCAGGAACAGTGATCCGCACGTCCACAGTGAAGCTGTTGGAGTATGAGAAAGAGTACATGTGTACCAAGTGTAAGCATGTATTTACTGTGGAGGCAGACTTGGAGCAGTTCTATAGTGTGTGCAGACCAGTGAAATGTCTCAACCCAGAGGAGTGCAACTCTGTCCAGTTTGTACCAATGGCAGAATTAGGTAGACTTAAGATTGGAAATGTATTACTATCCCTTATGATTCAGACCAGTTGACTGATATTTTAACTTATAACCTATGCATTTCTTAAATTAATTGATGGTGGTCTATTAATTTAGAGATAAATAGAAATAGACAATTGATATCAGTTTATCATTTTACCGAAGTGGTTTTTAGTAGCTACTGCTTGAGGATTAGCCCCTTAGACTGTACTACAGGTTGATGTTCATATGTTTCTATAAATATATCAAAGACACCCAACATTCTCTAATACATTTAATATGCAGGTGCTTCCCCTGGCTCCTGCCGTAACTACCAAGAGGTGAAGATCCAGGAGCAGGTCCAGAAGCTGTCAGTTGGCACCATTCCAAGATCAATGTGGGTGGTCCTGGAAGATGACCTGGTGGATGTGTGTAAAGCTGGGGATGATGTGACCATATGGTTAGTATTAAAGGCATGCTAATAATTTTAAAAATGCCAAAGGGGAATAGAAAAATGCATGTCTTTAAAATGTATCTTAAAAGATGAAAGATGAGGGTTCCTTGCTTTTGGTTATAACTCATTGCATGCATTTATCACAATGATATTGCACTGTGCATTGTGTGATCTATATATTCATAACACTTATGTCATATATGGTGAGTATTTAAGACAGCAAATGCACAGGGGAAATAGAAAATTGTCTTTTTAAAAACATCTTTAAAGAAGAACAATATCCCGCTATTGGTTATTATTTATGACATGCATTCATCACAGTGGTATTGTACTGTGCATTGTATGTCTTGTATATATACATAAACTTACTCTTATGTCATATTTCCAGTGGCACTGTAATGAGGAGATGGTTACCTGTGATCAGTGATGTCAGGTGTGATATAGAGATTGTTCTCAAGGCAAACCATGTCCAGGTCATCAATGAACAAAGAACTAATGTCATGGTGACACAGGAAATGGTGAGTGCTGACTGTAATATTGTGCACAGAAGATAGGTGTTCCTCTATCTTAAGTTTCTCTTTAAGAATGTTGAATCATATATATATTTGGTACATGATGCCTTCAGGTCTTCATGTCTACTTTAAATCTGAATTAGATTTTTGTCTTCAGTTACTGTTATTGTTTGCATTTGTTTTTTCTAGAAAAAAGAATTCCAAGACTTTTGGGATAAGCACAAGCATAGTCCTGTGACAGCACGTAATCAGATCCTAGCCAGCCTGTGTCCTCAGGTGTATGGACTGTATGTGGTTAAACTGGCTGTAGGTATGGTACTGGCTGGGGGAGTACAGGTAATAGTCAACTGTTTAATAGGTATTTAATTTTTGGTTTATCCTTTTGATTCTCTGGTTGATTGTGTAACATCCATGCTAGGATCATGGGACTACCTATATTGGTGTAAAATGATAAAATGTCAATTGGGGTTGAAAAATTTAAGTGGTTTTATTTGGTCAAATGTAAATCAATATTTTGTGTTTGTCATTTTTTTTTATTGAATAGAAACTTTAGAATGGGGGCAGTATATAGGTGGTATTAGTTTGTGCAACTATTTTTGTACTTGATGATATAAAGTTAGTAATTTTTGAACCAGAGTAATGTCCTTTTTATAATATAAAATGCACCGTTTGCAGCTTTTTGTTAAATAAAAAAATTTAATACATTTTCAGCGTCTTGATGACTCAGGTAGTAAAGTGAGGGGAGAAGCACACATCTTATTGGTTGGGGATCCAGGTTAGTATGCCAATATATGTAGATGCATGTGTTTTTGATCACTTATCAGAAATATCATTTTGTCCTTCAATCATCAAATTGCTTTCAAGTAAAAAGTAGGAAAGTATAAAACATTCTTCACTTGTGTAAAATCTATGAAAATATGCTTGTCATGTGCTTGTTGATCTGTAGAAAAATCCTGTTTACTAAGTATCAATTTTATATCCATTTGCAATTCATTTCACCAAAGTTGAATCAATTTCACAGTGATGTACTAAATGGAGGATTCCTTTATGCCAAGCCTGATTAAGTTGACACACTTATATTTGCTTCAAGGGACAGGCAAGTCTCAGTTCCTGAAGTATGCTGCTAAGATCACCCCCAGGTCTGTGCTGACTACAGGGATAGGAAGCACCAGTGCTGGTCTCACAGTCACTGCAGTGAAGGTATCACCTGAATGCAATACTGAATGAAGTTTTTCACATAATCTGTTTTACAGATGATATAGATAAAATTAGTGTAAGGATATTTTAATGGTTTGAAAGGTGCTACATGTAGCAAATGAATGCGATTAAACAATAATGATACTGATTTAGTTTTATGATTATGAACATAAATTAGACAACAATTGTGTGTGCCTGTGGTGTGTGTGTGTATGTGTGTGTGTAAGCAGTAGTTTGAAAGGCATATTGGTTCTTAATATTTAAGGATGGTCATGAGTGGCAGCTAGAGGCAGGCGCTTTGGTTTTGGCAGATGGTGGTGTGTGCTGCATTGATGAATTTAACAGCATCAGAGAGCATGATAAAACTAGTATTCATGAGGCAATGGAGCAGCAGACCATCAGTGTAGCTAAGGTAGGAATATTGAAAATAGTTCATGGAAAAGCTTAACTTTTGCTGCATGGTATCAAGAACATCTTGATAGTATTGAACTGAAGCAATCATGATTCTTTTATTTATATTTATGTATAATACATTTAAATTTATGGTTCTCCTGTTAGTGATAAGCAATCATTCAGAGACCAAATAGATAACTAGAATTTAAGGGAGAAAGAAAAGAATGTGATTACCTAACCTCTGTGTTATCCATTGCTGTAGGCTGGTCTAGTGTGCAAGTTGAATACCAAAACAACCATTATTGCAGCCACCAATCCTAAAGGAAACTATGACAGAGACCAGGTATATGTCAAGTTTGACTATAACATCAGTACTGTGATATCACATCACTTAATCACAATCCTGCATCACATATATCCCATAATTGTACATCGGGCATTTTTTGTAAGTTCATCGAACAATAGTTATCACGTTTTACCATTGTCACACCTTTTTATTTGCACGGATAAGATTTTTGAATTTGTGGAATCTAAAACATCACTACATGTTAAGGCATGAAGAGAACTCTTCTATCTATCATTGCAATATGTACTTTCAGCCTCTGACAGTAAACATTGCTTTGGCCAGTCCTCTGCTGAGCAGGTTTGACTTGGTGCTGGTACTTCTAGACACCAGGAATGAGGAGTGGGATAAGGTGGTCTCATCTTATATTCTAGAGGGAAAGACTCCTCTAGGTGGGTGTAAATCCTGGTGAAGTCAACATAGTTGTGATAATGACAGTGATAGGTTAAATCCTAAACAAATTGTACTCATGTCTGTTTGCTTACCTTGTGTAGATGATGGTGTAAATGTTTGTGGTAATTTAGGATGGAGGAGACATCAAGCATCGTTTTACACATGTTGAACAGAAACCATTGCTTTTTAACATTGAAATGATTTTAAACACAAAGATACATAACTTAGAATTAAAATTAGTACTAGCCAGCTTCAAATGATCTTTATTGAATTATTAATTTTTCACTTACCTGTGGTTTAGATGTATTGCCTAATGCCAGCCTATGGAGCATGGACAAGATGCAGGCTTATTTCTCTCTTATTAAAACACTGCAACCACAGTTAACTGATCAGGCTAGCAGGTAGGACTTTTTCCCTTTTTTATTCTACCATTTTTAAAAGTTTTCAGTTATTAAATAAACAATCACTTTAAAAGATGGAAAAATGATGAACTAGTTTTCAAACAAAAACCATGATTATTTTTATATTGTAGGGTGTTGCAAGCATACTATAAGGCTCAAAGGATGGCTGATGACAGAAATGCTGCCAGAACTACCATGAGACTACTACAGAGCATGATTAGGCTTTCTCAAGGTATATGTCATCACAGTTCTGACATGTCAAAGTTTTTTGCCAATCTTTGAATATGGTAATAGGCTCTAAAATTTATGAAGAAAAAGGATTTTAGTCTTTCTTTGTTCTGATCCGTTATTTGATTACTTTTTGCAGCACATGCACGTCTCATGTTTCGCGATGAAGTGACAACCCAGGATGCAGTTCTTGCTGTATCCATAATGGAGTCTTCAATGCAGGTATTGTTTCAATGATGATAATGTTTACAGTAAGACTAAAATAGGGATAGTATTCTAAATGTTATTTTTAAAAAACAAACTACACTTTCTCCTATTGCCAGTGGATGACTATGTTTGTGAACACAAAATTTAGAGTTTTTAAAGATACTTTAAGGAGAGTTTCAAAATTTTCAGGAAGGTAACACCAAAGATATTGCAAATCTGGGCTTTTTCTGTTATTAATGAGTTCAGTGTAAATGTATAGTAAGTAATTATGTGGCTGTTTTTAGGGTGCAGCTTTGCTGGGTGGTATCAATGCACTACACAGCTCCTTCCCAGATGATGCGGAGAATGAATATGCACTTCAAGGTATGATATTGAAACACACTTAAACTACCCTCATATTGCATGTGCATACATTTTTTAAAACGTTAAAATGTTGAAATACATCAACCTGATTTGAAAATGCGGATTAAGTTGGTAATTCTTTTTTTCTGAATAAATTATAATAAATATTCAGTTCAAGTACATGTGTAGATGATTGTTGGGTTTGGTTGTTTTTTTTTTTTTTAGCTGAAATGGTCCTTGAGCGATTAAAGTTGCAAGATATATGGGAAGAGGAATTGGAAAGACTTAAAGATGAAGAAAGGGCAAGGAATTTGGCCAAGAAGCCACCACCACCAGGAATGACCCAGTCAGGGACAAATGATTCAGAACATGGGGAAATCAGAGCTAGTGGTGCAATTGCAAGTACTTCAGGTACATCAAAACATGCAGACCAGACCGAAATTATTGACATTGTTGATGAGGGAACAGTTCAAAGTCCAGCTTCTTCACTAAGGACTGCAGGAACTGTAGTCCGACAGTCACAGCTTGGCATATCTACATCACACACTGACAGCAATTCAAACAACACAAACAGAACCGCAAGTGAAAAGGAAGACATTCATAATGTTTCATCTATTTCTGCTCTTCTTAATTCATCAAGTGACAGTGGTGCTAACGATTCATTCAATGAAAGTGTAGTTTTGGATCAGAGTCTTGTGAATAAAAGACTTGCAAAAAGCTCTAAAGTTCAAAATGGCCCGACTCCTGCAAGTAAATTGTTCGCTAAATTTGGCAACACCTTGGCTCACCCGGCTTCCAAACCTGATGTTGACAGGGTCCAACCATCAAAAGGAGATACACATGCTGCAAGCAGCAGTGAAATGACCAATTCTCCTTCCATTTTAAACTCATCACCACCTCAGCCCTATACTCAGATTGGTAAAACCATTCAGCAACGCCTTGACCTACGTGAAAAGCATGCCAAAAATTGTGCTGATACTACAGACTGGTTTGACAACATTGGAGCTGGTGGGAAGATGAAAGATTCCTCGACTCATAAGGGCAAAGGAAAGGGAAAGAGTTCAGCTGATACAACAAAACCAAAGGATAGGAGTTATACATCTGATCAAGAGCAAACTGATAATGAGAAATCAGGTACACACTTGCTAACTAAAAAGAGGGGTGAAACGCCTAAAGAAAATACACACAATAGTAGCTATGACAGCACTCCAGGAGAACCTGGCACCAGTTTTTTAGACATCTCTACCCCATCATCTACCAATTCATTGGCTTCAACTCCCAATTCAGCAAGCAAATTGTCAAATAAGACATTGTCAAAACTTAAAAGCTTTGCCTTTGTCGAATCACCAAAACCCAAGGAGACCTGTGCAGATAATGGTGCCAGTGAAATTATTGGTAGCAAGGCAGCAGATGGACAAGGTTGCAGCAAAAGTCAAGTTACACCAGACTTTAATACAATCCTAAAAGACCGAAGGAATTTACAGGAAACCCTTTCACAGAACAATAACATAGATCAACCTTGTAAAATACCTTCTACATCAAAACCAAGTTTTAAACTACCTGCAACAAACGATTTGACAAAGACTACCCCTGGTTCAAAGAAATCATTTTCACACTTTAAGTTTCAGAAAACTGTAGCTGCTAGCTTACCAAGGTTTTCAGACATCACTGACAAAAGAACTGGGTCAGAACATCGTTTTATCAGTCCGTCCTTAACCAGTGCTTCTAGCACACCTCTCACTTCTCCCATATTTACCACAGAGGATGACCTGAGTGATACTGACCTGGAGCTGGACTGGCTGAATGAACCAAAGAAAAGAAAGCTAGATGGGAAATAAACCATTTACTATGTATTGGGAAACTGACCGCTTTAAGGATGTTGTTTTGAATAAAGATCCAAGATGGACAGTTTAAATGAGACATTAACTACAAGTAAACAACATGCATTAATGACCATGTATTTTTCATTTAACATTCATTTATATGTACAAATAATTATACGTGTACATTTGTTTATAATAGATATATTTTTTAATAAAAAAACATACATGTACAAAATACTTCCTACTTTTCTGATAGTTAGTTATCATGTTACTACACAATAAAGCATTCACATATTACATCCAAAACATTTTCATAAATTAAGAAACAAAATGTACAACATTGAAGCATAAAGCAGAAATTATCATTTGGCACTTTATCAGTTAAATTAACAGTGCCTGCCAGCTGATTTGAGAATTATATACACAAAGTGAATCTAACCTTTTCCCTATCAAAAGTCACTAATAAAAGGCAACCATTGCCAATGTAAATATGGTTCTTACAATACTTTAAAAGAGATAACATAAAAACAAAAAATTCAACCTCTCAGAATAACTTCTGACAAGTTGGCTTTAAGTTCTCTTTGTCCTGCAGAGCAGCTGATATGTCTTTAGCAGATGGCCTCTGATTTGGGTCCTCACTACAGCAGATGCAGAACAACTCTATCATGGGCTTATGACTGGCACTGTACACTAAATGAGGTGGTAGGAGAGGTATAGTGCCAAGAGATTCTCTGCAATAAAAAGAATCATTTTTGGTGTCAGCTTTAAATAAATTATTTATGACCCTATATAGGAGAAATGATACATGAGATTACACAGAACTACCTCAAATGGTTTTCATGGGTCGTCAAGGCACTTCTTAAACTTGTCTGCAGCAAGTGGTGGGAGTTACTGTTTATGATATATAATATAACTTGGCATTTTATTTGAGGTATTCTTGTAGTGATAATTAATCCAGTTTTCAGAATTTTGTTTAAAAAAATTGTCAGTGATGGATTTTATAGGGAAAATCTCACCTATATGCATCTTCATCAAAGGCTAATGATTCTTCCTCTGAATCTTCAGGTTCATCCATATCAAAAAACTCACTGTGAGGTGTACATAGAGACAGCATCTCGTAGATCACACAGCCAAAGGCATAAATGTCAGTTTTGTCACTGAGGGAAACTTGAATGAAATGAAAAAAAAAAAAAATTAACACAGTTACATTTTCTTCCAAGTTTAAGTATATGAGATAGTGCAAATTTAACTTTTTTGGGACTGTATAAAATTCAGCAATGGAAACAATGCTTTAAAAAGTGTGTGTTGAGTGTATGTGTGAATTTCCTCATTTTTGAATGCCAAATCCAGCTACTTTCAAACTCTAGCGATTCTTTATCAGCTACTTCAGTATATAATACCTTTTGGTCTGCAGTCTTCATCAAAATCTGGATCTAATGCTTCTTTTGCTGTCCAAGGTTCTGTTCCAATATACCAGTCTTCCGGATTCTTTAGCCCTTGAAGAGTATCATTCAGTTCAACAGAGACACCAAAGTCGCACAGCTTTACTTCATCAAAGTTGCCCTTAACAAGGATATTGCCACTTTTCAAATCTCCATGGAGGAGTTTCTTCTCATTGTGCAGGTACTCTAATGCAGAAGCAACATTGCTGGCCACCTGAAATGGAAGGTGGGGAATCTTATATCTTCAACTAAAAGTATCTATGCATTTCATAAAAAATTTTCTGCTACACAGAATTTTTAATGAGTTGAATTACCACAGTCATTATGAACCCACAAATCTCCCTTTTCAATCTTCATATATGTATCACAGTGTCTATATATAGGATGACATTGTGTAGATTGTATTATAGATGGATTAGGTATCCTACGTTAGGCGACCCACAACTACATTGCCCCAGTGCTGGCCGTTATTGGCTAGGTGAGCTACTTATAATATATATGTGTAGACTATATCATTTAAAACTTAAAACATTTGAGCAGATTGTACAAGAAGAGACCTTATACCTTAATAATCTGGTCAACAGGGAATGGACCTTTAGCTTCCTCCTGCCTCTGTTCAATCAGAGCTTGTAGAGATCTTTCACTACTTTCCATACATAGACACAGTGTTCCATCCTTTGCCCTATATATGCATGTAAAATAACACCGAATAAAATCAGATGAATAACAAACAAAGCCCGATGCAAAACTGCACTTTATATTTGTTTATGAGAGACAAACAATTAGATCGATGACATTTAATAACAAGTTAAACAGGAAGGATGTAGCTGGGGCACTTCATTCAGAGTCACTTACAAACTAATTATTGCAAAGATATTCGCATTAAACTGAAAATATTTAATAAATTGTTATTATCAATTTATCACATATTCTGAAAAAACACTGTATACCTTGAGGTACCTCTGTATCCAACAATATTAGGATGACACAGGGATTTGAGAATTTTTGCCTCAGTCTGCAGTCTCTCTTCATACCTGAAAATCAGTTATTTTAAGAGATAATTAATATTCACAAGAATAACCTGCAGGCATACATCTGGTCATACTTTTTTTAAACTTTTTCTAACATACTATCTAAACCCTTAAAATTAAAATGAATTAAACAGAACAGGGCAAAACTATTTCAACAAATAATTCCGTAAAATATACTGTATTGTGTAGAAAATGGTTGTTGTATGCTGTCTGAAAAAGTTTGATAATTTGAATTTAAATTAAATTAAAAACTTACAGATAAAAATAGAGCTTAACTATAATATTTGTACGTATGTAATTAATTAATTCGTTAATTATATTACGTTGATAAATGTTCAGAGGCACAACTCCTGTTTATCTTCTTGACAGCCCAAGGAGACAGCACTCTGCTAGGTGTAGAGGGAGTCCTGTCATTTGGCAAAAGGTAAACATTGATACCTGAAAGTCAATTAATTGATAAAAAAATTACTGTGGACAAATATTTCACTTAGAACTGTAGATTTTTAATTTTGACCATGTAAGTCAGCTCAATTCACTGTCATTCTTATCAGTTATTTTTTTCTTCAGTAAAGAATTCCATCTACTGTTACAGTGTAAATGACTTACTTAACATAATGAAGTTAACATAATAGCTTCTTTATTCAAAATCTAAGGTACTGAGTATACCATATCTTGGAGCAGGTAGTTTGACAGCTGCCGCAAGAGAAATACAGTATGTATCCTCAATTTTTTTTCTGTTAATTAAAGAAACTATCAAGGAAAATGTGTAGAGTTTCAATTTAACAACTGTCTCTCAGTCAATTTGCTAGAGAAATTTTAACAAAAGCTGTCTGGATTTTAATATCTCAGAAATGACCAAATAAATGCTGGTAAAAAAAAAAAAAAAAAAAAAAACTGTACATGTACGGTAACAAACATGTTTTACCAGTTCCATATCCTAGTTTCTTCATAAATGGTGATGGTGGTATTGAGACACGTGGGCTTGAATGACTGATGGATTTCCTTAAGTGTGGAGCTCTGACTGGAGTTTTGAAATCCATGTTTTGTGTAGCGTCAAACTGTCTGAAAAATAATAGAACATTTAGCAGGGGAATGGGAAATAAAGGCAGAAAAGGCACACACACACACACACACACGCACACACACATATATATCATTAATAACGACAACGGGCAAAACCCTCTCCCTGCCGCCAGGTTCAATGAAAGATGAAAATGTCATTTGACAATGACAAACTGACATTGGATTGGTAGTCATTTTCTGTCAAAAAAATCGCAGACCTACAGCACTTGAATTTTAATCTGCTACTTTTAAACATGTAAATCGTCAATAAACCCTGCACATATTTACCGTTTATATAATCCGTATTGATTTAATCGAGTTTGGTGCCCTTCTCCAGCTTGATTACTAAACAAGGTAAGACTTATTGGTTTTGTGACTAGTAACACATTTTGAAACTGACGGGCTACAATACAAATAAATCTCCAATCATAAAAGATTATTGACAGAGGGAGTACAATATTAATACTATTGAATAATAATAATAATACATTTACAACAAGCCGTTTTGATATGTATTGCTTTTCTAATTAGTTTTCAAAGTACTACTTTACAAACTGGAAAGATTTGAATATTTAATAACTGAATGTATTAGTGGTAACTGGTTATTTCCTGTGTCAACTAAGTTCAAATCTGGTATTAGTTTAGTAATTATACTGTCCTTGAGGATGTATAATTTACATATATTACTCTACTCATTTGTATATAATAATCACTCATATTGTACAAATGATAATATGCTATGATGAGTTTGGCTTAAAAACAAGCCAGCTATTTATTCAAAACTAAATATCTAAAAGCGTGCTGATTTCAGTACGTACGGGTGACTACCGCAAACAACAACTGGGCAACCTTTCCAGTGAAATTGATCAGTCTCCCTGTGGAGTGACACATGAAATGTGACCTTGCGTGATATATAAAACGTTATGTTCCCTTTCTTCTGCCAAGTTTGAAGTACTTAATTAATTAAGAAGATGCCAAAACTGGGGAGAAGGGTAAGTTTGGCTTGGTTCTCGAGTCCATCGCCACAAATTAAGACTTGTTCTGATAAGTGATGACCGTTGTATTGTTATTTAGCAATAGGACTGCTTCGTGGCTTTCCAGTGCATGTGTTTTAGTTTGTCACAAAATTCCTCGACATCACCACGAACCTGGAAGAATCAGTAAGGTGAAAGCGTTCCTTAATTTAAGTGTAGATGAAATGTATTATTAGTGCCTGTGCTTCTATTCAATAGAACCCTGGAAATAAACTTTTGGCTTGCTTTGAAGTTTGATGAAATTGATAATTCAATTAGATGTTTTTTCTCTTAGTTTTGGATATGGTCGATTTTATCAATTTAGAGAAGCCTATATTTTGTGTGTTAGATTTAGCCATTTTCTGACCTTTACATGATTATTTAGTACAATGAAATTGTATAAGTGTGTGCACATGTAGAGAAATGGGCTAATGGTGTATATTATTTATCCCTTCAAACGTCAAGCGCTGGTCAGATGAGGTAAAATAATTTTTGCAGTGTTTAACAAAATATGTGAATGTAAATTTTAGTGAAACTTAAACATTTATTTCCTTGGAGAATTGTTGGTGTTTATTGTCTATTGGAGGAGAGCATGAGTTATTATTCATCTTATTTTTGAATACATGTTGGAAAAAGAGAAAATCACTTGTTGCTGATGCGAAGCTACATTAAATATTATCTTCCAAGAAAAAGTTTGCCTTTTTCTTTTATTTTGTTTTAAATATTTTTTTCTACTCTGTATCTCATATTTTTATATATCTCAACCTGATTGTTAATTACTGAGTATGTTAATTTGTTTGTTTGCAATCTGTTTGAATTATTTGCTGGTGTGAAATTGCTGAGCCTTCTCCTACATACCATCAGTCATAAGTTTGCTTTGCCAATAACATCTTTAAGTTGTTAAAGAACATTAGATATGACAAATATTAATGGTGATATATTTATTTAAGGTGGAGCCCACTGAAACACCTTGGAGGCTGATACTTAGTATTTTAAGTGTATTTGAATTATTAGCTTTACAGTAATTAAAAAAGATTTTATCTCTTTCTAAGAGTGACAGTTTGCGGGGTTTTAAAATAAACACATTAGAGGCACTTTCTAAGGTATTTGAACAATTATCAAGGACTAAAACTACTAAGCAATGGTGGTATGCCTACTTGAAATACAGTAACTGTTAATGATGTATTTTTCTAATCCCTTTCTTTCCCTTAAATTGATTCAATTTTTAGTTTTATGCGGTGGTTTTTTTTTTTTTTTTCAGCTTTACTCACAATGCCAATTATAGCATGAATTATTTCATTATTAAAATGCTTCAAAAGACCTGCCACTAAGACAGTGTCATAGCCTTTTTGAAGATGAAGAGAGGTTTAGGGCATCAATCATCCTTTAATCTGTCACTGTATTCTAGCTATGACCACGTGAATAAAATTCTTGACAATTGTTACTGGTATATTAAATTGTCAATTAGAAATTATACTAATATTTCTTTGTATTCTGATTGTGGTTGTTATTCTTTTGTTTGTTTCAGAGTGACATACCTGATGTGCAATATGCAATCAGTAAGAATGTCACTACCACTAATGCTCCCTTTGGTACAACTGACAGTCCCAATGTAAGGGTCAAGATTGTTGGGGGAAAGACGGTCATGGTATTAGATGAGTAAGTATAATATAGACTGGGATTTTATATTGGGAGACTTCTAATTTTTTCTAGTGAAAGCATATTGTTGTAGGCTGCAACAGGTTGCATACATTGAACAGTTGAGAATTCTTCCACATTATAAGATCATGAGTGGCTGTATGCAATCACATCTAAAATGTATAAAAAAATCAGCTGTTAGATTAATTGTACCTGGACATATATCAGCAGCTATGGAATTGAAATGAATTCAATTATGTTTTAGATTTCAGTACAATTTTCATAAAAATAAGCTTTCTATTTGCTGCCATACATATGCAGCAGCCTATACCATGCTAATAGTAATGTTGAGCCCAGACTCTAATGTGAGTAATCTTCCATATTATCCTTCTGAGCTCTGTAAGCTTACTTTATCACCCATTATCCGTATATTAATTAATATAGAAAACCCGGCTCGATCCATTTAATTAACTTGCATGAGAAACTATTGGCTATTGTTAAATCAATACACCTGCATCCCGCACGCTCAGTCTTGGCAGTCTCCCAATTATTAGAGAATAAAGGTAGGGGCATTGATTTAAATAGATTACTTACTGGGTACATATTGTACTGCTGTTAATCACTGACCTCTCTTCTGTTCAAGTTTCTATTCAACAGTGTACAAGGTCTGTACATCAGGAAATAAAAATGTTACATGAACATTTTTATCAATACTAAATATTACAATACAAGGATGGAGCATTATTGACAGAGGCAATTAAGACATGAGGTGTGCCTCAATCACATTATGAATTGTCTTCACATTTATTAACTATTTTCATTGGGATATACTTATATTGTATGTATAGTTCCCAATATCCTGTTTTGTATCAAAATCTTATTTAGTTTAATTTAAAAACAGGATGCAGTACTTTTATCTACCAATACAGTTTGTACTCGAATATTATGAATGTTGTATTCATGTCAGGGTAGCAGAATGGCATTTTATTTCCTAGAATTGTACATGTATATACCTGTCAATTGTGAGTCAGTTATAAATACCATTCATAAACATTACATTATCGTACCAGGGTACATGTAAGATTGTACAATATTTTACTTTTAGCACTGGGAAAACAAGTCCCAAGTCAGGCAGTGCACTGGCACCCATTACAGAGAAACCCAATCATTTTGATCCCAAGGTTCTCACCAATGCTGACAGAAACACATCCCAGTGGGGGTTTTCTAGTGCACAGAAGGTAAAGTTAATTCCTTCATGGCATGTCTTTTTTCATCAAAAAGCAACATCTGAGAGTCACTTTGAGATTTTATTAGATTTTTATTGCATTTGATATACTTTTCTATATTTTGTTTGTGATTTCACATAATTTATTATAAAAGGCTGGCCCGTTTATGTGCAATTAAACAATTTCTTTAACTACTAGTAATAACAATAAGTACCTGTAGTATATTAATGTGGATAAGTCATGAAGATTGTTATAATTACTAGCATTTTCAGATTCCTTATCAAAATAATAATAAAATCCCATAAATATGTATACAAGATTACACATTTATATGTTCCTCACAATTGTAACTTTTTGTGATTATAATTTTAGGACATACACAATTCTCATTTCCACAAAGTAAGTCAGGGGAGGGGACCCCTGAACCCACATACTATACTGCCCCCTATCCACAACAGTCAACACTTTAGGAGTGAATCTACTCAGACTGATGTAGAGGAAGGCACACAGACAGACTTTGATGATAACAATGATAAGGACATGTTCCAGAAGCATCTTGGTTATGGTGGAAACATGCCTTCACATGCTGTTCGGCTGACAAAACAAGAGGAATTGACTCTTTTAAATCAAATCAATGAAGGTCTGGGAAGGTATGACCCTCAGCTCATGAGAGATTTGTACCTGGAACTGACAGGATATGATAAACATTTAACTGGGTGGATTCTGTTTGAAGATCTCCAGCACTCCTTGTCTAAAATGCAGGTAGGATTAAATTTACCCATGTCATATAATCAGTTAAGGTCACTAACCTTTAATGTCTTTGTAAATCAAGAAAATATAAGTTTGTTGAAGTATGTGTATCATGTTCTCTGATACGTACCTTGATGGCACTTTGTTTCAGTAAATTACAGAGCCCATGTTGTAATAATGTCATTTATTCATGACAAATGTACATGTACTTTGTTTTGTACATTTATTTATTGAAATGGCCAGGTCATATCTTCTATCAGTGCCACATATAAAACTTATACATACCATTTCAATATATATGAATGGTGTCCATTCTGTTTCGAATGTGTTATCAACCACAGTTTTTATTACATTTCAGGCTTATTCAAAAGCGAAGGTAAATGTTGTGAGACTGAAAGATTTACAACCAAGTTTCTTCTTGTGGATTTAAAGCTTTCATTTTCTGTGCTTCTTTTGTTTTTAATGCACATTGAAGTGAATATTGCACTCTTTATGCTACTAATATTATTATTCATTGCTTTTATTTCATAATTTTGAGTTTCAGCACTGGCCTACATACAGTGTACATACATGTGTGTGCAAGCACAAATTCATAACTTTTTACACTTTATGATGATTTGCAGCGTGATTCCCTCTAAACCAAGAGAAATTTTAAGAGTGAAATCTGAGTTTTAACATTTATACTGTCAAATTTGATTACGTTATATATAGCAGTGGGTAGCTAAACTTATCTTTTCTTTTTTGTTCTCTCTGATAAAGAAAGCTGTGTTTATATGCATACCCAGTACACGTACCTTCTGAAATGGAGACTAAAAGTGACAAAACTTTCCTTGGAGCTGTGGATTCTTAATTGTTTTTCTACTGGATTCATGCACTTCAATATTGCCTTTGATAAAAAGAAATTAATAGTAAATAGAATGTACTATAAACCATGTATCCTCTCTTCCAGGTGTATTTACCTCCACAAACAGTTCGACTGGCAGCATCTTTATTTGTATCTCCTGATCACCCAGGACAAGTCAACTATGAAAAATTTTTGTCCTACATTGGATCAGCAACAAAGGATTATAGATCTCAGCTTCAATCTGGGCAACCAAAGTATGCTATAGTTTTTAACATTTAAAAGTTTTTGTGATTGAAAAAGAACTTTAGGTTTGTTGTAATAATTTGCTTTCATACACAAGAGCTGTAAAATAATTATGCATTGTATAAACTGTAAACATTAAAAGATTTCTAACCTACACATCTTTTACATATTGCAATAGCAGGTATAAAAAAATATGTACCTACAATTTTGTTTGATTAAAATTATAAATACAAAGATGAAACCAATGTGTGTTATTTACCTACAATTTTGTAACAACTCTCATAGAACTGAGCCTCCAAAGAAAGTTTCCAACGTCAGTCCACAGACCTACCACAAGGGAGACGGCAGGGTGGCCTATAGTGACAAACTGAACAGTCCCAGGAGTGTTGCTGAGACATCACCAAATGTAGATCAAAGGATCACATATTACAGGTATCCTGGAACACAGCCTACCTCAGAAGGGTACGTATGCAAGATGACTGGAATGACCATCAAATTATGTTATTTTGTTTGCTTATAATTGGGCATTCATGGCCCTGAAAGCCTAGTTAGAATTGTGTGGAAAAACGTTAATTCTAATTAACATATACAAGGCGACTGGCATTACCATGTTTACAGTATTTCATAACTTTATTTGATTCACTTGGAAGAGAAACATTTAAGTTAACAATTTGTCACTGTAAGTTTAATCTTTAAAGATATATCCATTAAGAAGAAAAACATAATATTCGAAATTATTGCACATACCTATTACATTGTCCATACATTTTATATGATCTAAACAGACGTGTTGGTATAATATCTCATTGGAGCTCTTTAATTTAAGGAATTCCCCTAGAGAACCAGATTGGGTGTATGAGGACAATGCCAAGTTACTTCGCATTATTGAAGATACATTCCTTCAAAGTAAAGATGAGATTGATCTGGAAAAGATGAGGTCATTGTTTGCTAAAGCTGACAGGGAGAGGCGAGGAACATTATCTAGGGATCAGGTAAAAACTCAACATACCTGTACTAAATATATACGATTCATAGGTACATAGGTTTTTCCACTATTTTTCAGAGAAGGAAGACAATTTTGCATTCTAAAATCAATATCTATCCAGGTGAATTTTGATATTTTTACATTTCTTACCAAGTTATTTTTGATATAGTAACATTGTTTTTAAGCATTGTGATTATTTTCATTTCAGATTAAGGACATTTGTGTTTACAGCTCCCTGCCTTTACAGGGATCTATCCTGGATAGGGTTGTGGATAAATGCAAAGGCATGCATGGCCAATACCAGTAAGTTGATGAATAATTATAACATATTGATAAATATATTTTTAAAATATTGAATGAAAATTATTGAAAACAATAGTTCACTTTAAAAAATTCAATCTCTGCAATATCTGACTTGTAAATTATATACTCATTCCATTAACAAAATTGCACAATTTTCTTTTAATATTTATAGTTGGGAACAGTTCCTTGAATACTTGGAGAGGGTGCAGCCCCTACACACAGGCTTACCTATTCCTGATAGTAAAAAACCACTGGAATATGCCAAGCAAATTCTGGAGCCAACTGAAAGCTGGCCAAGGAAACCCACAGAATCTCCTGTACAGGTATCACCTAGGGTAAGTATTAGTGTCCTGTATGCAACAGTAATATGCATTCATAGGTTTAACATTAGATAATAACTATAAAATTATGAAAGGGTTGAGAGCTCATTATGAAACAAGCAATTTGGAAACAGAATGGAAACGGTTGGCTGGATGTACAATGATACAGCGCTGAATTTACTGGTCAAATTTTAACATATGCAATGTTAGTATCGGAATTTTAATTAAAAAAGGAACTGATCAGTGGAATGATGTGCAAGTTCTCTTCAAAATGTGTACAACAGTATTTATTTTGCTAAAATTGTAACCATGCAAATTTTAACAATTTAATTTGCCATGATTTTAGGGAATCGACCCTGGCAGAGGTGCATATGGAGCTCCTTCAACATCAGGTCAGCAAATGAAATATAATACTGTGGATCCCAATGACCAGATGCATTTGAGGCACTCAAGAATGGATAAACTGGATCATTTAGATAGCCGATTCAAAGAGCAGACACGCAGTGACAGTATTGAACATCAGTTGAAAGAACTTGAAGATAACTATCAGGTAAAATAAATCCTCTGTTGACAAATCTACTGTCAATCTTAGGTGGCCCTGAGTAAGGAAATTTGAGACAACTATTTTATGATCATCATTAGTTTAGTATATGGTGCAAGTAATCAGGTCAATACTCATGTTGCTGCACTGTTGCACTATAAATCACATTGGAGTCAAGAATATGTTGCATTTTGATTTGCCTCCATTGCACACTCTAGAAAGCCAGAGAATCTCTACAGAGACAGCAGGAAGTAGAGCATACTAGGTCACAGCATGTGGTTGACTCCCAGTAAGATAGATGTTGTCATTATATTTAGTGCATGGTGTGAAACATTTTATGTTGTAAAAAAGAATTGTTGAATGTATGGTTTACTTATTTGCCTTTTCCCATGAATTCAATTATTCTCTTCATTTTAATATTTATCATCTTTTGTTTTTTATTTAATGTATATTGATTATCTTTATTTGTTGAGCAGCTTTTCCAAGCTTGATTGTTTTGTTTTGCTTTTATCTGATTTTATGACAGTGCTTTATTTTTTCCTTTTATGAAACAAAACACGTTGTGATTGATCTGAAATAAGTATCATTTTTCTCATTGTCATAACCTTTCCTTATTTATTTTAGGTCATTAGGCATAAAACATATTTATTCATTTATTTTTGAAGAGACCCATGTTTTCTGCATTGTCAGTTTCCACAAAATGTACTGCTAAGACTTACAAATAGCATCTCCACAATATCAAAGAAATATTTTTGTTTTCTGATTCTGAAAAAGAAAAACTTTGATAATAATAATAGCACTCCCTTTTGATTACATCTGCACATATGCTGCACTAGAATTGATTTATCTATGAAATTCAACATTTGTCCAAGCATTAGCAGGACCTGGTACAAGTTAGTTACCTTGCATCTGCTTGTGTACAGCAGCTGATCTCTGTATACAATTAATGTGTATTACACACTGTAATATTTGAATATAAATTCAAAATTATAATATTTCTGTCTTTTTACAGTATGCAAGACGGAGACTGGAGGAGGAGAGGCGACATGAGACAGAGCCATGGTTCCAGAGATTTATGAAGTTAGCCAACGCTTTGTATGAAAGTGACACAGATCATTCTGGTAGGTATCTTTTTAATATATCCAAATAACACGTTTCATAAATGTGGTATCCAAATAACGCATGCTTCATAAATGTGGCATCCAACTAAGACATGCTTCATAAATACTGCATACAAATACATGTAACATGTGCTTTATAAATATGGCATCCAAATAACATGTGCTTCATACATACAATTTTAGAATTAAGACTGTTAGTAATATATTAGATAATACTGGTGTTATTGCCTTAACAAGTATCATTTATGTTCAAATTAAAGTCATAAATTTCATTTGCTGTATTTTGTTTTCTTTAATGTTTATATAAAATATAAACAAATTGAAAATTTTATTTTAGGAGCATTACCTGAAGATGAAGTAGAAAGACTATGTAACATGTACAATGATGCTTATTATCTTGACATTCCTGAAAATGAGATACGCAAAGCAGTTAGACATAGTTCCAGTGACAGAGGATTAGTGTACATAGACCCCCTTCTACAAAAGTTGGGTTTACAAAAATAGAGTATTTACTGGTATTTCATTATGTTTATAGGGAAATGCATGTACATTGTGCCATATGTGTTAGTTGCCTTTGTGAACTTAGGGTGGAAATGTCTACTACTGTATTAAAAAACAACAAAACTTGTCATTTGTAATATTTGCTCATAAAATTTTTTCCAATAAATTCGAGATATGAATCTACATGTATATTATCTGTGTGAAATAAAGTGCAAATAATTTGCCTGTGGGAACTAATCAACTCACAGGTGGCTAGTTTTAACTAGACGTTTAAAGTAAATGTTATACTGAGTACAAGTTTGAACTTCAGATTTACCTTAAAACAAGCTTTATGAACAAGAAATATTTGTTTGACTGTATATACTTATAAATAGTATTTTGTATATTTGTTAGTACAGCTTGTCTCTGTAACATTGTTTTTGTCAGTTTTTGTATACTTTGTATTATTGATATTTTATTGTTTTTTACTATAAGTTTTTAATGTGGATTATTCCAGGCCTGTTATTGTTATGATTGGAAAAATAGATGCTTTTTGATCACACACAAGCACCAGGTTCTAGATGCATTTGGCTATTAATTTGCTTCTGGTCAGATCTTAGAAAGTTGCAAGATATGCTTTCTGTTATATATTTCATTTGTCATCAACAACACTTATGCCACACTATGTATAGTGACCACCAACAGTTAAAAATATTTTTATGCAATGCTTAGTACACATGTACCGGTAGTACCTTACAAAATTTTTTATTGCAAACTATAAATGTAAATATGTTTTATGTTGTTCAATGGTGACACTGTATGAAAACAATTATCAGTAAGATACTTTTTGTTTGTAAAAGCATATCTCTTTTGTAAATATTTACTGAATGAAGAGTTTTAAAATGTCAAATTTAGCAATTGTTTAATTCAAGTCAAATATATGAAACCATCATTCTAACTTTTTAAATTAAGATATTATTTGACTTTGATTTTTTTTCATTAAAATTTTACTGTTTAGTTCTGTTACATCAAGGAGTTAACCACTTTGGTTTGACACTGTATGTCTCCATTCTTTACTGGATTACGCATAGCAATAATAATCGTCGTGATTTGTAGAATCAAATAATATTATCAAAAGCATTTGTTGCTCAACCACAGAAAGGATGATAATTAAATTACAGGTATTATATTGTGTTCAGTATGTGCCTCTAATACATTTTACAGTATTAGCTTATTCATGTATTTAATAAACTTTCTCTCTGTAAGTGTTGTTTTCTGATACTCCCAGTAATAGTAAGTAATGCATCCTGACAATATATTCTGAGATCATTACACAATGCATTATCACTTTAAACACAAAACTGGATTTGTGAAACTGCAAATTAATTTCTTATTTAACTATTCTACTACTTATCTACCATATTTGAAAACAAAAAGTTTCCAAATGTTATGACCAAAAAAAAAAAAAAAACATTACTGCGGAAATGCGTGTAGCAGTAGTGATCTAGCTCTAAGAGCAAGAATCCTATTGTGTATATATCGGTGGCTAACGGATATCCATAGTACAATTCAAAACTAGAACCTGGAGATTCGACATGTAAATTCTACGAACAAATATGTGTGTATCCTTAAGATAAAAAGCACAAACTACTTATATATCATGGACTGGAATAGCAAATTTTCGAATATTGTACGGGAAACCGAAGAGAGTCTTTCGAGAGTCAAGGTAAGCTTGAGTACAACACCAAAAAGTTGAAGTACATGTACAATGTGAATGTGAATGCTTGTGAGGCCGAAAACTGAGGCAAACAATGTAAATGCAGAACAAATGTACATGCAGTACACATGTACTAGTAGTAGAAGTAGTAGTTTACACTCATGCAGTTTGCTCCAAAATTTTTTTGTCTTTGATAAGGGTTTCCTGCTCATGTAAATTACTGAAATTACATGTACATTCAATTCAAAAGTGTCTCAAGTCAAATGTTTTATGTTTACATTTTACAAGTCGTTTTAGAGAATTTTCTGCTTACAAAATGTATTAAAATTTTGTAGCTGCATTAAGCACATGTAGCAGAGTGTTACTCTGTCAGGTAACATGCATTTAGATCAGAACATTTTTTTCTAGAATTTTAACAATGTGTTGACACTGTGGTAAAAAGTTAAATATGATTTGTTCTGTGCCTCGTATTTACCAAAGAACTTTTTTACACTGAAATCAGCAACGACTTGGTTCTGCAAGGGCAACCACATCATCTGCCTTAGCAATACAATCCCCAACCTTCTCACCAACTGTGAATGCTCACACAGAGAGCTACAGGAATACCAGGGAAGCAGAGAGCCCACGAGTACGATTCCGTCCCTCTACTTGGTCACGGGACGCTGATGTGGGATCAAGAATTGCCCCTCTTGATCAGTCACCTGCTGTGGTGCTCCTGTTACAGGATAAAATTGAGGAACAGGGAAGGGTAATGCATATCGTTGTAATGTAGAACCATTTATTTAGCGATCAAAGTTTACAGATAAGTTGAGAAAATATATGACCACTTGAACCTGCAAGAAAATGTCAACAAAACATATGTCCCGGTATTTAAGATATATCTGGTTGTGGATAGGAAAAAATGCAAAATGTGTAATTTGCAACACTTAATCTGTTTTAAATAACTTTTTTTATCCAGACAATTGAACATTTGACACGAACTGTGAAAAGATTGGAACAAGAGCGAAATCAAAATAAGCAAGAGTTAACAGCATTAAGGGATGACATGTCACACTTGAATTCTCGCATATCTGAAAAAGGCATAGATTTGAACACAGAAAGAAAAATAGAACAATGGAGAAGGGACATGAGTACAGAGATACAGGTGCTGCAGAGCCAGTTACAAATATATCGTACTGCTGATGACTCACAGAGATTTACAGAGGGACAGCTTGCATCTCTGATTAGAGAAGTGCATGATTCGTAAGTAAAGCAAATAATACAGCAATGCTTGGAGTGAAATGACGTTTATCACCAGAGCTATGTCATTTTTTCTCCCAAAATTCTTTCAAGCTAGAAGAGTTGTATGATGTTTAGAAACTGATTTTGATGCAGTTCTATAATATTGTAAAAACAGTTTGTTATAAAATTTACAAAATGAATAAATAAATGGCTTTATAGATTTGTAAAAGTTCTAACAAATACAATTGGAATTTTATCCAGAAAGAGATATGTTCAAGAAGAATGTGAAACACTGCGAAGGGCTGTGGAGAATCTCAAAACCAGAATGGGTGAGTGGATATTTGTTTTAGGAATTAATTTTATTATTAATTTTTTAAAAAATTAAAACTTATTTTGGAGTTCTGTTTTTGATTTTATACAAGTTTTTTTTTTTTCTTAATGTTACTCACATTGATCTATGAGCTATTTGGAATATATATTATGGCTTCAGTTAATCACTTCCATTCACCAAATCATTATACTTTTGACAATGTGTATTGTACATGGACTATTTTGATTGTTTTTGTCATTTTACTATTTGCAATTCTTTTAGTGAAGATGGAATTAGAAATGACAGCACTGCAAGCAGACAACAAAGAACTTAACCGTAGACATGACAGGCTGGATATGGTAAAAAAATCAAACAACAAGATATTTTTTGATTGATACAATTTCTTCATTTAATAGCATAGCAAAACATAAGAATGTTGAATATTATCAGTCTCAGTTTATTAAGAGCAATGGTGTATATTTTTATGTAAATTATAACTGTTTCATTTCTTTTCTATTCAGACCATTAGAGATGTGTCAGATCATCAACTCACCCAGTCAAGGAGCTTAAACAGGAGCCTGGATGAAAAGGATTATGATAAAATCCAGCTAGCAGAACTAAGGTACATCAACAGACATGTAGACAAACAGATTTGCTGCCTTAAAAACTTTAACAAAGCGCCATCATTAACCAGCAGTGGGCATGTAGGATGTACCATATATTTTATCACAGATACAAACGCGTCTCTCGTTTCGGTCTTTTTAAGCTTACATGCAGTGTGCACAATTTGTTTTTTCTTGCTTACAGGACAACAATCCGCTCACTCAGGGATAAATTGGGCAGCATGGAAGAACAGTGGTCTCCACAGAGAGACAACTTTGCCAAAGGTACTTGACTTGTACATTTGAAAAGTATTTACTGTTCTTGTTTGTTTGAGAAGTATGTCAGCTAATGATGTCAAAAAATAAACAGTTAATAATTGGAATATTATATTTAACCAGTTTGTCCAAACGATTTTGATCCTGTCAAAGCGAGTCATGAGAGCTTCAAGGCTCAATACACATGTATAAGTTGTTACATGTATCATTACAGCACCAGAAGGAAAAGGGAAGTTAAAATCAAAGGCAAAACAGAAGAAAACCAAAGAAGCTCTACTGTCTCCAGATACCAGTGATCTAGAAATGAGTAGCAGTACCAGCTTAGCAGATTATTCCAGCTCAGACTTTGACACTGTGCCAAAAGAGCGGAAGAAAGTGAAAGAAATAGGTGAGTATACCACAATACCAAAGATGCACCAGGGAGTTATTTTTCATTTAAAAGTTCAATTTTTTAATATTTTTAAAAAAACTTTTAGCATATTACTAAAAGATTTGAGAAAAATTACAGGTGGCCATCATTTATATATTGTCCTGGTTTGGTGCTGAAAATGCAATATAGTCAGACTTAATTTTTTTCATAACCAATGAAAAGTAGCTAGCAGCAACAGTTTTCATTGCTTGTTCCAAAATTCATTTTGTTTGACCTCTCCCTCGATTTGCTGTGGTTCATGATAGAGGGCATTGTGAATATATTGCCTTGGCTTAGAAAGGTGCAAATATGATGGATTCATGAAAGAATGTTTTTTCCTTATTTCAGCATATCATGAAGAATTGGACCTTGAACTAGATTTGAGCGATGTCCCGTCCATAAGCACTGAAGACCTAGGATCAGATTGAAAAATGTGAAAACATGCACCCATGTTATGGTTCAGTCCTTAAGCTCATTAAAACAAGGTTCAAGAAATATTTGAATTTACACCCAAGAACTATGGACCTTCTAATGAATGAAAATTTTTGATTTGTTTCTTAATACAGTTTAGGTTAGACTGATCGTTGTGCTTTGCCATAAAACTACGTAGGCAGCATGAGAAAAATTATGAAGTACACTCAAAACTTTCAAGTTACATGAAATGTCATATTCTTTATTGTGTTTGTTATACAAAGTGCACTCAAATATAGGTTCTGTTAAGGACCAAAGCCACATTTAATCTGCTCACCAATGGCAGCACAAAGGCCATCTTGATATCTTTGATACAGTGGAAGGCAATCATGGTTGAACTTTATAAAGAACTTGGTATATCAGCAATAAGAGGACCATTTATTGTTATAATTTTTTTTTTAATTTTTAAAAAGTACTTTGTTAACACATGTCAATGTACTGTACTTTAGAATTGGGCAGTGTGAGGGTTCAGGGTTCACTAGTTTATGTCCAGTTTCAGGGTCTCTACCATGCAAGATTCCATAACCTTTATGCAGTGAGTTAATTGTTATTGTTTTTCACATTAATGCATCTTTTTCATATCAAGGTCAACAAGATTTTTTAGAGTATTAAATGTTGTAAATGTAACTGTATGAGCACAATTAACTTTCAAAATATTTTATTTTATCAAAATCATAGTTCATACATAAATCTTCAAAAAATGTAAAAGTTGATCAGTATTGAATGTTGTATGAAAGGTAAATAGAGAATACCTGCCAATATATTTTCAGAACATATGTCTCAGAATTGAAGCAAATCTTTGTTCCAACTAAAGTCTTGAAAATAACAATTTTAACTGAAACTGTATGATAAAATATTACATCAATTAAATATTATGTTTATAAGGTACAATTACACATTTGACAGACTAGAGATTTTACATTTTGTATTTCACCTTCATCATTCATAGGAAAATGTGTCTAGTTTTAATATCTGCTTCCTTTATTGACATAAAGATTGCCAGTGAAAAAAATCTTTACTATAAAGTCCTTGCCCTCCTTGGAAAAATCAGTAGGTATAGCTAAAACTATGAAACTTTTAATAGTGGGAGAAAGGTAAGTAAATATAAATTGACTATGATAAATCACCAGATCACCAGATCACACTCCTTGACCAAGACTCAATTTATGAAAATAGTATTTCAATTACCATAGAAAGAATGCATTTAAAAGAATAAGAATCTTTTTTTTATGCAATGTAAGAGACATTACTGGTACTAAACAAAGCAATATTTTATACCATTTATGAAATCATGGTATTTCTTGTAGGTTTGAGCAAATAAAAATTATCATTCTAAAAACTTTTCACTGTTAGATATTTGAATGTTGGCAAAATGACCTACTCATCCCTTTAATAAATTCTGTTGTGTAGATATAATTAATATCAAAGTTTACTAAATATCTTTGTAAACAACTTTGGTAAAAGTTTTGCCTTTTCATTATTTGAAGGCTCTTTTTTTAAAGAGATATAGTTTCCACAAAATGAAAACAATGTAAACACAACAAAAATCACTTAATTCTAAAATCTATTTGTCTCTAAAATTTAATAATAAAAATTCCATGGTTAAGTTCTAGCTTTTTTGTTCACTTTATCATAGACCTCTGGAAAAGCTTTCTTGCAATTCAACTGCCCTCTCATCTTGTCATACAAAGTATGGTCAAACATCTCCCGAAACTCCTCTCTGGTCATGTAAGAGTCTGCATACAGCATTTGAAAGCTGGAAAATGAATTTTAGTCAATTGTTTAAACTTACAAAGACAAAGTACAGAAATGTGTTAATTGTTTTTTCTTTAGTTTTTTTTTCATTGTGATGGGTTGTCACCCTATGAAGAATTTTCCATGTTTTGAACAACTTCAAATTTTTTATAATCATTATCTTTACACTAAATTAAGGACAGGATAAAGGAAAGGAATGAAAAACAAAATATACAGTCTGAACACCCAGAAGTGAATGCTTTGATTGTGAAGCTTGCTAATTAAAGATCAACACCAAACACATAATCCCATCCTAATCACAACCATGGAGGGTTGCCATTTTACCAACTTACCCCTGAACCTTCCTCACAAATTCTTCTATATTTCTGGTTGTCTTCACAGGGTCAAAGTTGTTCACTTTTGGCTCTCCATATGCTCCAATGTCAACATACATAGCATCCTTGTCTCCTTTGGGATGTACCATACCAGGCAGGTTAGGCAGATAGAATGGACACAACCAAAGTGGATACAGCTAGAAAATGAATACCAATTTGATGAAATTGTTGTCATGGCCGATACCAATGCAGACAAAGAATGATACAGATTTTTAAATGTCACAGAAGGTTGTGATGCTTAACTATTTTTTACATTCATAGAAGTAAGGTTTCTAAATTGAAATTTCTCTTTTTAATAGTGCATATTCCTAGTTCAAAGTAAATTATGTAGCTCTCAAGTAAATGGTTGTCACATCATATAATACAGAGGCATTGTAATGATAATCCAACACCTTCTGTTTTGCAAAAGACATCTTATATCAAAAAGGTCAGAATACTCGGAAAAAAGCTCAAATTCTGGATGATTCCTAAATGCAAAGTGAAACATGGTTTGTTTGACCTGTATTACAAATAGATAACATCTAATCAGATATATGACCATGGATTACAAACCTGCCATACTGAGAAAATGCTCAATTACAGAATATACCATAAAGGTCACACATAATGAAAAGAAATCAAGATACCTTAACTTCTTTATGGAAACACTTTAATGCACTGCCAAGATCTGCCATAGGAACCAGCATGTCTTGGATCATCTGATGCTGTTCATACATCCTCTTTATGGTTTCACCTTGGGTTAGTTTTAAAAGAGAGATTTTTGGTGGAACCATCCAGCCAAATAAATATCTGAAGACAGGATGGTTACCAAAGGGAATAATGTCCTAAAACAGAAAACACTTTAAAATTCACTATTGAGCCTCCTGAAAGTTCATCACAGTTTCATTTCTTTTTTTAATTGTTTAGTATTTATTTATTTTGATTAATTTGCATTGTATAATATTTATACATACTAACAACAACAGCGAGTATTTCATGTCTACATGGTCTGTGCCAAAAATATAAGCTTACTTGCCCTTCAGGACACCAGGTCTAAAGTAACAGTGGAGCTAAAATGTACAAACTTGCAAAATTTAACTGAGCAGACCTAAATTATATGGGCAATTTGATGTGGGGTCAGTGGTAGTGTTGCAGACTGTATACACTGCTGAATAGGGAATAAAAAGAGCATGAACTGAAAAAAGAACATGTCCACATTACCTGTAACTCCCAGAATATACTCCTGGTATGTCTGTGATAGTAGTGCCTCAGTGGAATATACTCCACGCCAGGTCCTGTCCTGAGAAAACCCTCCACATGTTTGAAGAACCAGGGCTTCCAAAAGTTTCCTATAGAGTTGATCTGAAACAAATCATGAATGTCTGCCATTTTCAATAAATGCCAAAGCTTTTTGAGATATATGAAAATGTTTTGTTCATTATTTTCAGCAAGTTACAACAAGTTTCAATGAGTTAATTAAAATGAAACTAATTCCTAGCACACCTTGTCTGAGGGAGCATCATTCGTCATATTTCCAGTCATAATGACTGCTTCATTCTCCGAGTACATCAACCCTTCCACAAACTCATTCCCAGTCTTCTTCTTGGTCTCTTCCTCAAAAACCCTCAATATCTCATTAAAAGAGTGAACAGGTTTGTACTCCATGCGCAAATATTTCTTGGCTGGAATGATCTTGATGTCAGCAGAAACCAAGAAGCCAAGGGTGCCATATGACCAGGGTACAGCATAGAACAGATCAGGGTTTTCATCCTAAGGATAATATGAAATATATCTTATCATATAAATATGTTACTCCCAGCGTTTGCCTCTTAGGAAAATAAGTTGCTGGACCGAAAGTCCAGCCATCTTGAAAAGTAGCTGGGCTGAATGTGTGCCGGGTGGGAAAACTTCTCAGCCCGTTCTGAAAGTTGTCAGCTCCGGGCAGACGGTCCAGCCTTAATTTCTAACACTGGTTACTCCATAAAAACATTCTACTGTTTTGGGACGGACTCCTTTAAATTTGTAAATCTCCCCCCCCCCCCCCCCCCCCCCCCCCACACACACACAAAAAAAAATTAATACATAAATAATATAATATAAAATAAAAATAGACATAAATAAATATTAAAATTTGTAAATAATAAAATCATCTAAGAGTTGAGCAATGAATGACCATATCTATATCTAATCTAAATATTTCAACATGATTAATGATTTACCTTGGAACACTTGACCACACTGCCATCTGCTAACACCAATTCAAAGGCCACACAGCAGTGCTGGAAGAGTCCATACTTGTGTGATGAGGTCTCAATACCCACACCCATGATCAGCCCACCTAGGTAGCAAGACAAAGATTATACTACACTGTTCTCTGTTTGTCTGTATGTAAGTCTGTATGTCAGTCTGCATGTCTATCTGTTTGCTTGTCTGTGTGCATAATTGCTTGCAAAATTCCATCCATTAACGTTGCTTTTGAAGACTAAGTGCATATTTGATATGTATGGTGCTACACAGAAATAAATGGCATTTGCTACTTGCAATACTCTGCACTAACCTACTGTCAAATCATCCAACTCTGGCAGAACAGGAAGAGTCCACCCAAGGGGATTTAAGGTAGCTGTAATCTGTCCCATGGTTGCCAGGGGTTCCACCCTAACCACCTGTCTGTTAGTGGTATCAACCTCCAATATGTCAATCAGGTTGACGTTAATGTTGCGCATGGTTCTCTTGTAGAGACCTTGGCGAAAGCTTACAGTCATCCAGCCTGGTCTTGCAGTGCACATCTGGGTCTGACAGCCATCAGAAGCCCACTGCTTCACCTGAGAATGAGACAAATTAAAGACTGCTGCAGAAAGAACTTCCATTCCAAATAAATGTTTATCTGTTTATAAATATTTTGTCTTTCATAGAGCGCATTCTCAACTAATTAAGCCAGGCTTTACAAAGCCGGTGACCTAAAAATGGCGGACGTACATGAAAGAAAAAACGCCTAATCTTTTAATAGTCTCTCCGNTTATTATTATTATTTTTTTCACCCAATTTTTTAACCATTAAACTTTCAAGTACTTTCAATATATTCCTCATAAAGTATCCCCAAAGAAAAGATGTTGAAATGGTCATCAAATGTCAAATAAATAGCTTTTTCATAGGGGAGTCCTTGGGTGGTAAAATACAAATCTTTAATTTTTTTTTATTTTTTCATGAATATTTTCACCTGCAAACTAACAAAAAGTGCCAATGTGTCCTCCATTATGCATACTACAAGATCATAGTCATTTACTCAAATTAAATTAGATTTTTGAATGTTTTTTGGGGGGAGTCAGATTTTCATGGTACACCGGGCCTCTGAGGCCCGGTTTCAGGGTTTACGTAGGGTTCCATTTCCTTGTGGATGAGGGTTAATTCGTTGAGAATCCGCTCATATATTATACGTACAATCATATTGGTCTCCTTGGAGGTAAAAGGCTAAAGAAAATGGCCCTACAATCATTAATAAGTGCTGTAAATTATAAATAGCATCCAATACCAAAGAATTTTCATATTGGATAGACTGAATGGTTCAACTGTAAGGCCCCAGCACCACTAGTCCCCTGAATCATTACTCCCTTCCCCTCTACATTGTTACTGACCACTGGTAAAACGTTATGTACAATTCTCAATTTGAAAATAATAATATTTCAGTGAAAATGTTTTCTGTATAATCAAAATAACGTTTGAATAACTGTTTAAAAACTTTTTCTAAAATTACATGTATCTTCCAAAATGTTGTAAAGATATTTTAAAACCATATAAAGTCACATTATTAATCATTACAAAAAACTTTTTATAACAGTTGCAATAAAATTTTAATAACATTTTAAAAACAGATATGTGTTTACTGGGATTGATGAGTGGGAGTAGCAATGGGTAATATAATTTTGATAGGGAGAGCACCTGTACACCTGTAACTATGCAGGGAAGTAACAGTGTGGGGGAGTTAAGATGTGGTGATGTAAAGACATGACTTAGGCTTTTTTTTTTTTTTTGTGCCAGCCTCAAATAATGACATAATAGCTCAGAATGAAAAATTATAAAAATCTTAATTGCAATAAAATACATATTTTTAAAAAGTTTTTTAAATAACCACTGCCATGAAATTCATGCGCTCGGTTTAACTCCATTTCAACATAATTATTGAATATTAGATTAAGGTTTAATTTATCTAAAAAATTAAAGCTTTAATTACTACTATTTACTAGTATACCTGTCTCTGCACATCCTGCACTTTCTTGTCGTGGAGCTTGGGTGCACTGTTAAGCTTGAATACAATCCAGTTTCTTACGAAATAAAATACATCATAAATAACTGATATTGGTAGGAGGAAAAAGCATACAAATACCCATCTGTAATTGATTAAAATGTACTCCAACCCACGGAACTTAGCCCAGGAGAGGGAAAGAACGACGGGCAGAGCTGCGGCAAGATATAGTAATTCCATTGCTGTATAACAAAGGTCGTCGTCTCGTTACTAATCAACTCTAGTGCACTCCGTTGCTTTAATGAACCCTATCTTTGAGGCTTGAATGCGGATAACAAAAGGTCGCTGTCACACCACCGCTCCGTAACATGCCCTAGTCTCGTTATAAAAATGTCTGCACGCTTAAAACAAACAAATTTTATTCTGTAATCGAGGCAAAAAAGCGGATGTTTCTTACGCTGTCAAGATTTGACCCAGTTTTAATTAGACCAAACATAATAGGTCAAAGGTCGGATAATTCACGCGAGATGTCAAGTTCCCGCCAAATCTTCACATGTCTAAATTGGGTCAGCGTGCTTGTTGTTTTGCAGAATACTTCCACGTATTGTAGCTTTGTGCAGAAGCAAAAATGTGGATCCAGGTGCGGAGCATGGACGGCAAGACTTGCCATCGTATAGATGGTCTGTCGAAGCTGACGAAAATTGAAGATTTGCGCTCCAAACTGGTGGACCCATTCGACGCACCGGCTGAAAGACAGCGACTGTTTTACAGGGGAAAACAGGTTGGCCACCCACCCTTGTACTTCCTGACCTTTTACTTTTAAATTCATTAATATTTACAGAGGATTTGCAGAGTTATTGCATGAAAAAAATTGATATTTAACTTTAAAGTAGAAGTCAGGGGAGAGGCGGGTGCACTGTGCAGTGGCCCATACAATGTTTTAGCTTTTGGATAGCTCAAAAATTGAAGAATAACACTGGCATTGTCCTTCGTTGGTTTCAAATATCTCAAAATTGTTAAAAGAGAATTTTGTGTAGGAAAGATGCTAGTATATCATGCTACCCATATTGCTATAGTTCTTCTCAACCGATTAAATATGTTGATTGTTGTTAACTGGCATTACACTGTTGAGACACCATGTGCAGTCTGAATTAATTTTCTATGGTATTAATATTATTTATGAAGTATTTAATTGACAACCTCCAAAGTGAAAAGAAAAGAAAAATATGAAGACTACTATACTACAATGTAACTACAAATACACCTTTGTCTAAAACCACGAAACGAGATTTGTTAACCTTATTTTTAGACATCTTGCATGTTTCTGGTTTCACCTTGATGGGGGACTTTGTGGTTAAACTCGAATCCAGGATAGCTGGAGTCAATGGGTCACTCTTGTTTCATGCTGGGACTTCGTGCTACCGCTGGTTGCCAATATGATTTACATTTGCCTGAAAAAAGAGCTATATGTTTGTTGTCATGTATCATATAATAGTTTTGACTAAGAAGTTGATTGCTAAGTATAGATATGTGGATAAATATTAACAAAGAATCAATTTAAAATTGATAAACAAAATTTAAAGTTTTTTGTTTTATTTTTCTTCATGTCAGCTTGAAGATGGGCACACATTGTTTGACTATGACGTACATCTTAATGATATTGTGCAGCTTATGGTGCGAATGGCTGCACCACCCTGTGAGAAGGAAGTAACAAAGGACACTGAAGAGGTGAACAGTGAGGATGACAGCAACTCTTCCAACAAGGAGAATGAGGTAATTATGCAGGTTGGCAGATGAATGAAGTGATGGAATTTGTTTGTTATGCATTTCTTTATAAATGTTGTTTTTTTTTTTTTTNAATGCAGCCTGGGTTGGAAAAGTAGTCTAATTGGCTTCTTTTTCCGGAAGTTATACATTTTCAAAGTGTGATCTTGAACTCCCATGGGCCTGAAGCCTTATGCTTTTTACACGTTTTACTTACATTGGTATTACCTGTTGAGCATAATTAAAATTTGATGTTGAATTTGCAGTTTAACATAATGTACTTTTGCATCAGAATTGACAGTAGCCTATTTTGTGCATAGTTATTTCCTGCTTTTTGTCTGTACATTTGACAGCTTTGCTGCCTTGTTTTTTTTTCAATAAAATATCACACAAACCGGTATTTTTTTAAACATTTATAAGGTGACAAATTGACAATTTCTTACTTCATGTATTGTTTCAAGAAATTTGCAAAATTAAAAAAAAATACAAGGGCAATGATAGTATTAACAAGATAAACAGTTTTGAACTTCTTCGGTCATGTTTTTTCAGCCTGAAAACATGCAGACATCTGAACCCTCAACTAGTCAGCATACAACCTCTTCCACTGATAGTGGCTTTGAAGATATGCACTCCACTTACAAGGTAATGGTTTGAAAATATGTATAAGTAAGTCTTGAAGTGTAAAATAATGTTAACTTTGCAATGTTTAATATTTATAAGTGTGCATTATTGGCCCAGAGGTATTTCAACTGATTTCTAATTAAAGTCCTGTTAGTAAAATGTGAAAATAAATTGACCCAATTGTGTAATACTTTAATAACTGAGAATAGTGAGCTGATTTTAGCTGGGAATTTATTTTTAAATTTGATTTCAGGTTGGTGATATAATTGATGCAAGAGACAACACCATGGGTGCATGGTTCGAAGGAAAGATTGTAAAAATAACAAGATATGTAGATGAAGACTCCAGTGACAATGAGAGCGTCAAATCTGTAGAGAAGAATAATAACATGAAGGAAGAAAATCCAACAATATCTCCAACCAATGAAGAAAAGGAACAAAGTGAAGACCTTAAGGTTGATGAAACTCTAGTTAAGAATGAAGCCACAGCAGAAGTGACAGGAAATAATAATAATATTGAGGAGACAATGGAGGTGGATGACCCACAAGATAAAGAAATAACATGTGATAATGTAACAGATCCAAACCCATTAGGAATGTCTACCTCTGATCAACACCAAACCTCTGAAAAAGATCAGGAAGATAATACCTCAAACAACGTAAAAGACACAAATGATGCAGGAAACTCGGACCCTGAAGAGGGTGCTTTAACTTCAGTGCAAGGAGAATACCAAAAAGAACAAAATGGCAGCTTGTCTATAGGCAATAGTAATACCTCAGAATCCTCAAAAGACCTAATCTCAAAAGTTGAACTTGAGAAAATACCTGACGATGACTTTATTTATCATGTTCAGTATGAGGGGTAGGTTAATAAAAATGATAAATATGAATAACTCTGATACTGGAACTTGTATTTAGCATGACTGACATTGCGGTCTACACTTGAGACCATTCAGTAGGTCATGTCTGTAGAGAAGACCTGGATGGACTGGTTACCTGATCCATTGTCATGTGGGTAGGAATATTCCATCCAGGTCATTTACCCAGTGAAAGGCTCGGGTTGAGACCACATTGTCAGTCAGTGGCTAAATGTAAGCCCCAGTATCAGTTATACATATTTCTCATTCTACTGGATGACTAACAACATTCACTCATTACAAAAGGAGCAGTAAATGATGCTTTCTTTTTATTTTTATTATTATTATTAATTTAATGATAAATGACTTGATCAGTGAATGTTAAAAATGTAATCCTTAAACTAAAATTTTCTCAAACTTTTATCATGCAACTTACATAACTACAATTATGTAAGGAAGAATTCAGAATGGATGTCTTTTTATCATTTCATCAATACATTTCTTAAAAGTTATGAAGAAGAAGAAGACATAGCTAAAGTGAGAAGCTCTTCTATCAGGCCTAGAGCCCGAAATACTATCTCACTAAAAGACATACAAGTGAATGATAGGGTTATGGTGAACTTTAACTATGATGAACCCAAGGCAAGGGGGTACTGGTATGATGCCATTATCACAGGAAAAAGGGACACACGGACTATAAAGGAGTTGTATGCAACTGTGTTCTTAGGGTGAGGATATGATTAAACACTGTAAATTTGGGAATTTGTGAAGATACCATCTTGTTCTTGTGTCCAGTTTATTTTGTTTTCTGGTGTGACATTGTAGTATGTAATTAATTATTTAAGACCTCTGTGTAATTTGAAGGAAAATTTATTTTTTATACAGTACTGGAGCTTACCATTTGTAGAGGCATGAAGAGCAGTGAAAACATAAATTGAAATTCAATGGTTACATTTCAGAGCTGATCTCATGGCATTAGAGGATTGCAAGATTTTATTCATTGATGAGGTATTTGCAATAGAAAAACCAGGTTCCCAGATTAATACAAGTGACCCGGGATCTGCTGCAGCTACCCCAACAAAACGTAAGTAGTGTTCTGCACCCAAGATTTTCTATGTTATAAAGTTATATTGGTTACAGATATTCTTGTGTTGAATAGACTTCGAAGCTGCATTAAATAAGGTAACAGAAATAGGTAAATTCTGTATTCCACGAATAAGAATTGAGTACCGTTATGAATATTTTACTGTCTAAATATTTTTTTTTCCTTTTGCAGGTCAAAACAAACCCGAGTGTGATCACTGCTTAGACAATCCCAGAAGGAAATGCAAACACTGTGCCTGTCATGGGTGTGGTGGGAAGAATGACCCAGATAAACAGATTATGTGTGACGAGTGTGACATGGCCTTCCACCTTGCCTGCCTGGATCCTCCTCTAGAAGCAGTTCCTGATGTAGAGGAATGGTTAGTAAACCATCCCCTTCATTAAAACTAGACATAAACAGACTGCTAATAATAATTTGTTGGAATTGGTATATATTTTGATTTAGAAAATGTTCTCATTTGGAATAGTTTTATGCTGACATTGTGTGTGTGTTTGTGTATATAATAATCACCTATGTTATATGTCTTTATAGTTGTTTTCAATATGTGTTATTTCTATTTTTGCCAAACTACCTTTAAAAAAAATCGTAAATTATGGGGAAGTATTGTTTGGTGTTGAATAAGATCAAGTTATGAAATAGCAACTTCACGTTTGTGTACATGTGTAATCCCTTAGCTGAATGAAAAGTTTGCCAGAAAAAAGTTGATTGCTGCAAATTTGAAGCATGCCTGATACTTTGCTAAGGGACATCTGTATATAAATGACTGTTTCTTTTTAAAATCATTCTTCAGAAAATCTCATATTGTTCTGTTGTTGTAAAAAGTTTGGATTTTTCATCCAGGTATTGTCCTTTGTGCAAGAATGATGAAAGCGAAGTAGTGAAGGCAGGAGAAAAACTAAAACAGAGTAAGAAGAAATCAAAAATGGCATCAGCAAACAGTACAGCACAACGGGATTGGGGGAGGGTAAGATTTACATGTTATTATTAATAAAATATATTAATATAACATAGATGAAATGCGTGCTTACCATAATTATGGTATTTTGAAACAAACCTGTAAAAAGATTAGCAATATTGTGCATCAGTATAATACTTGTCTGTTTCACCAGGGTATGGCTTGTGTTGGAAGAAGCAAGATCTGCAACATTGTCCCCCCCAATCACTTTGGTCCCATTCCAGGTATTGAAGTGGGAACCACTTGGAAGTTCAGGGTCCAGGTAAGTACTGAGATATAACATTAAAGAGAGTGACCTGGGAGTTTTTTCTGTGTGATAATAGTTATTGTGGGTATGTTAAAACAGCCTTGTGAATTGAAGCATCTTTAGAATCTGAATCTGATGACCAAACTGCTTAACATGTGGTTTAGAAACGTAATGAGCAATGGAGGTCTGAAGGTGACATGAGTGTTCATCTAGTTCATATTTCAAGCTTTTTAAATTCATATTACCATGAAGTGTTCACACTTACTACTGTGGTATGCTTGCAAGTCTGTACATCAGGGTATTCTTGAGGAAGGTATGAATTGTTGATAAAGAATATTTTTTAGGTGTCATTGTATACTTGCAGGTGAGCGAGGCAGGTGTTCATCGTCCTCATGTTGCTGGCATTCATGGGAGAGATGTAGAAGGGGCATATTCTATTGTGCTGTCAGGAGGATATGAAGATGATGAGGTATGAAGAGCAGGCATTACTGTGCTCACTCTAGTCATTATTTTTGATTAGCAAAAGTTGCTAAAGGGTACAAATTTCTATTAGCATTTTCTTATTTCAATTAGCAAAATTTGAAAGTCGAACAGTACCACCATTTATCAGTTTTTATGCTGACATACATAAAGGAAGACACTGGACAGCATTAAAACGCAAAATTAAATAATAAAACAGACTAAATGTGTAAGTTAATGCAAATAATATTTTAATAAAAGCTTATGCATGCCTTAACAACATTAGGTAGAAACCAAGATCCAAGAGTCAAAGAGAGACAGAGTTCATATGTCACTTTATTCCCAGGTTACATCAGCATATACATTACATAATTATTAAACAAAAACAACAATTTAAAAACATTTTGCACTATTTCATTTCAACACATTGCAAGTAATCTGAAAAAAAAAATACAGAAAATGTACAGAGCTTCAGGGTGATGGGAGTTAAATGTCACATCTTGAAGATGACAGTGTTTGAAAAGTAAAATATACTAATAAATAAAAGGATAACAACAAAAATATTCCAATACAGCTGCATTCAAACTTTAAATCTAGCTGTATTAACATGATATGAATAATCCCATTGAGTTGGAGGATAATAAGGCACTGTAATTCATCTATAGCATTAATGTTGACATTACACAAAAATGATTTCAATTTCTAATGTGCAACTACTAGTAGACTCCATGTTGGTAATTGTCACAAGGTCATCAGGTAAGTCTAGAAGTGGCCCACCTACTGGTTCACAGTATTGAAAAGGCTGCTCTGTTGGAGGTATTCTAGTAGCTGTGGTGAAAAACGATTCTATTCTGGACTGCTTATTAGAAGAAGCAATCCTTTTCTTTGCCTGCCCTTGAAAAATGTACTACTTGAAAAATGGTCAATCTTCAAATTCATCACGATCACAAATATAACGGCAACTGAAACTGCAGAATGAATATTAATCGTACAAAATTGTACACATGGCTTTATTAACTTTCCAATCATTATAATATTTCATCGATTTAATCATTATCTTCCCCACACAAAAATAAATCAAGAACGCATTTATGTCGATAAACATTGCTTGGTGCGCAACGCATCGATCGTCACGTGGTCGTGTAAGCATTTTTAGAAGAAAGGTATTCTTTTTTCTTTGCTGGGTACAACAAACTGTTAAAGAAAAATAAATTTACTAAAATTCTCATTAATACAAGATTATACGACAATTAGTCACCCGAAGACAGAATACGTGGACCATTAAAAACCTTTCACTGTTGAAAGTTACTAACTTACAGCAAAATGAGCTCCAACTACGAAAAGTTATTCACTCACTTTTTATTTTACATTCCAAAGCTTAAATTTTGTATGTAATACAATTTTGTTTACATGTCAGATAAAAAATCACCTTACCTTTTCAAAAATCTTTGAAAGCATTGCCACATCGTTCTCCGCGGATCACATTTTGAGCGCCATGTGCTGACTGCTAGTGCGGGCTATCCCGCACTGAAACTTTGGTTGCCTAACCCCGTTAATCATATGGATGTGGAATGATTATTATACATTTACATTTATTTGTTTATTATTTCTTAATCGTTTTAATTTTATTTTCACACTTATAAGGCTAGAATGTACATCACACGACTCGGAGCACCGTCTCTAAATTGTTGCCTCGTTTTCAATTAGTATCTGCACGAAACGGAGGCATCTATATATTCACTTTCACTTGGACATAGGCAACGATGTAAACAACGATGTTAGCGTGGTGACTTGTATTTTTTAATGCAAAACCAAAGCAAACGCGCTGAAAGGTGATTAACATTTTATTGTATTAACAGTTTCGCAAAATTTGCGAACGTGTAACATTTTGTTTTCGCATTTCTGAAATGCAATTCGCTATAGCGAACTTTGCGAGCGTCTAGCGTGAGCCTAGCATTAAATTTGACATCAAAAGTGAGAAAATTAATATTGCTGGTGGTGCACTTATGCATTCATTTTGAACTCATTAAAAGAAAAATTTTGACAGGCAATAAATTTAGTAAAAATATTTTCAGGATAATGGTGACACCTTCTATTACACTGGAAGTGGAGGCAGAGACTTGTCTGGAAATAAACGCACAGCTGAACAATCCTGTGATCAGACACTCACAAGAACCAACAGGTAAACTAAAGCAGAATTGTGCTACTCTCTTCATATCTCAATTGGGCTTATTGTTTTGACAATTTTCACACTGTTTTTACATCTGGTAAAATCACGTACATAGATAAATCATGGTCTTTAAACATTGTGACGGTATCAATCAAGATAATGTATTTTAAAGAAATTATCATTAGAGTTTCCATAGAATTTAAGTTGAGAAAAGGCAATGTTTTCATTGTTTGGAGTAAGAGGGCAAGATGGACATAATAAACTACCAGCAATTTAGACTGGAAAGCACTGTATGACAGTTACTTTTATTTAAATTTAGAGCTTTAGCAAAGAACTGCAATGCTCCCCTGAATGACAAACAGGGCGGGGAAGCCTCAGACTGGAAAGCTGGAAAACCTGTAAGAGTAGTGAGGAACTGCAAGGGAAGAAAACATTCCAAATATGCACCAGAGGAAGGGAATAGATATGATGGGCTTTATAAGGTAGTCCTATGAATCTGTTAGCTCTTTAGAGCCCTGTTATAAGATGGTAAAAATTGGCTATAGGGAAAATGTTGTAGAGTGTTTAAACCAAAAATAGTGCCATTAGAACCATTTATCCAGATTGAATTTTTACAAATTCAGTGAGCTGAATGTAGATAGCAGAAAGCTTTAAAGCATGAATGACTACCACTCCTCATTTTACTACTTTTCCAGGTGGTAAAATACTGGCCAGAGAAAGGTAAATCTGGTTTCATAGTTTGGAGATACTTGTTCAGACGAGATGATCCCACCCCAGCCCCGTGGACAAAAGCTGGCAAGAAAAGGATCGAGGAATTGGGGCTGACCATCCAGTACCCACAGGGTTATCTGGAGTCACAGAGAGAGAAGGAACAACAGAATGCTGAGGCGGAAAATAAGAAAGGAAAGGGCAAAAGGAAGAGAGAGGAAAGTGGTGAGTTGGGCAGGCCCAGTAAAAGATCTTCTTACAAGAATTTGGCTAGAAAAAAACGATAACAAGAAATGATCATGGCATCGATGATAGAGCACTACTGTTTACTGATCCTCTCTCTGTAGAACTTCCCATGGTGACTATAAATTAAGTTAAAAGATTTGGTGTGTACATATTTTACTCCACTTAATCCTTGGAAGATCTGTGTTGCTTTAATCTCTTGTACATGCTGTAGCTCTTGCATTCCTTTGAAGAGATCTCTCAGGATTTTAAAGGATTATTCATTCAATTGTAGAAAGAATGTATTATTTATAGATTGCAAAACAAAAATTAAACATGTACATTGCAGAGATTTTGTTTTTTAATACTGAATTTCCTCCCTTAAATTTTTATTTTAGAATCTCCAAAGTCCACTCCAGAAAAGAAACAAAAAGTTGCTGCTTATAAATTTGACCCTGAGGTAGCAAACTTGGTGAAAGAGGATGTGGAGAATAAAAAACTCTGGAAAGAAGCTAAAGAACATGCTAAGGAAGGGGTACAGGTAGGCAGGGAGTGAATGCTTTAGTTGTGGCATATATAGCCCAGAAATCATCAGCTAAATCATTGATGTCAAACTGCTGTTACTGAAGACATTGAATTATTGATCTATGTGCCAATATACTGGAAGAAAGTGTGGCTTTTAGGTGTCCATACAAGAATTATACAAACAATAAGATTGTTTTGTTCTTGATTTAAGCATGTAGTAGTTAGGTTAGCAGTTTAGGGGATAGGTGTCGATGGGGGCAAAGGTTATCAGGTTGAGATATTACAAATGTTTTTCTTTTCTAGAAATTCTTGGCAAAAGTTGAGGAACTTTTCCTGTGTATCTGTTGCCAGGAAATAGCATACAAGCCTGTTACAACCAAGTGTCATCACAATGTGTGTAAGGTAAGGAGGATAGTAACGTGCATTAATCCCCATTTTATCATACTACCTGGTTTACTGTAATTTTTAACTGGTAACAGAGGACACCTTAATTGCGGGTAATATCTGGTGGCCAGTTGCCTCTCACAGAAGGCACAAAATAATATGAAGATAATGAAAAAGTTTTTTGTTAAACTACCACACTTTTTGAGACTGATTTATTACTCTTATATTCCAGTCCTGCCTGTCCAGATCATTCAAAGCAGAGGTGTACTCTTGTCCAATGTGTAGAACAGAACTAGGCAAAGAATACAGCATGGCTGTGAACAAAACTCTGAGCAAGATCCTCAATGCACTGTTCCCTGGGTATGAAAATGGACGCTGACTCAAGATTTATAGTTGAAAATGTTCATTTGTGCATGAATAATTTTTGGAAGCAACCAGTGCATTTCAAATTTTAATGATTACAAATGGTCTTGTTAGATACTTGAATTATTATGACTAAATTTTAAAATTTCTTTATTCTGATAATCAAAGTAGAATTACACTTGTCTGAGTGAATCAAAAAATGTAAGTTTTGTGGTCTGGAAAAAATACTGTTACGGATGAAGGAAAACAATAATGATCCAATGATGACTACCAATGCCATGGCACAGCCGAGGTGTATTTATCAGTTAGATGTATATATGTTTGCTCCATTGGCCATTTACAGCATTTTAAAGTTTTTTGAAGAGCATTGTCTCAATTTGCTTCTTATAAATGCAATGAATACTAGTTTCACAGGACATTAAAAAAATTAATATTTAAATATGAATTGAGTTATAGTTGGAGACAGGTGAAATACTAAATGTGTTGCTTTTGTAATTGTTTATAACAAGTGTTTGTCTTTTTACTCCCAGTAGTTAATTTTATAAAGAATTATTGTAAAAGGATTTTAATTGAATTAACTGGTTCATAGATTGGTTTGTATTACAGATCATTATCTGTTTCAATGTTGCATTGACTGGTACTGGGTCATTTTTATGAGAATGCCAAACAGATTGATACACATAAAAGTTTTTGGTATGCAACAGAGGCTGAAACCAGATAATGTGAAGCAAGTGAAAGAAGATGTGACTGCATACAGGATTATCACTTTAACATATCAGGTCCATTCAGTTGATTTTTAAATACATTTTTAGACCATGTCTTACAGTATCAGGTTTTTATCTTTTATACACTAATTTGTCAGGTATTAACTGGCACATTACAATTTAGAACAATTGGAAAAGCAATTTTACAAATATTTTAATGTTAAAAAATTAAATATTATGCATTAATCAATTTCATATTCAATAAATATGTGCTGAAAATGAGTTTTTGTTCCTTACAGCTTTGAAATTCTGGTACAGGTACTATACCCCTCTGAAGAAGTGGGGTGTATAATGCTTTGAACATTTCAGTCTGAGCAGTGAATAGAGAATGTTTTGGTCTAGTCTTAATATTTGGTAGGCTGGTTTAGCAAAATGAGTTTATGACCCATGTTGAATTTGGGGACCAAGGTCACATTGACCTTCAACAAAAAATCTTGTCTGCCCAATAAATGGAGAATAATTTGGCCTACCAGGGGCATCTGCCTTTATGTCTTGTTACTAGTTTAAGTTTGAAAGTGATCAATTCATTACATTTGATGCTGTGTTGTTAGAAATGCTTGGACTTTTTAAATGCAACTTTTTATTTTAAAATAAAACTGGGAGAAGTGTTTTATATTTGTAATTATGTGATTATTTCAAATGAAATGATACCCATAATCAGAAATGTCTATATGTACCTTGAGGCATACTTTTGAAATCAAACCATTCTAACAACAAAGTTAAAAATCAAGCTGATTAATTTTATTCTTGTTTGTTAAATAAAAGGCATGAGAGGTTCAAAGCAGTTCTGTTACATCCTCCGTTTTGAGCAGAAAGAATGTGACACAGGAAAGACAACCCTGCTGTAGCTCGCTGAAATTTCTTTAAAACTAAAATAAACTTAAAAATCATTTTGCTCCTTCAATGTAGCTATAAAATAACATTTTAAGAACTTCCAGTTACAAATAAACACTTCATGGCAGTTTTATCTATTGGATGGAATTGTTTAAGTATCAAGCTACTTCTACATTAGATAATAGAGTATGCGCTACTACATTTTTACTTTCTTTAGCACCAAGCCATTTGGCCCTAGCAATATGTACTACAGGCAAATTAAAATCTTTGAGAGAACTAAAAACAATAAAACCTACTCTGTACAATCATTTGAAACAACTCTCAATATCGACACAGGTAAGTAGATGTGACATTAATGCCAAATGTTTAAGGCATGGTGAACTAGAAAAAAATTTTAACCCAAGAGGTCATTTTAAACCATTTCCCACATCACGTAACTATTACCCTAAAAACATATTTACAAAATATTTAGCCTTACTGATAGTCTCAATTAAAAAAACTAACTCCATATGCCTCCCATATTAATAATAAAAATAAAAGCATATTTTTGCTTAAGCTTTGGTGGAGCAAAGAATTGTTCATCAAAAAACAGTGCAAATGATTAAAAAACATTGGGTAGGTTAAATAGGGAAGGTGTTAAAATGTCTTGATAACTTATCACTTTCAAAAGATAGGTTAAAACAAAAAACTACCAAACTAAATTGCTTCCTACTGTACCCATAAAATAACAGATCATACATCTAAGTAATACATCACATATGGCAAATTGTTTTGGAAGAAACAGATAAGTAGAAGTATAGAGATAACACATAAATGCTACATATGTACCCAGTTACAAAAGATTCCCGCATCTAAAGAAAATGCAAAGGAAGATTGCAAAGGAAGATGTAAAACAATCCCATAAACTTGATGACTACAGAAGTGTATTACATCACCTGAGTGTATTTCCAATTAAATAACGTTCAACTTCTTATATACCTGAAAACATGATTGACCATAAAGAGTTAAAGCTGCGGTACACCCTCATTCTAGTAGCGCCCTGTGTGTTATATCCGACAGACAACCATTCAAGACTGCACCTCTGAGAAAAATTTTCTAACCTTTTCAAATACCTACAAAATAAGAAAACAAGGGTAACAATATTGGTATAAATTTTGGAAACCAAATAACTCAACACATTTTGAACTGACGCTTCACAATGCAGGCATGAGTAAATAGTCATGCAAGGGGAGCAAAAAGTGATATTCAACTTTTTAATATTTATATTTTTTCATATCTAAAAATATATTTTTAGTTCTCAACACTGGCACTTTTATTCTGAAAGAATCATTGAATATGTTCAACTTTGTCATAGAGGAAATGGAAAACGAGCTTAATATATAATTGCCATGGGAACACCTTGACAGGCAAGAAAAAATATATTTCATGCCATATTAATACTTAATCATTATGAAGTTTATGGGGGCACCTTACTTGATGTTAGGGATGGGGATTAAGTGGGAGTTAAAAACTGTACTTACTTCTTCTTGTGTTCCTGAGGCATCTACTCGTCTGACTAAATCCTTACCCTCATAATGTTGTATTATAGGTAAGGTGGATTTAGTGTATGTCTCTATTCTGAAATGATTAAATCAGTGACTGTTTTAAAAAAATATCTCTGACAGATATTCAAAAAAAAAAAAAAAAATTCAAATTCATGAAATCCATTTGAATTCTGTTATTTCAAAACCTGAGATGGATAATATCAAACAATCATACGTGAAAGTTGCCTAATATTAAGACTGAAAAGCAATCATAAGTGTATGATAACTGTCAGTAATTCTTAAAATAAACTACACCTTTTCTTTAAACTTGCTGGATTGTCATCTGTTCTTCCACTGCCTAACTTCCCTCTGTTTAAACAACGCTCAACACACACCTGCAAGAGAAATCATGCAATCCATCATACTGTATCTACTTGGAAAGAAACTGGCAAACACAGCAGCAACATGTATGCAATACTACAAACAAACAGGCAAAATCTTTCAGTAAAAAATGTCAGACTACACAAATACTATCCAATAACCTCACAATTTTTCACATAGTGTTATGTTAACATAAGTAATCACTATTCAGTAACCCTTACATCTTCAGGACAATCAAAGAAAAGAACAAATTGCAAATTGGTCCTGTCTCCCATGGTTCTATTCCAGCCATCAAGATTGTTCTCATTCCTTGGGAAGCCATCAATTAGAAAGTTGTTTTTACTGCTAGCTTGCATTTCCTGCAAAAGAAAGAGACTGAGGTATTAATTTTGAATTGATTTTAAAATATACTGAACCAAATCAATAATCCCGGAGAAATGGCACCAAGAGCACATAGGGGGTCATGAGTTCACAGAAGTCAGTTAACTCAGGCCTTATAAACGGATTAGGCACTTACTTACTATGAATTAACCTACACACGGTACAATTATTTAGCATGAACAAAGCAATATCAAGCACTAAAATTAATCTGCTCTGTTAGTGCTGGTTAATTTGTGGGTTATGTGGTTAATGTGGGTGTCAGTGCTAAAAGATCTTTGAGTGTGTTCGTAAATGCCTAATCCATTTATAAGGCCTGTAAGTGAACATGTCCACTACCCTACTGGGTGGAACAGCTCAACCTGTGGCCAAATGGAACTGAACAAGTTGATCTGAGCTAAACAAGCCAATCAATACACAAATAATGCATACATTTGAGCACATTTTATATAAGATGGTATTTTTTCACTCTGTAGTTTGGGTTCACGTTTATATTTTTGGTTCAGTATAAACTTTTTTTTATTTTTTATTTATTTATTTATTTATTTATTTATTTATTTATTATTATTATTATTATTATTATTTTGTAATTGCATCAAAATAGAATGAACATTTATTAAACAATTCTCATCTTTTCTCACCTGATCCAAAAGACTGCATGTGATCTCAACAGGGACAATAGTTCCATCTTTAATGTGTTTCTCAATTTCTTCCCCATATTTTGAACCTGGCCTGCTTCTCTCTGCTCTCAACAGCTCACCAGCAGATAAATGGACATACCCAAACTCCTGAAAATTGAAATACTTTTAAACAAAAAGACTAAATACATTCTATGGTTCAAATACTTTCATACCACTTTGAGAGTATTAAGTTTCTAATACAGCATATCCATACTCAGATAGTATTCACATCTTGAGCAGTGGTTTTAATAGATATTTGGGGTATGACATTACTTGCCACTATTTATTTAAGCAACAAGTAAGTTGGCAAGTTTGAATTCTCACAATTTCTGACATGAAAACTATTTTTTTAAAAAAGCAGGAAAATATAGAGGTGAACATACAGGATATAAAAAATCCTCTTGCTAAGCACACAAACAGGTTCGCCAGGAAGTCAATTTTATTGACATCAGTGTTTTTAGTACATTTTATGGAAGTATTAATCAAAAGAAATAAAGTCACCTTCACAATCATATCACACTGTGTCCCTTTTCCTGCTCCAGGCCCGCCAAGAACAAACACCACATTTGGCTTTTGTGCCTTGACTGTCTCGGCCATCTTGTGAATCAATCGCTTGGGGAATAGAAGCAGACCACAACTAAGCCGCCCCAGTTGCATAAACTGTTAAAGTAGATACCAAGTCCACGTAGTCAATGTTTTACAACCAATCAGACAAGAGGTTTGTAGTACAACAGCTGATTATCTTACTGCCCTCGTGGCCCGAGTCTTTGTAAATAGATATAATCGAAGACCGCCCGGCAAGTTTGCCCAAACTCAATTCCGATATTTTATGTTAGACATTAATCTAAGTTAAGTTTAAAATGTCGTAAAAGTTGCAGAAAAACAATTCGCAGAATTACATCTGAACACCAAATGCAAAATACTGTCAAAGTTATTAAAATATTTGGATGATGACAGTGTGCTTGTACGTTGCCAGCTCACGCCAGGACTGCGCCCCAAACTGAGGTTGTATTTCTGTTCATGCGCAGTAAGCATTTCCGTTTGATAGAGAGCGCGGATTTTGATGTGAGAGGTAAGATTAAATGTTTTCCTAGTAGTTTGTAGCTTTTATCACATTAACGATATGCTTAAGTTTCTGTTATTCTCATAGATTACATGTTTAAGTTTTAGAAAATATATTTTTCGATATTGTTGTCGTATCATTTCACCATTCAACTGTAGTGTAACGAAACACTGTCTAAAGAGTTCGACAACACAGTGGCAGACTCCAGACTAGAAGCACAGTTCTTTCTAGTTTGTTTGGCCAGTCCCGTAGCTTGTTAAATTTTTTGTAACACTAATGCCGATTAAATATTGTCTCATATATAATGTATCTGTTTTATTCGAGAGTCTTAGTGGTCTTGGATTTAGTCTAAATTTTAGATCTGTATTATATGGGTACGTTTTATTGGAACAAACAAGCCACACAATTAAATAAATAAATGAAGTTGGCTCAGACTGCCTAATTAACTAAATTGAATTTTAGACCTGTAGGGACAGTCGGGCTGACGTCACGCGCCTTAGCAACCGGCATCTGGGGTAAAACAAATCGGGCAACATGGCGGATCGCATTGACTTCTATGTAAAAGTTGGCAGACTTTGTCCGAAGATATCATACTTCACAGTGCCTGACCATTTGTGTCAGTAAGGATGAGTTATTTACCTGGTCGATTTCTTTTACAGGCCTTGGTAATTAGCCACTCCACACCTGGTTAAGAGATAAAATCGGCCTTAACGTAACTGCCGATCGTTATCTGTGATCGGGAAGTTTACAGCAGAAGATTTTGCAAAGGCAGTGCTTGACCTTTTGTGTCTGGCAGGTTAAATCATTTACCTGGACTACTGAGTTAGCAGGCCTTTGTAATAAGTTACTGTTTAACTTGTTACGGGATAAAATTGATCTCAACTGCATACGCAAATGTCCACCCTTAGTATATACATGTACATAAGTTGGTGATATAGGAATGGCTTCTTAGAACGTGGATCGTGAGAAAGGCCTGGAAAATGTGCAACACTAAGAAGTTATTAGAATAAGATTTCTACAAATTGTGATTAAATCACCTGCTGCTGCAATAGCCAGGGGAACGGGATAGGGGCAATGTCATCGGTCCCATGGCCTCTTTGGTCCGTATACAGTTCATGTATATTAATACAAGCCTGGAAGGACAGCATAAACAGTTGCTTGCTAACGTTTTTGAAGAGAAGACACGTGTTACCTGTATTAATATTTGCAGCTATGCGTCTTTGAGTGTTTACAATCTTATTGTGCACTTTTCTGGTACGAAAATTGGCGAAATATCTTGGAAGACAGAATTAAAACTAAATTGAATAGCAAACACGACAACAAAGCTGTATGTTATTTTACCAGTTAAGGTTGCTTTATTTATGGCAACTTTTTATATTTTACTTGACAACTTAAAGATTTAGACATTAACTGACAGGTTTGTCAATATATTGACGTATGTATTTTTCTTATCTTTATAACGCCCTCAATTAACTTACAACAAAAAAGTCCGACGTTATAGTCCATTAATTTTAACTAAAAGAATTGATATACCGTCACACACGCCAACAGTAGATGTAATCTCAATTTCTTGTAAATACTACTTATTAATCCATGTAACAAATGACAAACATAAATACCAAACAAGGTACAATGTTTTTCTCCTTATCTATGATAAAATGAATTATAGGCCTACACACATACACAAATCTCGTAGTGCATGTATAGCTATGACCAAATTTTGTTTCGATCAACAATCCCGTCTTTAGTCACGTTTGCACGACCTATAGCCTGCAACAGTCGTTTACTAGTACTTTGCCGTTGATCTTTGAAATTTAACAAATCCCATAAGATTTTATTAATGTGTTAGTAGTGTCACCTGTGCACAGCAAGCTTTCAACATTTCACTTTTGTACGCGTGCCTGAGAGTTAAACGGTACCGGTTCAATTCATTAAGCTTGAAAATCTACCCGTCATATGTGTCAGCAATATGCAATATCAACAGTTATTAGTACAATTGAGACCTTCCTTGATATTATCAGTTGCTTCCACATGGTTTTCTTTTCAAAGAGATGTGAATAATATGCTCATCCAGGTAAGCAAATGAGTCTTTGCAATCTACCACTGTAAGATTCTCGATCACAGATAACGATCGGCAGTTAAGGCCGATTTTATCTCTTAACCAGGTGTGGAGTGGCTAATTACCAAGGCCTGTAAAAGAAATCGACCAGGTAAATAACTCATCCTTACTGACACAAGTGGTCAGGCACTGTGAAGTATGATATCTTCGGACAAAGTCTGCCAACTTTTACATAGAAGTCAATGCGATCCGCCATGTTGCCCGATTTGTTTTACCCCAGATGCCGGTTGCTAAGGTAAAGTGCCCGGATGACCGACTGTCCCTGTACACACAGACATAGGCTGAGGTTGCCTTAGACACATCATAGTTGATAGGGGGAGTTATCAGCTTGATTCTCTAATGAAATAATTGAAAATATATGACAAAGCACTTTTTCTAACCTAAAAAGTAAATATAATTTTTTAGGAAGGAAAACCCCTAAAGATATAAGATAGCATTGACAGGAGAAGAGAGACCAACAATGCTATCACATACAAGGTATATATTCATGTCTTGAAAATTATCTGTAGAGAAGTCAACATGCATTTTTCTAGTTCATAAATAATATGACCTCTCTTTATAAAAAAATACATTTTTTATTTCTCAAAAGATATGATGAAAGATTAATGATTGTTTTTTTTTTTTTTTTTTTTTTTTTTTTTTTTTTTTTTTTTTTTTTAATGCTGATCTTAGCCATCTAGTAGAATAAGGATCGAGGTTATACTTGGAACTTGCATGTTAGAATTCAAGAAGGACTTGACATTGAATTTTACCAAGTGAGTTCCAGAATTTATCTATATTCTTAACTTGATAGTTTACCTATACTGTTTTTGGGACTGAATGATGAAGGGATGTCAATTGCTTTCAGACGTGATGGTCCTTCTGTTGGGTTGGTCCCTCTGTCTTTCCCAGCAACAAAGAGCATACTATGGGATCACACCAGTACTGGGCCTGCTGTCGTCATACACATGACCTACTACAGGTAAAGCAGAAATCACAGCTTCTTAAAAAGTCAAATGGTCTTTAGACATAAAATGATAATTTTTAACAACAGAAATCAAATGGAATCTCTCTCTCTCTCTTTCACACACATGCATGCACACAAACAGTGCGTTCACATAATCATTGGAACTCACCTGAGTATTTTAACTGTTTGTCCATTGTTTGCTTTGCAGGGACATTAGATTAATAATTTCAAGTAAAGCACTGCAACTGGCACGGAGATGCGCTGCAGATAGCAGCAAAATGGAATTTCTTTGCTTACTTCAAGGATCTTTGTCTGTAGATACAGGTATTGATAATCTTTCATTTTTGATGCAAGTATTCCACTTTCTTTAGCAAGAAAAAAATTGTCCAATATATATATTTTTTAAATATGAAGTCAAATTTTGTACAGATATTATCTTAGTCACTGAAAATTAAAATTTATAAGCAGTTTAGAAGCCTCTGGATTTCAAACTACTAAATTATTTCTAACTTTAAAAAGTACACATTCTTTTGAATATCATATGTTAAGTCGATTTACCAGTTTAAATTTTTTTCTTTTAGATGGTGGCATCACTGCAAATCTTGAGAGGTTCGACATGGGTAAGATGGAGCAAGGCAGTCTGTCTCCAACAAGTACAATGGCAGGAGACATCACTGTACCTTTGATTGTAAGTCTGAATGTGATTCACCAAGTTTTTGGAATAAAAATGTTGTATAAATTTGGGTAGATAATTTGAAAGTTTCCGTATGTACCATTATTTTGATTGTTATACCCCCCTCCACCCCCCTGAAAGGATGCCAACCTATAGCAGGCTACTACTACCTGGTACTTAACTGAATGATTTGTACAACTGGGTGAAGAGGGGCATCACATGTAATCTTACTCAAGGACTGAAAAAAGACAAAAATAACCAAACAGCACTTGCTCCCCACCCTCATTGTACTGTGCACTTGGTTGAAAGGAGTATACAGCATTAAAGCAATATAATGACTTACTGGATTACAGAACATAGCAATTGTTCTATTTTAGGTGATGAAGAGTGGAAGCAAACCTCAGCTCAGCAGCGATGATTATTTCAAGGCACTTCAGGTAAGCCCTCTGCATAGCATCAAACTAGATAACCAGTACAGTACTACTGGAGGACAGTGGGATCAGTCTGATGTCAGTTATGGCAGCAGTAGAAAATAGATCATGGTGCATCAATAATCATCTTTTTTTATTTTCTTTTATTACCAGTGGTCTCATTTTGCTAAAATATATGTTATTTATTATTTTTCATTTACCATGTCCGATTTTATTTTTGCAAAAAACTTGATTTGGTTGACTTTCTTAAATATTAACTCCCACTAAAAGGCGGTTAAAGTCTCAAAAGTCATAAAATGTATACTGTATTTTATAAATGATGTTTCTTTCTGTAGATGCTGCAGCACACTGTGACCAGTGGTTGTAAAATTCAGCTGGATCAGTATGTGGTTGCCTTTGCCAGCCTTGTTCCCAAGCCATCTACCAGGAATGGGGAGGTTTATGACATGGGTATCAGTGTGGTATCTCTGTCAAACCACCTGAAGGCTACACCAGTGAAAAATGTGCCCATTGTCCCCACTGCTTTATCCAAGAACTTGGCTGGGCCTGCAAGCCTGAGTGACATGCAGGGAGAGCCTAAGGCAGGGTGAGATTAATGCATATTTTAACCACCTTTTTGCTTAATTTATTGTCAACCACAAAAAATGTGAGCACACATTTTTCATTGATTTCTGAAGCTGGTGTTATTTCTATTCATTATTTTCTGACACAATTTGGTATTTGAAAAAAAATAATTCAAAACCCCTGTAGCTCGGTTCTGTTATTATATTTTTAAATATATCTGAATATATATATATAGTTTCACTGACTCCTTGACACAAGTGTTGCAGTGTGAAGATTATTTGTTTCAGTTACCTCACCATGGACCACACCCGCAAGTTGCTCTTGATATTAGAGTCTGACCCCAAAGTTTACACTCTTCCTTTGGTGGGCATGTAAGTTAAATAATCATATGTATATATATTTATCATGAGAATAGAAGTTACTCATCTGCATACAGGCTTTGATGAAAACAAATTTAAAATGACTCATTTTCATTTTGAGAGACATCTGGTTGCCGATATGGATGATGTGTTATGTTGTATTTTTAAAAAGATATCACATATCATATAGAAAGGTTTTAGGATATCTGTTCCCTTTCCAGATGGCTGAGTGGAATACCACTGGTGTATAACCCCTTTGTATGGGCTGCCTGCCTGAGATACCTGCACAATGCACACATACAGGAAAGGTAGATGTTTTTGACATTTAACACCTATTTGTGTTATTTGTATTAAAAGAGAGAGAAAAAAGGATATAAACAGCTGTAAACAGTAGTCTTGTGAAAAAAAATTAAAGATAAAAAATGAAGGTGAAGGTTACATTGTGTCATGTTAAGTGAATAGCAAGGTTGATAGAATAAACGATGTATTTAAATATTATCTTAATATATCTTTAGATATTATCTTTATATTATGTTTCTGATCAGGGTTTGCAAACCACCAGAGCCTTTCTTGTTGGTCCTGTACTCTCCTCTCCACTCTCAGCCAGAGTTCTATGAGGTCACTGCTGTGAATGGAGGGGGCAGACTCACTTTCCAGCTCTATTCTGCTGTTCAGAACATAGACCTCTCAAAGGTATGGAGGACTCTTTGAACATGATTGACTCTCTTCATGGTAGTTGTTTATTTGATTAATGTTTCTATTTCTGCAGTAAAACCTTGTTATTTTAAAAAGGGAATTTTATTGATGAGTTAAAAAAAAAGCATGTTATTTCCCACTGTCAACATATGTCTACCAATGAGATAATAACATATGTTTATAGTCCATAAGAATAATGCATATTCTATTCATATTCAGACTGGCAGTAGTGAGGCAGTGGTTGACGTGGACTTATGTAAAGTTCAGGGTGGTGGACAGAATATGGAAGTGTTTCAGGCTGCAGTGCAGCAACTGACAGAAACCAGGTCAGTTAACATTAGCAAGCCATAATGCTGTTTGAATATCTTATGCGTTTAAAGATGCACTTGAAGTCAGTTTTTGCCACAAATGCCACCATATAGTTTCTAATAGTATAGCTTAGAGATATATGGCTTGCTTACTGTGCTGTATATAAATGAGACAGGTAAGTAGGTCAAATTTACGACCAAAAAATTGAAGAAAATGCAGTTTGAAGCTCTTATGGCTGACCAAGTGATTAAATCAGTTTATCACTTGGTATGTTGACTTTATCTGAGTCATATAAGAAACTAGTAGCAGTGGTTTATATGCCATACTTAGGATCCAAGCTTCACCAATGCTCAGTTCAAATGTAGTAATGTACCTTTAAATTCTGTGCATCATTTGAAAAAAAAAGTTTGCTAACTCTATTTTAATCCCGTCAGGTGTGAGACCCCCAAGGCTAAGGACCATGTTATAGTAACTGTTGAAGACAGCACTCCTAGAGCAACCCCTTCTCCACACACAGCAAAGGTAATCAACCATTATGTCCTAAATGTAGCTTAATTATCTCCTATTTACTTATGTCTTTCTCTTGCATAGGATATATTGTTTTGTCCTCCTGATTGATTCATGTATTACTTTGTTGCAGACAACATCTATCCAACCAAGTGTACCTGATGTCTCTCTTATATTTGATGACGACTATCAGCCTGGCAAGCAGCCTCATATCCAAGGCAAAGAAAATGTATACCAACCAACTAAAACTCTTCAACAGCAATACACAGACCAGTTAACTGCCTTTCGACCCAAAAAACAGCAGCAAAAGCCAGTGCCATCCAGACAACCTCTAAAGCCTGTCAACAGACAGTCCCCTAGCTTACCTGTGTCACCAAATATACCACAACACATCAAGCCACTTCCACCCCGCAGTCACAGTTTGCCAGATGTCAGTCAGTTACTTGATGACAGTGGACAGCATGGTGATCACCAGAGTCCACACATGCAGAGACAGTCCAGCTCAGAACAGCTGATGTATGAGCAACAACTGCAGCCATCTTCAGGTCCTGGGATTCAACAGTTTCCTCCCCCCTACCCATACCCCCATCAGTATCCAGGTGTGCCTGACACAGGGGGAATGGATTATGGGGTTCCTGGTAAATATGCATCAACAAGAGGTCCTGTACCGAGACAGAGGGGGCCAAGAACAAAGAAAGGAATGCCTGGTCCTCATTTACAGCCAAGTCAGCGTTCTCATTCAGGAGAAAGACAGAGAATGCCTAGACAAGGTCAACAAATGCATCCTCATCACAACAGCAGCCAACTTCCACCACAGTATGCATTTCCTCCATATCAGGGACATGTGCCACATTGGCCAGCAGTACCCCCTGGATATCAACCAGGTCCTCCCCCATATCACCACACAGGTAGTGGAAGGCATAGTCTAGGGTCCTCAGCTCCACCACCACAACATGCACCCACCAGACACCAGGGAGGTCCTCAGACTAGGAGACTTAGTGAACCCATTGCTTCAGGTATGATTGGCCAGTATCAGTCACCTGGGTGTATGAAACCATATGGAGTTTCCCAGGCAGGGCAGAATGGAAGAGCAGGTGAAAACTTGTGCAGGGGACCAGAGCCCCAAAGGCATGCACCAAGGAAAATGCAGCAGAACAACCTAGTTCGTCAGTGTCAAGAATGTCAACAGTCCTGTAGTGTGAGAGGTGAGCCAGTCCCTGCCAGTGCTGCTGTTACTGTACACCATAATGTTCAGAAGTCTGTTCCACAACACGTTCATTTTGCTCCACCTGAAGATCATGGGCTGAAGGAAAAATTGAGACCAAACAAATGTGCTTGTTGTGGCTTGGCAGTGTGTGAGAAGGGAAATAATGAAAGTAAAAGAGGTCATGATGTGAAATCAAAAGATGACTGTGTAACTCACCAAAACCAGACTCCATATCAAAACATGGCCCCAGATGACATGTATCAACTTCTTCTCAAACAAGATGCTGAAATTAAAGAACAGAACTCTCAATTGAAGATGTTGCAAGCTCAGATACAGAAAATACTGTCTGCTCAGCAAAACACACAGACAAACATGGAACCAGATGTTGACCACTCCCCAGGACCAAATGTGGGAGGATCCCCAGACTCTCAGGGATATGTTTCTATGGAAACCAGTGTCACATCTCCAGCAGAGAAGATGACTTGCAGTATGGGTACAAATACCAGCCTGTGGCTTGCAAATGGGATTCAAATCCCTGAAAAATGCCATACTGATTTATCTCAAAGCAGAATGATCCAGCAAGATGGTGATGAGAAACGGCAGCTAGAGCTGGAGACAGACCCAGTAAATGTGACTGAGGAAAATCAGGGGGGTAACAGTAACCAGTCTTTGGCAAGCTTGGGCAGTGTCCATGTACAAGTGCAGGAAAGAACTGACCAAAGCTTTGTGTCAGATATGGTAGTGGATATCCCAAGTTATGAAAGTTCTCCGGAACGGTAAGGGCACGCATTATGAAAAGTGTTGCTTAAAGTCTTTAAAACCCAAGTTGTAGTTGAATTGGTGGATGGTTTGTTTTACTTGGTTCTTCCCCAACAGTAACCCATTTCATGTTTTTTTACAGAGATGTAATGAATGTGTTAAAGTTGTTTGCATACATCCCGCTTTTAAAAATGTCATCTAGAACATAATATGTGAAGCATGTACAATAAAACTTCTTAATTCTGCCACACATTTGTGCTACACAATATGGTAAATTATTTCAGAACACCAAAGAATGAAAGGAGCAGACCAAATACCAGATGTGACCAGAGTTTCCAAAGTCCCATTCTTGGAGAAAGTATCAGCATGTATGAGCAGGTAATGAAATGGCAGCTTATACATTTCATATGGTCATGTTGAAATTTGCCCTAGTATAGTCAAAATTGCACAGAATTTTTAAATAGTGTTTAAATGAAGATTTGCTGAATGTTATTACTATTGATTCAATTAGGAAAAAATTAATAATTTTTATCCAAAACTTTTAGGGTGCTGATGCCAGAGGAAAAGGTAAAGGTGAAGAGATGCAAACTGATAGGAAGGAGGTCCCTGCTGTTGCTGAAAATGCTCAGTACTATGAAAACATTATTGTAAGTGATATGATAAATATAACAGGCTACTTTGAAATATACATTTTGGTGTCTTTTACTTCTTATATTATATAAGAAATTCAAAAGGAAACAAATGATCGGAAGGAGAAATTGTGAGTTATATTTTCTATTAAAAAATTATACTAAAAAGAATGAAGTAATTCAAAAGAGAATTTTGTAGGTAATTAATGGCAGATAATAAAAGCATGTTGCCTGTCGATGAAATCAATAACAAAATTGTAATTGTCTTTTATGGTGTACTGTGGAAAATAAGCACGAGTTTTTTATTTATTTTAGAAGAATGTAAAACAACTCCTAGCCAAGCATTCAGATTCAGAAAGACCAGTGTATCACCAGGAGGATGACCCCTCTTCCATGTGTTTGGAACAGAGGGAAGTTTTACCTGACAAAGTGGTTGAAGTTGTCAAGCAGGCTGCTGTATTTGACAGTGAACCAGAAACTGATGTAGTCTGTGCAACAATTGAACATCTCAAGAAATTGGGAATTAATGAAACAGAAGCTGAAGAAGAAGAGAGGTACACATGCGTTCATACACACTTAAGTCCACTTGAGTATATGTACATTTCAGTTCTTTTTTGATAGCATTACAATCTTTTTGGGTCATGTGTTATATTTTGGATAGCTTACATTCTTAGACCTCAACAGTGTTATCTGGATATTTCACTCAATTTCAGGGTCGATGCTTCCATGCTGAATTTGGCATTACTACCCAAAGTCAACTACATGTCACTGATGCTGGACGACCTGCCAGATACAGATGTAAGCATGGAGATGAATGCATTAGCAATGAAATACCTCAGTGATGACCAGCTGTCTCAGTTTGCTAAATTGTCAACTAAACCATCAGCAAGAAGAGGGAATAAAAAGGACACCTTATTACACAGAGTGTTATTAAATGACCAGGGTTCTACTCCCAATGTCACTTTGTTTGGCATGTCCCCCTGCAACATGACAATGGCCACCAGGAAGTACATGGAAAGGTATGGGTTGATAAAGGGTAAAGCCACAAAAGACACATTTGCACATGAGTCTGATATTCACGTTACCAGCAAACTGCAGTGGAAATTGCCAGTGGCAGATGAGCCTGAAAATGAAATTCGACCCAATAAAATCAGTAATTGTGACAAGGACATTGGGGGTTTAGCTAAATTGCAAGGCCAGAAAGTAAGTGTGGAGAATAGAGCTACAGCCAAAAAAGACTTTGAAAATGAGAGTGAAAATCCGCTCTCCGAACCTGATCATGAATATGAAAATAGGAATTTGAAGAGAACAGTAGATAAAAAGTCAGAAATACAAGTGCTGGAAGGATTACCTAGACCAGGAACTAGGTCCAAGGAGCAGAAAGATATGCAATCTTCTCATAAACTAGATAAAGCAGGTGCTTCTTCACAGGGTGTCACTGTTGGGGCATTTCTTGGGCAAATGAAACGGGCAGCTATGAGACATTCACCATCGTCAGTCAACAGGTTGGAGGCTCAGGGTGAAGCAAATGACAGTGATTCCTATACCTCTGTGGCTTCTGATTCTTCCAGTGAAGGGAGTGTGAGCTTTGCCAAACCAACCCTTTCCCCAGGACAAAACATTCTGGATATTCACAGACTTAAACAACTCCCTAAGCTCATGTGAAGTTGGCAGACATAGAGGTTTTTGTATAAGAAAATAATTTGTGTTTGTACATAGTTTCATTGCTCACCTTTTGTCTATGAATACCTTCCATGAGAGATCATTTTATGATACTGATGTGAAAATATCTCATCAGCAAATACTTATACTATCCATTGGGGTAGGTTGAAATTTGCACAGCTAATTTAAAAACTATATTATGTGTAATATGACACAGTTGCGCTACAGTTAATTTTGTTAGTGCACCGGTAATCTAACTGAATGCATTGGAACACTCATGTAATTGTTGCAAATTATTTGATCAATTTTTAATAGTAAAAGGACACGTAATTTTGTTGCTAGTTTATTTATTGAGATGTGTAAAGGAAATAAAGCGCTCATTAAAGGGACAGGGTTCCAGTTTCTCTTCATTAATGGTGTTCAGACACAATTTTTAATGAAATTACCTTTCCCTGATCAAAATTACAAGTTTTGTAAAAGTGATATTGTGTAAACAATCCCAAATTTGGGTACTGGAAAAATTAAAATATAGAATATTTTGATGTTTATAAGATAATGGGAGTAAAACAGGATTGGTTAATTTCATTTTAAACAAAAAAGTTTTAAGTTTTGGTATTGCAATAGCATTTTTGTGATAAAATTTACATCAACACCATTGGTGCTCAACACTACCAATACAAAGAGATTGAAATGGAAGTTACATTTGTAACAATAATTTAGTTGTCAAAATTGGCAAACTGGACAATACAAAGCAAGAAAACAAACATGAAATATACTTGACATCCAAAAAGTGAATTTTCTGTATATGCAAGTAAAGAGCCAATACTCTATTGTTTCAACTTTTTTATTTTTATTTATTTTTTTAAATCACATTAGACATTTTATCAGACAAGAAGCCTGGACCATATCACCAGATGCAACAGTATCAACTTGGTTTTAAGACATGGTTTGGATTGAAAGCATCTTCTAAGTTCACAAACACTTAAATGTACAAATCTTATAGTCTTTCAGAAGTTATTTCTTCACCTAGCACAAATTTCAACCTCTTTTTGTACAGTAAACTTGCTTTAACATAATATGTATATATATATATTAGTATATTTTTCTGTCTGTATTCTGAATTACCAGGCATTGTGCCTTCAAATATAAATTCAAATGAATATGGCAAACTGAATTCAAGGCAATATAAAATGAGATGGTAAATTAAAGATCAATAATTTATAATATAACATCTTTGTTATTCAACAACAATGCAGATAGGCGGTCAAAGTTACTTTGTTAAAATATTTTTCCTCAAGTATGCCTTTTCAAAAATTTCTTACTGTACAGTGTCTCTACACTACCAATTTTTTTGAGATCATTGGGCTCCGTTAACTGTACATATCAAGTTATATCTCAATGCAAAGATACTGTACAGCAATGTGCAGTAGATATCTCTTAGACAGTGCACAACACATTGCTGCTTATTATTAAGGACAGCTTACCTATTACTTAGCAATCTGATCACTAGTAGCAAGAGACAGCCCATTTTTTGTTGCCTGGTGATACAAAACTTTCTGCTGCTGGTAAAACCAGGAAATTATGCAATCATGTCTGATTCAATAAATTTCATGAATAAATCCAAATGAACGTCTCTTAAATACAGCTTTAACTTCTCTAAAAAAAGTATGAAATAATGGACTGACACTATCAAATTGAAGTTGAACACTTCACATACCATCTTTTCCTCAATCAAAAAAATACTTTACAAATAATAAGATTATTTATCAAACAGTATTTCTTGCTAGTCATCAATATTTACATAGGGCAAAATATGTAAAGTCTCACTTTCGTATGTTGGCATAGAAATAGTTTTTGACCAGTCATTCCACTCTCCGTCACAGTCATAATTTCCATTTATCCCAGGCCACCGTTCTTCGTTTAAACGTTCAACAGTCAGATCTGTCACTTCAGGGAGTGACTGCACCTCGTCACCATTACTCTCTTCTTCTAATTTTATCTCATCAAGATTTAGAGGAGGAAGTAAACTATATGGATCTAATTCTTCCTTGGGGTAAGTCTCTTCAGTATTTATTACTTCTTTATATATATCCAACTCACTTTTCACAGACTGAAGACTTACATCAGCAGAATTTGGTAAAGAGTCACTATTGGCAAAGCTGACATCAAAGTTGGCAGGAGATTGTGTCCTTCCTATTGAATCAAGGGGACTAGATAAATCCTCGGGTGTTACAGATGACTGTAGGAATTTTTGCACAAGTTCTGTTTTTGTTTGGCTAAGTGTCACCTCACCAACCCTGGGGAGCTGTGTAGGAGTTCCCACGCTGGGATTACGCCTGGGTCTTGGCTTGGCCCCTGCCGGAACAATGGACTCTTGGACTTCAACCTCCTTCTGAATCTGATTTGTCTGGATTTTCTTAATTGTCTTACTACCCAGATTAGGGGAACTACTTTTGGCTTGCAGTTCAGCAATCAGTTGTGCTGTGGTTTTCACTTTTGGTGTTCTACTTGTGACCATTGATTTGTCCATTTCTGTTTTCAATGAGAGGTTCGTGTTCCTTCTGTTTGATAGTCCTCCTTTTGAAGAAGAACCACTAGGTGAAATCTTTGATTCTAACGCTATGGCTGCTTGAGTATTCAGTGAGGATGCCGAAGATGACCGGCTTAATGACTTAATTGCTGGAGATTGCACGGCACCCCCACTTCTATCACATTTGATTGAAAGAAGTCCATTCACAGTTGTACTGCATGCATTTTCTTTACTATCTTTTGAATCACTGCCTACTAATGCTGGTGTCTTTTTTGAAGGCTGTTCTGGGAGAGTATCACCATTACGCTGCCTCTTTCTATTTGCTATATTAGTTCGATCTACCGTTTCACTGACACCAACTGAAGATACTGTAGGAGGTGATATGGAATGACATTCAAATCCATTGGAAGTTTTTGTTCTTTCCATTACAGCTGGACTGACTAGTTTCCCTGCTCCCTGTCTGCCACCTGGCTGTACCACCCCAGGGGAGAGGCGACTGGCCTGAGCACTCCCTGGGGTGGCAGGCCTTGAAGCTCGTGGCAAGCCTGGAGAGATTTTGGTTGCTTGTTGGACATTTATAGGAGTCCCTGATCGACTTGACCCTCCGGAAACTGGAGTGATGGGTCTGCTCCTGGTGGGAGGCATTCCAGGTGAACTGCTCTGTGATAAACCTGCTGGAGAACTCCGACTGCCTGCTAGTTTAGCAGGAGAACCTTGAGCTTTGTATTTATTACCCTTTCCTGTGGACAAGGCAGGTGAAGCCACTGCTCCAGGCCCCAGAGCAGGAGAGGCATGTCCACGTGGCGTGCTCACCCTGCTCGTTTGAGATAAAGCTGGGGATATCGTAATTCTTGGACTTAGTCTTTGGCCTTGATAACCCCCAGATCGTAATGCTACGTTATCTCCATTAATTGTATTTGTAGTTTGGGGGGCAACCAACTGTTGCCATGAGCGGACAAGGTCTTTAGCTCTCCTTGCAAGTTCTTTGTTTGTGGTCTTCCTACGCATTTCATTAACATAACGCCCAAGTCGTGTTTGCTGAAATTAAATAATATGTATACCATTAAACATGACAAATATTATTTACGGTCTTTTGGTAATAAGTACAGTGAAAGCCCACAAAACCATTGGGTGTTAGTACCAAAGATTCAAACAGCCCCTAAAAACATTTCCCTTTTACAATGAAACATCTTTTTTTCTACATCCTACATTTACCTTTAATTTCAATTAAATTACAAACCATGACCATTTTTCAAAAATTACCTAGGTTACTATCACTACATTTTAGGACCTGAAAACTAGGACCAAACATAGCTCAAAGTTGTACTTGTGAACAAAACTATATGTGACTACAGGTGTATTTTTATACCTCCAATGCCTCCCTGGTAATTGGGAACTTCTCCAGGGCAGAGATAGTCTCCAGAACTCCCACCATGTCAACCACCTACAAGAAACAAGTACAGAATATGCATTAGTGTAATCTCTTTATATATGTATATCAATGACAAGAAGTAGAGGTAGGGTGCAGCCCTGACAATGCGGAGTCCTCAACCGTTGTTTCCTGTGTGGAAGAAGGGCACCAATGTCATTCAAATTTAACTCTTCTATGGTAGCACAAAAACCACAAAAACCTAACATACAAAAATTTTCTTCAAGGTGGGGAATAACAGGTTATTCTAATTTAAACCATGATTCAGGAAGAAAACAATAGACTGTGCGGTGTTCTATTCTGTGAAGAGACAAGACAAGCTTGAATGCACAAATACATGAAATGGAACACAGCGCGGCTGAATGTTTTTTGCTTGAACGCCAGATAAAGTACCAGTTGCTATGTTTTGTGCAAAATAGAGCAGATAAGTGACATAATACAAAGCTTCGAGACTACTACATAATTCATATTTGCATTTTATATAAACAGATAACATATTTTGTAACACATTTTGTTACAAATATGCAACTGGTTATTTTATGATTCAAAAATATATCATATTGTTTTTAAATCGTATATAACCACACTGCACAAGTTAATAATCATTAGACTCGAAAAAGATTCAAGCATTTTTTTATATTTTATTGACATATTTCATCCACATACGAAACAATTAAACCCCTTTTCACTTACTAGTACATTGGCACATTGTTATCATTGGAACACAATCAAATCCAAATGGGACAAAAGTGAACATTAAAAAAACAAAAAAAAAAAAGCCAGACAGGTACCCTCACTAATTCTTCACTTTTCTCTACCTTATAAGGCATGTTTCCAGTGGAAATAGATCTTATATCACCTATTTCATATGCCACTTACCATGCTTTGCAGTGCAACATCACCATGTTAAAACCATGTATTTGATCATTTCTTCTACACACACACACACACACGCATACACACACACAACAACAACAACAACAACAACAACAACAAACACATGGGTTGTGTAACAGGATGGCTGCATACTGAGAAATTATTCTAAGCAAGTTCAAACAGTTCAGCTGAACATGCATTTATAGTTGGTCTTGGAATAGCTGCATACAGTATGTACATAATACAAATATGAGAAATCAACAGATGTCTTTTCTGTTTTCTCTTCATGTGAGATATGCTACATTGCTATTTTTGAGCTACTTATTACCTACAAGCTTTCGGATAAAAAGGATGGGGCCTTTTAAACAGTTCAACTCACTAATTGCCTTCTGATAGACAACCATTACCAAGCAGTTGTCACCAACCTGATTTCACTCCCACAAAATAATTCAAAGCACATCATTCAACCAAGACAATGCCAAGTTCATCTTTCTATTAGGCTATTCACACTAGCACTTTTAACCGCGGTCAAGACCTGACCTCGGTCCTATCGCAGTTAACTTTTCTAATGTGAACAGATGATGTAGCCCTGACTGCGGTTGAAATAAACCCAGATCGGGAGGTGGGCATAATCGGAGTAAACTCCTGACCGCAGTCAAGACCGGATGTCTACATATGAAGCGCACGCGCACAAGTGTATTGTCATTTGAGCTCCCGCCATGTTGCACAGATTCTAGTAAAGGGGCCTGCACACAGTGAGCATTCGGCGCGTGCCACTTGCGCTGCGCCAGATGCTCGCGCTCCGCAGCTCCCCGCAAACGATGCGCTCTTTGCTCAGCAGAGATGCCTCCCGGCCTGCCCCTATCGGACGCACCGCGAACTGTGGGATCATGTGATTAAGGAAACATTACATATTGTTGTTTTATCTGATAGTAATGGGTAATGGTGACCACGTTAATCAATCAGACTAACTAAAACTGTGTACATTTTTGTTGACTTCGCTGGGGGCTGCCATTTTTGTTTGTTTCCGGCTACTGGCACATGCGCATTGTTAGCATGGCGTGAGCAATCGGCGCTTGCACCCCGCACACGCTGAGACATTTGCCTCAAGAGACCAAAAAAATCAAACACGTGAGAAATTTTGCTCAGCCGCGTGTTAGGCAAAAATATCACCAAAATACCCACGCACACGATGAGAAAACGGCGCAGCGCAAGTGGCGCGCGCCAAATGCTCACCGTGTGCGGGCCCCTTAAGAGCACATGCTTAACAGGAAGTACGCTTGCTGAGATTCTACCGCTACTGATCGCTGCCGGTGTCAGCGTGAACACAAATAACCGCGGTTTGGTTGACCGCGGTTTAATCGGAGTAAACTCGACCGCGGTTAACGTTCTAATGTGAATGGCCTATATGTGAATATCTTTGCTCGAATTCTAAATAGCGCATTCTCTCAGGTGTGAAACAAATCCATAAAAGTCAGTGTTCATTTATGTGAATTAGCAACGGAAGCAACTGCATTGAAAAAGTGCAATTTATGCCTGTTCTATCTGCTATATCCAAGAATATAACATGCAATTTAATAAAAAGTAATAAAAAGTTATCATTTTTAAATTTGATTGTTCAATAATCACTTTTTAACTAAGAAAATAACCAAACTGTAGTTTGAAATACTGCAAAAGTGATTACATTAATACATAAATATATCTAGATATAATCTTGTCAACAATGCAAATCTTATTTCTCCGGCTTTAGAAACAGTCACAATGAATTTAAAAGCTATGAACTGGAAAATCGTCACAATTACACTATAAGTGTATTTATAAACATTAATTTTTCCATTCCCTAGGAAGTCACTCATTATATTATTGTGTGGAAGGAAATGGCATGCTCAATATTTTTTAAACAAGTTTGGTAAGATCTTATAAAAATTGTTACACAATGAATACACATTTTATACTGTTATCATTATATCTACATCAGTATCTTCAGATCCCAACATGCAATGTTGTATTTTCCTATATTATGGGACATAGACAAAGACTGCTTATTCATTACCAATTCTATTCAGAAAGACAATGCAATATGCCGGTTTTCATGCTAATAAAGAGGCTAGTGACCACAGAGGAGTAAAAAGATCTGTTTGCAACAATCTATGGAAAGTGTTCATTTGCATTTTGTAAATATGTTATGCTGCAATATTGCCAGTTTAATGATTCCAAGAATTTACAATTTACTAAGCCTTTGAAGACTTTATGCCAGAGAGCCTGAAAGTAACATAATGTAAACTACAGGTTTTGAACTTCGTGTTATTATTGGACATGTATAAAGATTTTGGGAGGCAAAACACACCAACCAATTCACTTATTCCCATTTCAACCTCTAGCACAGTATGAATAATTTCAAAACTGCAACAATGCCTGAGGAAGAAAACTTGGACCAGACAAAGTTATAGAAATATTAACAAAACTAAACGAGACAGGTGCACAAGCAATAATTAATATCCCTATAGTTAGCAAATAACAGACAAGGCAATCTTTACAACTTGGTTTTAAAAAACACATAACAAGGTACATTTGTAAGTTTAAATTTGATGGTTGCACTATGAAGTGACTATAAAAGAACTAAACTATCATTTGTTACTAGTATTTCTATTATTTCAATTCAATAAATATATCCTATCAAGGATTTATACATTTTTGTATCTGATTATCATATTACACACAAACGGTTGGTAAAATGAGAAATTACAATAATTATAGTTACTGCTTGACTTGGAAGTATTGGCCATATAGGTTTTATAGTCCCAAGTAATAATACTCTGACACTCCTACTTTTATTTTCAATATTTATTGGTATGCAAAAGTAGATATATCAAATATGTGCCCAAAAGGTGACAATAAACTGCCATTTCCTGCCAGGAGTCCGGATGAAAATGTTAGTACATTCTCTTTCAACTCACTGCTAAGTAGTCAAGTGCTCTGGCCTCAAAGCACTGAAAATTAGCAAAGGTCTATCAAGCAATCTATCATAAAAACATCACTATGAAATTAAAAAGCATAACACATTTTAATTTTGGAATCACAAAACAGAAGCTGTGTGGAAGCCAACCAAAACCTGTACATTGCTTATAACTGATCTTTTCTTACTTAGATTTTCAGAATAGAACCCAGTTCAAAGTTCATTTTATTCAGGGTTTATATTGCAAAGATAGTGTTGTCAAAACTAGTTTTGAGATCCTTATTTTTAGAAGTCATATTCTTCTATGATGGATCTTCATCAAATTTCACTACTGAAAACAATCATTTCACTTTTAAACAGAGTGCAACACATGAAGATGGAAGTGATGAGGAAAATATGAGGTTTTCTATCAAGGAGGATTCGCAGAACTGAAGATTGTATTCACTTAAACTTTATCTATATCTATCAGACTGGTGCAACATGAAAACATGCAAAGGTAAAGCAGTGCTAGAGGCTGGTTATTTGGACTGTATGTATAAGCAATCAGTTGCTATTGTTCACATTATGCATCCTGTGAAAAATCCATTATATAAAAGAAGCTCTTAAAACACTTCTTCAAGTTAGTATATGAACAATAAACCTTGATTAAGTCTACACATNCTCATTTTTGAAAATGGCGCCTGAAAAAAAGAACAAACATGGTGTTACTAAAACTTGAATAACTTTTGATCTAAATGAGATAGATTAAAAATTCAAATTGATTATTCATACTCAAATGTGTGGCTATCTGTGCACCAAATTTCAAGTCTCTAGCTCACTTAGAAAAATATCATGTGTGCACCCTACTACACAACACAGCAAATTGAGCTTGCATTTTACTTCATTGTCTGCTACAATTAATTATTAACTAGTAACACTATTTTTTATCAAAATGACCATAGTGTCACAAAACAGCACTCAGCTAAAGACTAACGAATATGGATTGTAACTATCATGCATGTGCTATTAATGAACATTCAGTCTATAACGACGGGGGAAGTGGAAACGTGCAAAAAAGGACAAGCCGCCGACTCGGGCCAAATATAGACATTACTACGCCGTGCGCCAAAACGATCTAACACGGCTCCATTTTGATGATTTCGATAATTATCTGTGATCGTGATGAGGTTTTGTCTTCACTTAAAAGTAATATAGCAATGTGCGCCATTCACACCAAACCAACTTTCTCTTCGCCTCGTCGAAGAGCAAGTGAATACACCTGGAAACCCGCTCGCACAATTTCATACATTCCTTCAGAAATACGATTATTTCCTTACATTATTGTCATTATCAAGCGTCCTAAGAAACTTCTCCTTCAGTTCTTGGGCAGTGTTCGGCATTTAGGCCACTGGGAGGCTCAGTTTTTGATGTAATTCTGCCAGCTGAGTGACCCTCCAGCCACCAGAATGGCGGACATTCAGACATTGCAGACACGCGCAGAGACATCTGGGAAATCTGAGCCCGAACCTGATATCACGAAGCCGAGAGTGACGTCAGTAAATCCATCGGCTGTTTCCGGATTGGGTAAACCTCGTTTCCATCTCTGGGGTTCCCTCGGGATTCCAATGCTTCTATTTATAGTTAGCCATACAGGTGCATCGAAGATTAAACTGCAAGTCTGCTTGAAGTCTGACAGAAAGAAGTTTTAGGATTCATTAACCTCACATAACTATGCCGAATAACATCAGAGATGCAACAAATGCTCTTTACAGTCTTTGGGCCTTCTGTAAATTGTCAATTTGGGCAAAATTAATTCATATTCACAAAAACGCAGGATTTAACCTCCGATTTCTCTCATGTTACGTAGTTTTGTTTCTACGGCATTTGCTTATGGGGAATATTACCCATTTATTTTCTTTAACCTTTAATTTCATTTATATTTATGTTTTTAAACATTTTTCTGTGATTCTCTGTAAAAGGGTCGGTAGACATGATTTAATTATTTTACCATTTGATGTTTAACGCCACACGAGCTAAACTCTAGGGTCTGTGTGTTTTTCGATAAAAAATATTATTTCATATATCATTTTTAGCTTATTATTATCAATTATTCTTTTTATTTATTTATTTTAATTTTTAAAGCTTAGTCAATCATGTCATTAGGTGCGTTCTCTCTGTATTTTCCAAAGTATGTATGCTGATGTGCCTAGCAGTGAGGATGGCGGTGAGTGGGAGGACTGATCAGATTACTTTTGCTGATTATTATGAACACAGTTTAATGGGAAGGCCAGCCAGCGAAGAGCATCATACCGAGTGTCGGCCTATATCCAATGTAAGGTGTTACACATGTACACAGCAGCATTCTCCCTGTACATAAGGCATTCCATAAACAATGCTTCTTTTCGAACAATGACGTTGATTAGAAAGGAAACTACATGTGAAAACAAAAGTTGCGACATTCAAGCATGTATTTCACAAATGCTATCTAGAAGGATTTGTAAATTATTAACATAGGCCTTCTGTTAAGTAGACTCCACTCAAATACTGATATGGAAGTGCTACTATCGCATCCACGAAAAATACATTTTCTAGCTGCGCAGAGATCACAACTGTCGCAATCGCTCTTTCCGTACGCGTGATATGCCACACTGAAAAGTATGCACCATCTGCGAGCAACTTGCAGATAATTAAATTTTGTTTACTGTGTCTCTGCTGCAAATTATTTGTTTTTACGTCATGACACTCGTGCATACTTAATATGGATTAGTGAACAAGTGTGGGTCCTGGAAAACGGAACAAATCCGTTTTTAATTTTCAAAAGTGTCCAGTTTGCTCTTTTATTATTTCGATGTTTGTTTCAATTCAAAGAAATTGTTCAAAATAAATATCGTTTTCATATTAGTAATAAGATATGATAAAAACGTTAATTACAAATTAAGTTCAAGGGAAACAGAAAAAAGATTTTAAAAAATACCTCTCTGGCTTCTAAATTCTAAACACGAAAGGCATAAGGCGAAAGTTATCAGTATTAAAGATGAAGGAACGGTTTAGGGCGTTCATTTATCGGAAAGATTGCACAAATTAAGAAATTAACTTGATTCAATTTATCATCTTGAAGCCTGTATCACATATCATGTAACACGCAATCTTGCAATAGCTGGCAGAGCAAATACGCGAGTAAAGTGGGCCTCTTATGGGGGTATTCATATTAAAAGTTGCGATGTGGAAAGTCATATCGTGGTACATAGTGTCTTAACGGAGAGGTTTTATTACGTACACAAGCTATCGACCGTAACTAAGAGAATTTCTACCAAGAAGAAAATAAGTTCCCGCTTGTTGCTTACAGTTGGTTGCGTCCACACCCCTTTTTAATGAACTCCTTTGTGGCGTTTATCAATTTTACGAGGCAGTTTTATGACAACACGAGTAAGAAAAACCTAAAATAAGTCGCAAGTAGTTCCTCACAAAAAGTATTCGGTTAAAACCGCACCGCATCTTATAGGCAGGTTCCCTATCGAATTTGCCATAAAACCTCGAAAGAAGTGTGGTGCTCTACTACGGGGACCTCAGTGTACTTTGTTCTCTCGTTTGAACTGTTATTAACTGTACCGTATCACAATTTCCTTTTTAACGTTAGTACTTTACAGGGTCTTTTTCAATATTATGGCACCGTTGCGAACAACCAATCAAAATTTTAATTAAATTTACAATTAATACTTGTTTCCATATGTCCAGCAAAATACCTGATAAAGCAAACATCTTGATCTAATAAATAAATTGAAATGTATTTAAGGTGCACAAGGCTACGATATGGATACATTAATATTTAATCCTGGTCAAAGGTATAAAAAATTGAATGATAACAGAATTATCCAGGGTAAACCAGGTTAAACTAACTCATTCATCTAGTTTACCTGTGAGTAATTTCTCAACATAGTTGTAAAGATAATAAATCACCTTTGAGTATACGATCAAAATTTATTGTTTTCAGACAGGAGGAAAACAAATTTGAGCAAAAGACAACAGTATATAAATATATGTGCTTGTTTGAACATGAAGAATTACGCTTCAATACGAATTGTTTTGAAATCAATTTTTGAACTTAGGTACAAATGAAAAAAATTCTTACGGAAAACTTTGATTTCTCTAGTAGTTATTTTTTTAATATGGAGACGGTTGCATTCCTTATTTAAGAAGTCTGATATGAGTGGCATTTATCTCTAAAAAGATACACAAGCAGTTGATTAAAAAGTAAATGACTAGAACACTACGCTGTTTAAATGAGTTACGGGTTACACACGGTTGCAGCATCTTCAAGGGGCAGCGGTCGCTGGGGCAACAACAGCGGGTTTTGCTGCGAATTTCCTGTAGAGAAAAAGCAAAAAATACAAACCTATATGAAGTATCTTATCCATGTTTTTAATATTTATTAAGACAATGTTGTGCATTTTCATTTTGTGTTTCTTTCAATATAATACCTTCAGTTTAATCATCAGCACTGGTAATTTAATATAAATAATAACAATAAATTGTATGTTATATGATCGTAACAAATAAACATATTAGTTGAAATAATCGTATCTAAATGTATGAAGGACTTCTCAAAACTTACAATTTCCAAATGACGACGCCGGCCACCGCCAGGCCAGTTGCAGTTAATCCCCCGGCACCACCGGCCACCGCACCGATCCAAGAGGGCGATTCTGGTGACACCTGTGTCTCCTCTGTTGTCATGGTACCGGCCACCGCACCGATCCAAGAGGGCGATTCTGGTGACACCTGTGTCTCCTCTGTTGTCATGGTACCGGTGGCATCCTCTGCCATTGTCTGAGTTCTGGAAGAAGTAGAAGTTTCTCCTGCACGAAGCTTTGGTGTTGCTTTTAAACTGCTTTTGTTACTCAAAGTAGACGCTGTAGTTGGTTTATTCGTGTTGCTCATTTCAGCTCCTGTCGATGTTTCTAAAGGCACCATAGTTGTTCTGGTAGTTGGGTTTTTTGTGTTGCTCAATTCATCTGATGTCGATGTCCCTGAAGCCAGCGCCGTTGTTGTATCTGGTTGCCTTGTTGTCATTGTGTCCAAAGTTTCTCCTTCTAGCACTATGTCGTCGATTGCAATATCATTATACAATGCATATTTGCAGCTTGCTTTGAATGTTAACTAGAAATATAAACAAATACAATGTTTCCTGTAAGGAAAAATGACTGTAGAAATCCCGTCGTTGATGAAAGAAGTGATTTCAAATTAAAACAGGAACGACCTTGAATAGCCTAAGTACTTCACTGGAAAGCCAGAATTCATGAAGTGCCGAAATTCACTTTCTGTGATAAGACTCTTTATTCTACAGATATACAAAATTTTCAACGTGTCTCCATTATACACTTTATATATTATCAAAACTGTATTGCCAATAATGTGAAAAAAAGGCCAAAATCGACAATATATATTTCTGACATTATAAATCTTTATCAACAAATTATATGGCTTACTGGATAAACACCAGACTCTAGCTGGACAGTGGCTTGTGTCCAATCCCCGGAACCAGTGTGGTTAACGGAGGAGTCCCAAAGTTTAAGTCCGTTCTTACCGAAAAGATGCAAATGGCCGACAGACCCTCCTTTTAACACATACCAGAAGGTAAGATTAGCCTCTGTTGTTAGGTCCAACAAGCTGCTTTCTAGTTGGATCTCTGTTTCGTTTTGAGAACAATCACGCCGGGGTGGAGTGTAGCTGAAGGTGTAATAAAGATAACTCCCTTCTAGATCTGGAAAAAGGGAAAATTTATCAAAACAAAACCAATACTTCAGTATTTCAATGATCTGAGTTAATGAAATACATCAATACCTCGATCAGATATAAATTAATTAGTGAAAGAGATAAATAAACAGAACGTAAAATAATGAATAAAATGCATGGAAAGTATAAAATAAATAAATGAGAACATGATGTTAAGTCAAGCATTGGTTCACCAATGCGATCTGATTTGAGCTAAACAAGAGGGACATAAAGCTAAAAAAAAAATTAATAAAGACCCATGTTTGTCATCAGAAATTATGGAAATAACCATAGGTAATGTTCTTACTTTTATGAGTGTGATCATCTTGCGGTCCTGAGAATCCACTATCATCATGAGGCTTTCTTATGGTCAGTTTTTTCATGTGCCAGATCCCCCATCCTTGTTGTGGGTCATCACTGACGTTGTGCCAACCACATGGTCCGTCCTCAAACGAACAAGACACCTGGGTTTGCACGCAACCTGGAGTGACGGATTAGTAAAGGTAGTATTCATTCAAAAACTGTGTTCATATGAGATGTTACAGGTCGAAATATCAATGTTTACAATCATAAAAATAATAACATTACGATAAAGCTTTTGTAAAAAAAAGGCAACTCACTTGAAGAGTTTTTCATAGCAATGAAATACACAAAGAAAGTAAATTTCACAAACACACTCTCTCTATATAGCCTATGTTCAAAATTTCTCCTACAGGACTTCCAATTAATAACTTATAGTTTTTGTAAGCCCACTAA